TCAAGAAAAATTAGAAATAAGAAGCGGAGAATAAATGCAACAGAAAGAAGGAAAGAAGTATTAAAGCGTATGCATGAAAAGAAACAAAAGTTAGACAGCTGTTACAAAAGTAAAGAAACGAGTATGGAATAAGATACTTACCTCCCCCCATTTGTATCTCGTTGGAGTGGCCCTCCACTCACTCCATGACAGGCGCCAAGGCCTCTCTTCTTCTCTTCTTCTTCGTTTTCCTCCTCCTCTTCAAACTCGTCGTCGTGGGCATCGTCTAATACATTTTCTCCAGCGGGACGACGCATCGACGGTGGTCGCGATCTCAAATTACCAGTTTGGACGTATTGCATGAAGATACGACCAATGTTTCGGGCAGCATTATTATCACGGTCCCACAACTATATGTATAGATAATGTAAGCTTATGCGCAAGTCGCATGATGCATTATCAAGGCACTGATGTAATAAAACAATCAAATACTAGCTACTTACAGTAGGTACAGGACAATGATCGCAGAACTTCAATGGATACACGGATAATTGGGAACCAGCTGGAAAATAAGTTTTGGTATATTATTACAACCATTAATATTAGCTATTGAAGCTCTCTCACTGTTTACAAACTTCTTGTATACACGATAGAAAGTAACAAAGCCTATATTACGTACCAGCGTTTTGACGGTCGTTGCAAGTCGATGTTGGCCAAAGGTTATGGCCGTCGTCATCCACACACCAGAGCTGCCGTCGGGCATTGTTCCTGTGTCCATCGTCTTCAGCACGTTCGCGGATCCGACGAATTCTCCGCTTTGTGTGCTCGCGACACACTTGAACACTTCCTGGACGGTCTCGAAATTGACGCGTGTTCGCATCGCAAGCACTGCACACAACACTGGTTCGATACTCATCGATGAGCATGACCATTACACGTCTTGCTAGAACCGCCCGGAACGTCTACAAAGTTATTTATAATAGAGGCGTCAATTCATAGCAAGGACACTCGCTTCATTCGTCACTAATTAACGTTCCACCACGTCTGCCAGATAAATTTTCTTATTTACCTCAACAGGAATAGGTTCAAATCCTTTGAAGGAGGGCTTAAACCTTCCATCACCATATGCTACAATACAATTGTCTTCCACTCTGAATCCTGCATGTGCGCGGCGCGGTCGGCGAAACCGGCGGCGGTGAGCTTTGCGTTCGCGTTTGGAGGCCTTATTGAAGAAAGGGAGAGGTACCTTGAAGCAACCATATTAGCTTTTGCGACTTATCAAAGAAGTACTCATACACAGAAAGATACTTACATCTTCACGGTGATCCAACCCTATCAATCTGTTGGCAAGATTCTCCCAATGCGCTTTGCGCGCAGAAAAAAGAGTGAGTAACGTTTCCCGGTGAAAGAAATGTTTGTTAAATTGTTCATGGGATGCTATTTTTTTTTTCAAAAAAAAAAAAAAAACTAGAGTGAATACTCATGCCAAAATGATGATCACGGTGTTCCAGTATATATCGACATAGCTGAGTAACTTACTGTCTGTGCACGCCACTCAACATTCTGATGTAATTTCGGAAACCTTCCGAAGTAGGCGCTGAAGCCGGATGTCCTCTCAACATATCATACACCTCCTGTATCTCCGGGATATCTTGATCCGGATGAGCCTGTCGCTCGACATGAGCATAGCGTGCTCGATTTTTGTTTTCCTTTTGGAGCGCCCACTTGAACATGGACTGGAACCTGAAAAAGGGTTATGTACAAAATCAAACATGTTGGCATCAGATGTAAAAAGCGCGGACACACGCTCATACTTGCTAAAAGTAAATATACTGCACGCAGTACTCACTGGTATGTTCTGTTATTTAGCTGATATACGTGCTCTGCTCTCGCTTCAGGTGTTTCGAGCGGCTCAAGAGTGTCTACAGCAGTGACCAGAGACCGGATGCCTAAAGTAATATACAAAATATCTACTTAGATAACGTTACATATTTTGAGAATGATTAGATATATACCTGGGTCTATGAACACTGTTCGAAAATTATGAAGCCGCTCTGCATCAAGACCATCTGGCTCTTTGGAAAGATGATACATTCCTCTTCTCCACTGTGTGACGTCAATTTCACGAGGAAAGCGTTTAACTTGTTTGGAGCTAGAAGGCATATACTCTAACAATAGATTTATGAGATCTCGTCATGACCAAATACATACTTTTAATATTGCATGCTATGAGGGTACTACCAACCTCCACGCCGCGTTGTCACAGGCCTGCGAAAATGGAACACAATGGCGACACCATCCGTTTCGAATGTGTTATTGAAGAGTTTGAGCTCGCGGTCTTCTGGGGGCACAACACCTTGACCTGGGCACATCATATTTATAAATGTATATGAGATAGATGAGTTTAGATATAACTATCAAAAGATACCACTTTGTGACTATTCAAAATGTATACGGAATCTACCTTCGACTGCGTATCGGCAACGTCGCGGCTCTATGTGACCGATATTAAATAGCGACTCCCAGAAGCCTTCAAGCAGCTCAGGATCTTGCTGTCTGAAAACACGATATGACAAGCAACGTCCACGACCAGGAACGTTATTTGGTCTCTAGATTTATGCATCGATGGAAACAAGCCAGTAAATAAACAAATAACATCTTTTAATAACTGGAAACACAAAGAGAGTAAAAACGCATATCATTACCACAATATTATCCGGCACTTGTGCAGGATCTCGCTCGTCCACTTCGCGTACGATGTAATACATAGTTTCAAGGTCGACCGGCATGAATCTAATGCGGTGACTGGCAAGTGGTAGTGGAGTCCACTTGGGACAGAATTGGAAAGGCTGGGCTTCAAGTGACAGCCAGATATAAAAGGATAGCGAATTCACTAGCATTGCAGGGCCAGATATGGACGGTCGCTGTACTATGCGTGCGATATTCACGCCGGCATATGCTTGTTCGAATCGTGCAGTGTGTTGGCTAAAAAAGTTGAAATTAGGTACACCGTCTTAGTTATAACTGTGTGTTTATCTATGTGTTGTATCTATATAATCATCATAACAAATTAAAAAGAAATTATGTGTAATTTCTTACTTGAAATATTGAAGCACCTCAGTAAAGATTGCTGCTGGAATTCGTTCAATTAAACGCTGAGTCAAATGAGTTCTGTGCGTTGTGATCAAATTACAGATTTCTTTTGCTATAAGCAGATCACCATAAAAAATAGCGGTGAGATATTTTTCAACACTCCAGTATTACCAATTTAAGTAGAAAAGAAAATCATTCTTTTGTTTACCCATGTTAGAGATGCTGATTCGAAAGGTAAGGTTATGTTCATGGCGCAGATGACTCAGATATGCGACCCATAAACGCTTGAGAAAAACAGGAATGTTGGCGCATAGGTGGTTCATGGCATCTACAAATATTATATCCTCAGTTAATAAGTATTTCTATGGTTTAACAGATATATATAGAGCATGTAAGTAATTGCGTGTACACTACACTTACTGGTTTTAGCCTTTACTGCAAACAGCTCTGCTAATCGAGCCAACAAGGACATTGATAAGTCTTGACGAAGAACAGGAAGATCGTATAACGCTGTTAAGAAAGTCAGTATCAAACATCTATCATTGTTTTACATTTACCCAGTTTCAAAGCGTCATATCGGTATATCTAATACCTTCTCCTGTTTCCGCATTCCGGCGTTGTGGCTGATAATGATTATTGAAGATATCGCGTAGAACGGCGTAGCGGTTTGGAGTCTATTGAAGTCAATAATGTAAAAAGCTTGTCAGTGTTGCATGCTCCGCGACATACAGTACATATTATGCACAATTCATCCCAAGCAACAGAAATTATTCTCACGCGAGCCGGTATAGGTGCCTCTTGCGTTGGATTGGTGATCACCATCCGAAATGCCGTAGCCCAATACGTTTGATTGTCTAATTCTGGCATGGGTATCTCACCGTTGCTTTCGTATGCAAGCAGAGCATGCAGATTAATCAAGTTCAAGGCGTCTCTGCGAAGTACTTGGTACCACTCAGCTAACGAACGAAGGTAAGCCTTTAAAGCGGTAATATAAGATTGTTTTAGCTTTTCTGTCCAGATAATCATAGATAATCTTGGTGTCGGCTTTATAAATGGTGTACGAACCCTGTACAGCTCACGATTATCATTTAATGCTACCCTCAACTTGCATTTGCGACTGGCTAATCGCCATGTATATGCACGGCCGTAAAACGTGTCGCGAATGAAGTCTGGCTCCGGTTCTATGTAGGAAATAATATAAAGGTACAACCATAGTGAGTCTACTATATACATGCTCATAAAAATCATATACAGAAGACAAGTGGAAAGACAATATTAACAGTACCTGCTGCTCCTTCTTGCTCCATGTACGCTATTTCATCATAGGAGTACTCATTCTCGGCAAATGATGTAATGTCCGAGCTAGTGTCGTTGTCCAGGTCGTCATAGTAGTCATTAACGTTGTCAAAACCAATATTTTCGTCGTCTACATCCATCATAGCCGCACCATCGCTCGCTTCCGAAAAAGCATCAGTGGTTGGGTCATTATCGACGAGCATATTGTCGGTATCAAACGAGTCGATTGGTGACATAGTCATATCAGTGTCGCTGTCGTCCACGACACTGATAGACACCATTTTTAGTATTGAGTATAAAGGTGCAAGGCTTTATGAATATAAAACAATAGTGATAAGATAGAAAGAGAGTTATTGGAGAGAAAGTTGTAAGAAGGAGAAAAGAAAACCTTGTTTGAGAGAAGGAGTGCTGTGTGAACGTGGGTTGTGAATAGATAATAAGAGAAAAGAGATTGAATAAAAGACAATATGAAATACTGTGAGAGTCAAATATGAGATGATTTTTTTTGAATGAATTAACAACCCTTTATATACTCTTGGATATGCTGTCAAGACTTCCGTTTGGATGAACTAATGAATGGATCGCGGACATGCTAGGTTTCGGATGTTTCAAAGATGAAGAAGGATGGTAAGGTTGAGTTTGGCGGTCATGACAATGAACGCTGCCTTCCGATTGTAAAGAGTCATCTTTGTCTTGATCAGTGTGCTCCTTGTTTGGCGAATTTCACCTTTGTCTGTGCTGGAATTGGTATCTGCTCTTTGACATTGAACGTGTGACCAACCAATAAAATTTCAGCCTCCACCTGGCTCATTCAAAAAAAAAAAGCTCTTTGACAGGTACACTTCGCTCAACTCATATAAGCTAGATTCAAAGGAAGTGCTGACTAACTCGAGAATAGGACAATGTGTATACAATGGTTGGTTCTGAGTTATTCTCGATTGTGATCCATGTTTGAGAGATCATTGATATGGCGCTAATTATGTAATATTGTGATTCATTCGTGTGTGTGGTGTTCTCTCTACTGCTTTCTACTGGTTACAAAGACGGCGGAGTGGGATGAGTTGTCCGGATCAATCTCAAAGTAGTGTGGTTTACCACAAGTGCACTATGATTTTGAAAAGGCACCATTTATTAAAGAAAATTCTTGAAAAAAATTAATGATAATATTCGCAGGTGACTATTAACAAGAAGATATATCTTTTATGCAAATGATTAACCCATGTGTATATCACCTTTTGAGCATGTGAAAGAAAGATAGTCGTGCTAGGATTAAACCAGCGCCTCTTGGGTCCAATGCTTGTTGCGCCGATCACCTACGATGGGACCCCATCGAATAGGATGCAACTAAAAAAAGATATTAAGTTATCCAGCTTTTTATTTATTAATCACCTTCTATTATATAGTCAGTGTAAGATTGGACGATGATTACTTACATCCATTTTAAGCTGTATTTGCTCTGCTCTTTTAATTTCCCCTTCCACAACTCCTCTGGCATAAACGATTTCTCTATGGTTTATCTGGTGACGATAAACCTCCTCACATTCTTCTGGCGGATGATCCACCCGCGAAGTTATTTCGTTCCATGATAAAGGGGGTTTGGATGCGCGCAGCTTTGCAAGGTAATATCGCTGAGTTGGAGTCCAATGAGAAGGTAACGGTGGCTAGAAATATGCAACATATTATGATAAATTTATAATACACGATACCGCAATAGCTCTTTCTGTTTTTCAAATATCATACTCACCTTGTATTGACGATATCGTGCCTTGCAGGCTGAAGGTGTGTGGCGGTTGCCAATTATTCGCGCAATATATTCCCAAGACGCATGCGGATATTGCTGCTTTTGTTGTATCAAAATCGCGATATCTTGGGCTTCCCATAACGGCATGGTTGATAATGTTTAAATTGACGACGAAGGATCAAGAGGTTAAAGCTATTGTATCAGCATAGACACAAAAACTTAATATATCTGTTTATCTTTTTTGAAGACTCTGATATACTACCTGTCTAATTCTTGTTTCTCAATACGCTTCTTTCCCTGTTTAGTGCTTCTTGGTTGATGTGTATTACTATTGCTAATGATGACACATGATCCATGCACACTTATGGCTTTGCCTTTGTTGATAATTTAGATAGCGGCGCTATCATTGATCAGTTCACAAATCCCATGTCCCATATTGCAAGTCCAACAGCTTTATCCGAACAAATATATACCAAGTCCAACCAAGAGTATTAGAAAACAAAATATATGTAATAAGTATCTCTGCTAAATATTTATTTTATTCTTCATTGTTGACGAGAGGGACATGCATTTGGATTGATGATTTTTTCTACGACTGTGTATAGCCTTTTCTGTAGAACAATCAATTCTCTAGTTGTGTTGTAGATATGTTTGATTTGTTTCTTGCAAATAGATTATCAAGTTGATTTGTCGAGCGTTCATATTCAGCGAGCAGATCGTTTCTATGTTGCCGCTGCTGGTGCTGTGAGGATGGTGCTAGTTGCATAGATGCTGTTAATGTTGTTGACTAAAGATGATGCTGGTAATGACGATGATGCTGTTGTTGATTGGCGAGGGAAACTTTGGTTTATGATTACTAGAATGGTGGTGTTATATGCGCTAAGATATATATGCTTGCATGGTTGGTTACGCTTTTAAAATCTTCACAACTACAAGAACCAATAACGCCATTGCTATCAGTTTCTTCAAGCTTTAAAGTATACAATGCAGAACTAGCAAAAGATTGATAGGTAACCTATTGCCACAGTACGATCAGCAATTGTAAAAGTAAACGCACACATACAGAAGTGGTACATACATGATCATCATGGATAGTTATCATCCGGTCAGCTTCATCTGGTGATTTTTTGCAGGCTTCTCTTTCGTTTGTTAAGCTTCTCTAGTCGCTGTTGTTTCTTCGACACCAGCCAAAATACGTAGGACTTGAGCACGGTAATCATTTTCAAAAACTGCGTCAACATATAGATTACACGATCAGCACGATGATTGCGACTGTATGGAAGATATTTGCGTTTAAGTTTGGAATGCCAGCTTTCGATCAGATTATTTGTATGGAAGGACGCATTCTAAAGAATATACAACCGTGCATTATGTTGAAGCGCAAAATAAAGCTAAAACGAGCCTAAAACGTACCTCTCTCCAAGCCTTGCTCCAAAGATGATGCTTATGATGCCCAATAGTCCAACACACAGCCATAAAATGCTCATATGTATCCCGCCAATTGTTAACCAAGCCTGCACAAATTCAACGACGGTTTTGCAATTCATCAAAGAACCAAGGGCAGAACGAGCTTCATCTCTTCTTTTCTTCGTATCCGCTGTTGACAGAGTAGTTTTGATCTATAACCCAACATATAGAAAAAAGAAGGTTATATTGAATATACGATAATGTGGCTAACTAAATGGTACCTTGGACGTGATGTGCTTTTCCCATGCTCTTTTGATGTGCCAATGACACAGAAGAACTTGAACTTGATGACCATAAACTGCTCTGATGCTGTTAATTTCAACTGGACTGCAATCGATCATGATCCTTGTTGGTGTGTATTCAATTCTGTCTCGGAGCCATCGAAACCATACTTGCAAATTTTCACTATCTTCTTTATCTGTGATCATAAACGCAAGAGGGTAACCTTGTCCAGTAACTGTATGCTTGGCAACGATAGAAAACAGATACGCATCAGCCCGACCACTGATGATAGATTTGCAAGTCTTGTGTGTGGCATCAATACAGATCTCATTTGATTTCTTGAGCAGCTATAAAGCACATATGCATCTTAATATACGAACATTGCATTATATTTAAGTATATATCTTTTCTTACCAAAGCTTGTCGTGATGATATCCATGCAACAACAAAAGTAGAATCCGTGATATATTCCAACGTTTGATAACCTTGATCTTTTAAAAAGAGAAGCCACTTGACTACACTTTCTTTATCGATTAAATCTTTTCTTGCTAATCTTGACTGTTGGTTGGCGATGATATTCATGACATGATGCTGCTTCACACGTAAGGCTTCCGGGAACGGTCCTTCGCCTTCCTCGAGCTGATACCACAGGTTAGCATCTCTACAAGTTATCATCATAGTTTTGCTTTACATGTATAGATGATACTTACATCTTGAAGTTGTTTATCAGTCAAACGCAGATGTTCCTGAATTTGATCCCACTCCAACTTGTTATTGACAAGTTCTTCGATCCATTTACGTGTTTCAGCGGGGAGTTGTGAGCGAGTAGCATTGGTTATCTCGGTAGGGTCATGGTGTTGATGTTGCCAGTGATATACAAGTTTGATTTTGCCTGAGAATAAGTATTGAATACGGTATCGAGCACGACAATTTACTTTAATAGATGGTTTTGCAAGTCGACGTTTTTTGATGGGAGCAGGTTCAGTTGAGTCTATGGGCAGAGCAGGGATAGCTGGAGCCGATGTTTCTCTTGAGTGATCACAAAAAAAAGTGATACTACGTTCAACTGTCCGAGGACGGCCGGTATTGTTTCGGCGTGCATCTGAAGCCTTGGGTACGGAGATGTACTTGTTGTTGGTGATGAAGTTGGCAGGCTGCTTGGGGTTTTCTTTAACCCACTCGTCAAGTTGTTGCTGGTTGTCAAAAGTCTCTGTAACTACTTCGGTCGGGTAGGTGGGAAAGACACGGACAAGGTATCCAAGGCTATCAGATGCAGAGGCCATTGTTGTAGGTGAGCAATTACAGTTGCGACGCGTCGCTGTGGGAACATGAAAAAGTTTTACTCTGTGATTGAAAACTTCTCTGACGTAATTTTTCTTGATGAATAACGAAACCACCAATTCTGTGTGATTTAGAAAACTCAGTCAGATTTATTATGAAGGCGAAGCTGGGTTCTGCGCCTTTGTTTCTTCCATCGAACCTACTGATGGCTTCTATGAACAAGGGCGTTTATCTTCGACCGATGGTTCTTTTTGAACCACCTATTCGATTTATGCTGTTTACACTACATCTACATCATTTACTTCCTTTAGATACCAGAAATTTATGTGTGCACAGCAGCTGCCAGATGTATAATCATTTGATTTCACTGTACGACAACCGTACCATAAATAGAGGATGCATGTTCTCTAGGCGTTTCAGCTGGTACATAAAAAAACAGGGGAGGACGCTCTTTTCTCTACTAAGTTTTAACACAGCAACCAAATGACATTGCTAACTGCTGAATCGTCTGTACCTGCTTTAATCCACGGCGAAGCTTATTCATTCATGACACCAGTGCAGTTCAATCTTGCAGAAATGCAAGCTGCAATCGAACAAGGCAAGCAAGCATATAATGAACAACGATATACCGACGCTATCAGGCGATATACCACAGTACTTCGTACGCTGTATGATGACGTTCTTCCTACTATTCACCTGAGCTGCGCCGGTGCTTACGAAATGCAACATCAATACGACCTCGCATTATCCGAAAGCCAACATGCGTCTAACCATCCCGATTCATACTTTTCCCAAGCCAGTGCATACTATTTTAAGCGCGAATATCCAGAAGCCATCGATGCCTACAAACGAGGAATTACCGCCGTCTCACCAACCACGCATCCGCAGCAACATATGATGCTGGTGCAAAAACATCAACAAATCGTAGACGAGTTGAACAAGCGCAATCAGAGGTTACAGCACATGTTGCCATACGAAGTGCTCAGCCGTATCTTGTCATTACTATGCATCAAGGACCGGGTACGATTGGCAAGCACATGTCGCTTTTGGCATAAATTCTTATTGCACGACTGGCCAGACATGTGGTCACACATCGATGCTACGAAAGACTTGGGAATGTCAACAAGATTAATCTCGGGATGCCTCTCAAAAGCATTGCCGGCAAAATTACGAAGCGTTGTTCTGGAATTTCCGGATGGTGATAGTCCCCGCTCTCGCCCGAGTATAGATCCAGACCTTAATGAGGCCATCGATGATGACAACGACGATGACGACCGAATGCCACCACCACCACCACCAATGCTCTTCCCTACTACCAATGCTGCTCAGAATCGTCCTGCTGTCCCCTACAGCATATCAGGAATGCTAGTTCCTTCTCATCACGTGGCGGCTTCTATCCTAATGTATCGTAGAGAACTCCGTATCGAGTCATTAGGTATTGATGATCGCGTTATATCTGCGTATGCTTCCTAGCATGAAGTAGCACAATACTAATGATGCCTGATACTACTATACATACTGTCGCTACAGAAATTGCTGGTTATAGTGAAAATCGGTTATGCGAACTTTTAAATTCTTGCAAACACAGCTTGAAACGACTCAAACTCACCGATTGTAACGACCTCGCATACGAAAAATACGTGCTCATCGATGTTGCTCAAATTTGCCCAAACTTGCAATCCCTTACAATAGTGGAAAGAGACCAACAAGTATATTCCATAAATGACGATGATCACAATCATACCAATGCCGCAGCGAACCGTCCAACACCCCCATTACCTTCTCCAACGATCGACCATATTATGCTCCCGCAACTTCCTAACCTGAGCCTGACACGACTTGACTTATCTCTATGGGTTCCGGAATCTTTGCTTGTCGATATTTTGAAGAAATGCCCGAATCTAGTCTGTCTGGAATTGAGTTTCCGAGGAAACGGGCTACTTGCTCCCGTACTAGGTGCCACCCATACCTATTGTGCGCAGCTACAGTCGCTCCGTTACGGCCCACGGTTCAGTACAGAAAACACCGGGTTTCATTTCGATCAGCAACAACAGCAACAGTACCACCCAACTACCACCATTACTACTACTGGCAATAGGGGAAGGAGACTCTACGAGATTTCTGTCAACATGTGGCACGGCAGTTCTGGCCTCAAGCCTCGACAACGTAAAGAATTGTTTGATCGCTTCAATGCGTTACACCACCATCACCGTAACACCCTACAAGTTCTGCGCTTCATTGGATGTAGCGGTCCTACGGACGATTACTACGACATAACATTACTTGCACAACATGGAGCACCTTATTTACGATCCTTGCAGCTCAAAACATATTCCAACGATTCGCAACTATTGTCCAGAGCAATACGAGCTTGTCCTTTATTGGAGCAAGTTGACATCCTTTGTTCTCATTCCAATTTAGTCGATGATTGTGTCCTGGAGACGCTTGGACTGCTGACAAAATTAAGCCGTCTTTCGATTGATATACATGCGCAAGAGCAATGGCCAGAAACGCAGCTAACATCTAAAGGTCTTACCCGTCTTTTCTTCAGCAACAACTCTCGACTGTCGGACCTTACGTTTCATTTCAATTATGAAACAGCCAATTCATATATGAAGCATCAATTCGTGACTGATTTAGCAAGGATCATCAGTCGATCGTCATTTCCTATCCGTAAACTCGATATTCAAGGCATTTGGTTGTCGCACGATATGCTGATTACGTTCTTTACCCACCTACAAGTCTCGCAAATCCGTCAGCTGGCGATAACGCTTCACCGTGATCGTGATTCCACGCCCTCCTCGAGACCTGATTCCCATCTGCTCGATCAAAGAGAAATACGTGCGCTTGGGATCATCAAACGTCTTAACTACCTAAAGATCAATGATCCTGAAAAGCTGGTTAGCTCGAACAATTTAAAACAAATACTGAAAATGGCAGCCGAACATAATAAGCAGCCTTTTCTTCTCATCCATGTCGAGAATTCTGAGGGCAAGATGCGATCCTTTGAAGGCTACCTTGAGCGTGCTCCTATTACTGCTGCTACTGCTACTGCCAATGCTGTTATTGGTGACAATAACAGTGGGCTACAACAACAACAGCAACCAATCATACGAGTACGCGGTCCCGCGCCGAATACACCAACTGGTGGCTTTACTTTTACACAACAGCAACAACAAGCATCCCTGTAACAAAATGGCTCTTAAAGCATCCCTTTGATCTTATACTCTTTCTGTAAAATGTTAAATACTCGAGCATAGCATAGCAATCTTCCCCAAATAAAACACCGAATTGCCTCTAAGCAAAACATACTAGTACCTTATTACAACTGATTATAAATGTTTACCACAAAGCTGAGTCAAGCTTATTGTGGGTTAATCCTAAAGAAACGCGAATACGTTATAATCTCATACGTTGTGATATTGACTCAAGCGAAACAAATGTATACAGTACATCATCGGTAATGAAGAGTAAGAATAATTATCACATATCAAGCTTTCATAAGTTTAGAGGATACTGTATCAACTGTAGTGGTTGTAAAAGTATTTAGCTTTATTATTGATGTGTAGAGGTATCAACATAGAGTATTTTTGGACGGTCAAATCCAGTGAAATGACATGTAGCCATGGCATATGCACCCATATTCTCTGCATATATCCAATCACCAATCTCCATCAACGGAAGCTTTGTGTTTTCGGTGAGACGGTCGCCGGGCTCACACGTGTGGCCATACACACTGCATGGATACACTTCCTCGTTATGCTCTTGGCCGTACATGCACACCCCGTTTTTCATCAAGACTAATAAAAGTTCATGCAGATGATAAGGCCAAGTGCTCAATAGTTAGTGTACTATTTTTTGACAGCTTATAGTATAGCATGTACCTTTCAGTTCGAGTACATCGCTGTAAAATAACCGGGTGGCAAACGAGGCGTGTAGAAGATCGTTGACATAGTCTAATATATTACAGATTCTTGTTATTAATTGACGATCACATCATGAGAACGACCTTGTTACAATGGAGTATACGCTATAATTACATGTATACTTTTCTCCTATCCCGCTATTGACAAAGTCTGGCTCGTGAGGCACTTTTTCTTTTCTGCGTGCGACAATCTGACAACACACCGTGAGAGTAGACGTCGCAAAGTATCTGCCAGGCTCAGCCATGATTTCTATTTCTGGAGGAAACATCGAGTCGATAGCTTTGCCGATGACGGAAGCGATTTGCTCAAAAGTTGGTTTGCCTGGATAATTAATGCCAAAAAACCCACCGCCTATATCCAAGAGTGTAAAAGTAAATCCAAAATCTTTGGCGCGGTCGAAAACGTGGCGTGAGTTTTTCAAGGTATCTTGGTACGCGTTAGTATCAGAGCATCCGCTGCCAACATGAAAGCTATTATGAGCAGAGTAGGTGGCAATAAACAGCGACAGCGCTTCTTGGTTAACAAAGCTGTGCAAATGCTTGAACCTCGTAAATATGGAAGCCATAAAAAATAAAGTTCGCGTAGAGAGCTACCTGACACCGACAACATTAAGGTCAAGCTTTTGGGCGGTTTCCAGCAAACTATCAACGGCCGACATGGGTGCTCCGTATTTAATTCCAATACCCCATTTAGCCTTAGTATCGTCGGTCAGAATACGCAACAGCAGCTGGGCGTCAGGATACAAGGATTTGATTTTGTAAAGTTCGTCCACATTATCAAATGTCATCTTCCGAACACCGTTTTTGGCTGCATAACGAAGATAGGAAGCTTGTTTGCAAGTGTGCGCATAAATGATCTTGGAAGGATCAGCGCCGTTTTTTAAAGCGTTTTCCATCTCAAACCCACTTGCACAATCGAAACCAAGGCCCATCGAAGACAAGCATTGAATGATTTTTGGGTCTGGGTTGCATTTGACAGCTGGTGTATATATATATCGGGCAGATAGAGGGCGTGCGTTAATTTAAAGAAGGATTTGACGATACATGTTAGTTTCAACATGGTTATTTGTTACCAAGGTGAATACGGTATAGAGTAAAGTGAAAAGATTTGCGGTTTACCATAGTACGGCGTGATTCTCGGAAGACATCTTTTCCATTTCAGATATTGCCGGTGAAGTTGTCCCAGGTCGATCACGTAAAAGCAATCATCTTGTCCGAGCTTTTCGTTAAGAATAGCGTATTGTAGCTCTTTCATGATGGCTTCCTTCTTGATAACATAGCTGTTACCGGCAGAATTCGCTGGCTTCTCATTACTTATGCATCCTTCGTCATCGTTGTTGATAGTATCAGGTGAAGGTGGAGTAGTCTTCTCCGGGAAAAGAGGAGTTTGAGTAGTAGAATCACGAATGAGCATGACTGCTGCTGTGCGATGTACGTGCTTAGGAGAGCAGTTTTGACGGCAAGAAAAAGTACCAGGAAAAGTGAGATTCAATATACACTGCCTTTTATCGAACAGTTTAAAAATAGAACAATGGAAGCAAAGCCCAGATATTTTAAAAAAAAGCAGGCTTAGTGCTAGTTTCATGCACGCGAGACGATGGTGCTGAAGTCAATGTAGCAGCTATGCTATAACAAAGAAAATGATTGCATGATGGTATAATGCATTCTTAATAGGGTTAACGGGCCTTCCTCAAGTACATGCCAACCTAAGCCTTAATTCCCTTCGCTTTGCTTCTAGTCGAATGCTGCAGGGCTTTGGCTTAAGCGGCCCAATAGAATGCATTAATGTTGTTATGCATGTTATGTACAAAATACTACAAGACATCACAATGTAAATTTCTCCCAAAAAGTAGCCTACTAAATTAGCTATCACAGGACTCATTTCGAAAGCTAAAAAAATGCGACCATACATACGAGGGATCAGCATACGCTCTTCAATGATTCTAGCAACAAGATGGAAACTTCATAGCCGACAAGGCAGCAACTGGTTTGTCACTAGTACGTGGCTTAAAGGGAATGGCGAGGCCATCGTAGCTATGGAATGGATTGATAGTAGTATTCAAGATGCTGTTCATACCTTAGAAACAATTTATTCTTCATACAAAAGGAACAAACTTCTGGCTCAATAGCATTATGCATAACACAAATGTATTATGCCCATCACCATTTACTACCTACTTCCCAAATCCATTTACTATTAGCTGACACAATTCAGTTTATGAATCTTTCAGAGGCTGAGCTTGCATGAACAAAACTGGTAGTTTTAGAACAGCCTTCCACCGATTCGTACATAACATTGTGTACTGTGTCTGACAACAGCACAGCAAGTTGCAAGCAACTAAATATTGTCTTCCTTCATATCGCTATTGCATGTATTCATCGACCTTGGTTTACCGATTGCAAAGAATGCAGACGTATGCTAAGCCGATACGAGCATTCATTGTGCGGTGTGAAAAAATGAGTATATAGTATGATCCAACAACTAATAGTGTTTCTTCATAAAGACGTAGTCATCACAACAGCAAAGCAGCATACTCTTTTGTGCAGTGTACAATCCGTTGAATAGAGCGCTTGAGTAGGAGAATGTAATAATTGTATTTCTCTGTGTTTACCTGCCACTGACAGCCATAATCAGAGTCGAAGCACATCATATTATAGTGGGAACTATAAATATATCCAGCGTTGTTTGGATGCGCTGTATTATCATCAGTACAAATAACGTTCTGTTTATTTGTTCGTATTTTTATTTTTTCAACTGATTTAGTGCCAATCAAATGAGTCGATCGTGTCGTTCAACAAACCGCAATTTAGTTTCAGAAGGTCCAACTGTAAGGCCACCATCATGGTAGGCGTTGAGATCCGGGTATACCGGCTGTCCATTTAGCAATGGTGGCTCAATCCTCGCTGTGGCTAAGATGCGTACCCAAAAGTTGAATAATTCCACGTCAGACTATAGGAATAAAAGCAACATTTAGTTTAGTGGTTTCTCGCTTAATAAATAGTCAACAAGTAGCAATCATTAAGGGTCGTACCATGTGGACACCCGGGCAAATACGTCTTATACCAGCGAGAATATAAAAATAAAAAGTAATGAGAACAGGAAGAGTTCCTTTAAGCTGATGATGAGCTGTTAGTAATAGTTTTCTTACCGTCCCCAACCGAAGACAAACTGATCGCGAGTCTGAGAATTCGCATTCACCGAAACGGATAATGGCCTTTTGTCATATAAATACCGCTCCGGAATAAACTCTCTTGGGTTGTCATAGAATTCTTCGCTGAGGTTCAACGTGTATGTTGAAGCTAAAATGGCGGTGCCTTTTGGTATCAGGTATCCGTTGTACTCGACTACAACTGCCAGTATTAGTTTTGTCTCTTACATTAACATTGGATTATCGCTTTAGCACGGTTCATTCGCTAGTAGTGATAATACTCACAATCTTTCGTGACTTCATGAGGTAAATTCATGGGAATAACGGCTCGATACCGCATGGACTCTTTTTGAACAGAAAGCATGAACGGGAAGTTCTCCCTTTCTTCGTACACAGGAAGTCGGTTGTGCTTGGTAATAAATGTATCTATTTCGTTCTGCACCTTTAGTTGAACGTCTGGATAATGAGAGAGAATAAGGAATGACCATGACAATGTGATTGCTGTCGTATCAGTTGCTGCTTCAATCATATCAACTTTTTAAAGAAAAGCAAGAGACGATACACCGTTAGAAAAAAGCAAAAGTGCTAGAAGTACTGTTTAAGTTAATCATGCAAACAAAAAGATGTTTTATCCCTACCCATAAACACAAGAATATCGTCGTCTTCCAAACCATTCTCTTCTTTAAGTCGGTATATGTTTTTTACAAAGCAGTCAGAATCATTTTCGCGGGCTTCTTGAATGAGACGCCAGAATTCAGGGTTTCGCTTTTTGTACACAAAGTCGCGCATGGTATTCTCGCTGCTTGTAAAGAGACGCAAGAGACCCGAGAGGGCTGGCAAAAAAGTCTGCATATCTTGGTCAGGAGCACTCAATTTGATTGAGGTATCGATCAAGTCAAACATGGTGTGGGCCAAGGGATCATCCAACGACTTTGCTCGAATACCAAAGCACGTTTGCATGATAATATTGAGCGTAGCAAGCTGCATTGATTTGAAAACATCGACATATCCGCTTTCTTTGGTTCCCTTCAGGATGAGCTCGGTAATTTTGGCTGCCTCCGATTGCATCATTTCAACTTTGTCCGCTACAGCTTTAGGTGAAAGTAAGCCTTGTGCTGGTGATGACATCAGGGACGACGAATATGGTAGCAAGAAAGACGGTTAGGCGAAGACCATCTTAGTTCTTGATGACTTCCAATACATTGTATTTTTTGATCCACTGTTTAACGACTCAACGTACCAATTGCACGGCAGCTTTTCCATCGTTTGTCCGGATAAGTAAAAACCAAGCCCCTGCCATCGAAAGGAAAGTTGAGCGTCTTATTAATTATACTTGTGTAAAGCTTGTTTGTCGGGTTATTCAATTTCAAAAAACTTCTTCTGCTGCATGCATACCTTTCATCAAGCGCGCCATAATGAGACATGTAGAGATGGAACGGCCGGCCAGCAGTGATTGCCCCCTTCACCTTAAGGATATCATTGGCGATGTAAGGATCTCCAATAATAATCCATGGTTTGACGCCCATTTTAATTCGGTAGATAGGCCCTGATTGTAAATTTTGTTTTTTTAGCACGACGTTTGCCGTTCTATTACGCCTTATGTATTGCCTATGCTTCAATAAACGCTCACCATATTTTTTATGCCATTCATCAAACTTGAAGAATGCAAGTTCAGAGGGAACCTGGAAAAGATGACCTGTTTTTATGTACAGTAAGTACAATCATAATGTTTTTTTTTCAATGTTAGCACTTATTGAAGGGAAGGGGAGACTTGTTGTTGTTACTTATGTACCAAAATATGGAAGAGCACCCGGTACGATAGGAACCTCCATTGCTGTAAGTTGATTTCCATTGGATAATCCTGTCGTAGTAATTTCATGTTCGGGCTTCGCGAGGATAAATGTATAACGGTACATGCCGTAAAGAGCCAAGCATGCAGCCACTGCGACAGACATCACTTGTGGTGACGAAGGCTGGTTTGAAAAGCTACTAAAGATCGTCGGCATTGACATGTTTTATGAGAAACAGTAGTTACAAGTAAAGAAATAGGGAAAGTAAGAAAAGTGAAGAAAAAGAGGATAGGATTTTGAAGTCAAACAGAGAAAAGCAAAGCCCTCTTCCTCGTAATCTAGGACAAACAACTGAGCGACATCAAAACAAGCTCCATGTATCGCTTGATTGTGCTTACCGTATGCCAGCAAGCGTAAAAATAGTAGACTGTTTGTATCTGATGCCTTGTTCTTTGTAAACATACATGTAGTACAGGCAGTGCAGTAGCTTAGAGGTTGGTGCTTTATTTAGCAGCGGGATCTATCAAACATGGCTAGTATCATTGTCGCTCTTCGTACGCACGGCAAGGCAAAATATAATTGAGGGGTAATAGTGGGCTTTGATAATAACAGTTCTGCAGACATTGATTTTTGTAGTACCCATCTTTGAATGCCACACTTGCATTTGGGGTCGTTCTCCTACTCCGAAAATGAAAGTCTCATACAAGTAACAGGACCGTGAGAAGGTCGTGGCATTGTCTGGTTTACAGTTGATATATTCTCTATATTTAATAAGTGTATGCATCAGCCGCAACCTGGCGCTTTCTTGTCATGTAAGAGGTATAGTATTTGGCTATGATTTACCAGTAAACTGCTGTAAAAGAGAACACAGTAGTTGCATCCTTGTTGTCAAGCCTTTGAGCAATAAAAAGTTAAAGTATGTACAAAACTAGCTCGACTCTTTAATACAGACATCAAAATTGAATCTCTGCGCAGATCGAAAAGCACAAGCTGCTTTCCATAATATACTATAGAATAACCATCTCGTTGATGCTAAACCCTTGGTGTGCTTCTTCACACAAAGCCACAAAAACATGTAGACACATGCAAAGGGAAAATCCCGGAGTAGTCATCTTGGACTGTGACCTCCTTTCACCATGCAAAATCCGTTACTGCTCTTTGCAAGTGCATTCCACTTTTGGGGAGAGCGGCGCTATTATTAAAGGTGTATGATAGTAACCTTTATTGTCATCGTTAACGTCAGTAGATTGGTAGTAACCATTAAATTCAGTACAGAAAATTACAATGGAACAAGAAAGAATAAAGGTTCGTGATAGTAATGTTTCTACTACATAATCTGTCTAGACTCGTCTCATTGTCGCAACATATTTGCGAGAATAATCGCCTCCGAATAAGCAGGCCGATCAATTGTATAATCGCTACACCCTACTAACGTCATGCCTCCCGAATTTTCATGTACACAGTAACATGGAAATATCATTGCTGATGCACCCTGGACAGATAGTGCACCCGACCTCCTATTGCTGTAGAAAAAGGTCCGGAATTCAGTAAATCATGTCCTGTCAATCCGCACCCAAACAGTAAAAGTTTTAGAAAAGCATATATCTGAATGCAAGGCCAGATCTTTATAGTAATCCGATCCCATTTTGTTGTTCCCTATAATGTTTAGTTTTGGCGTGAAATAGGTGGTCATCAGTGGTGCAGTCGTGAGCTTACATTTGCCTCTACGGATATGATTGATGCTGGGCTTTATGTAACCGGAATTTATCATCATAATCCATCTAGATTCCGCGTATATGTGTGTTTATGAATCAAGCAGGAAAACTCCACTAATCTTAGATAAAGTTTGGCAAAAAAACATATGGATCATCGTGGTATTCGGCAAAATTTACTGTTAGAAACCTGTAGATCTACACAGACGTATATTTACATGATTACATAACTGTTTTATCCAGATGAAGCTATAGCTTTCAATTCAGAACAACATCGGTGAGAATACGTTGTAAGCAATTATGATGGGGCAGAGCAGCTTTTTAATAACACATTTACTAAAAACTGTTATATTTTGCGATAGGGTATTAAAATACTACAAGTGGATTGATATCAATCATTGCTTACACTAGATAGACGCTGCACCGGAAGCCCGCCGGGATACATTTATGGAGAAGCGACCAAGCCTCAGATGGTGCTGGCTACTATAGCACATTTCGAAACGAAGGGGTGGAAAAAGCCCATGCTACAACTTTCTTCAAGCAATTCCGAAAGCCGTTGATGGCTTTTTGGGGCTGCAAAGGACGAACTAAAAGCACTATACAGTTATGTACAATCTCAAACTCAATATGGAGGTCACGAGAAACCAAAATAACATCGATCTGTTATAATGTACGCTGTGATGCTCATGTGGATACTGTATACTCGATAGGAAAAGGTATTTATGTCTGTTGTTACGAGAAAGCTCTCGTCGGTCTAGAATACTGTATTTCTGCATGGAAATGTGAGGCTCCTTCGAGATATAGGCGGCATACATTTAGAGTCACAATACTAGGCAACTATATATCTTTTATTAGTTAAGTAGATGGGCGAAAAGGAGATTTAGATAGAAGTTGGAAGTAAATGGAATAGTTATTAGTGACCTTTTATCATCATCTATTAGTAACTACATTAAACATTCTAAATCCTGCTCAAAGGTCCTTTAAAAAAGAACACTGCTAAAAATGGGTCGTGATACGCTAATTATAGTTTTTACAAGCAGTAAGTACAGTACAACTTGTTTCTATTATGTTTGTAATAATCGGAAGCAAGTTTCCTATACATCAAACCAACGGCGACAAACGAGTGTTGTCGGACGTTATAGGACACCAGCAAGCCGCTACTACTACAAGATGCTAAGCCGATCTACTCAGGTAAATTTCAAGTCTTGCATGAGGCATTGTTGTTCTTGTCTTTAGAATCATCAAAGCACGTCTACGTATATACCCTGTTTCGCTTTGTGAGGGCTTCACAAACATTGAAAAGTCACTATTTACTTTATGCACTATTTTGGACCGATTCTATTTTGACTGCTTAGTAGTCTGCTTCGGGTACGAGCTAAAAAGGGAAAATGCTGTGAGATGCAATGATGTGCATACACATACAGTACTTTCTTTTTCTGAAATACTGGAACATAATCAGACGAAGTGCAAAAAGGGTGAGAATATTTCGTTATGGATAGCCGCATGTATGCATTGTATGGGATACTCGCTACTGTTGCTGTTTCATATATTGATCGATTTCGACTGGAGTAGGCTTTTGTTAAACCAGCAGTGCACTGGTAACGAGCATATCACGCATACAACAAGTTACTTTGCTTGTTTTTTTTTCTCACGCTGCTCCGTTACTATGATAGAGCAAGCTGGTTCAGAAACGAGGTGTTATTGCACGTTGAAAGCGCATGACTCTTCTCCCTGCTTGGCAGGGTCGGTGATGGTCTCAGTTTACAAATCTCTCACTGAAAGGACAAGACCAAACATATGAATAGTGATGTAATCAATAATGATTGGCTAAGCCTTCCAAGAGACAGATTCAGTTAATGTACTGCGTGCATAAAAAGTATGCAGAAAGTGGCTACTATTATTTACTATGCACATTGTAAATATCACCATGATAGTAATGAGCTAGAGCAATCCTTTTAAGCCGCACGTGCGCTAAAACAATATACTTTGTTTGTCTATTTCTTTAGTAATGCTCGCATGTACCACTCATCAAGGAGGCTCTAAATAACCTACTTTCCGTCATGCCACGAGCAGGAAAAGTTGCAGTAAAACAGGGATTGTGCATTAGAGTATTTAGTTTGGCCATCATGATGGTTTGATGGCTGTATTTATGTTCGTGGTTGTTTAATACTCAAAATAGTCTTTTCAGTACACATATTTTGTATTATAATTGGGCTTTGGTGTATTCTACAAGCCAATTGATATAGGCCTTATGACTGGTCTGCTTCTAGGCCACCGTTGATCTATTGATGCTGAGCTCGTAATCATCGCCATTGTTCGTGTATATAAATGCACCAATGTTGCGTATAATTTCTCCATACATCCTTTACTTCATTATCCTTTTTAAATTTACAAGGAGCACCTAGTTTCAGCTAAGGTATCGCTACGATTGCTACTTCCATTTTAAAATGATGCTGGTATACAGCAAACTTTCTCTGTACTATAATGGTTGATTGCTCGTCACTTATCGCTCCATAGAATTAAATTGATTCACGCGTACCTAGTTTGCAACCACGATGCTCATCCGTCCGTCGCAAATTCCTATACTGCCAAAGGAGCCTACCTCCTCTGTCCCTGAATACAGCAGCAACAAGCAACCTGTCCATGTCTCTCCCATTGTATTCAAGGGTGATATCAAGGAAGCGATCAAGAAAAAGCTGGAATTAGCTGCTTTGAACGAAAAACTAGGACAAGATGATTGCTTTTATGTTTTGGACCTCGGGCAATTGTACCGACAACATTTGAAATGGAAGCGATGTCTCCCAAGAATTAAGCCGTACTATGGTAGTTTTCATTTCTCTGTTTCCATCCCTTTTTCTCTTATAAACGCGATATAACAATGAAAATGACATGATGATAATTGGATCCATCTTTTTCGTTGGTAGCTGTCCAATGTAACCCAGATATCAAAATCATCAAGTATCTGGCAACCTTGGGCCTAGACTTTGACTGCATTACCGGGCCTGAAATGAAAAAGGTCATGGACCTTGGTATTGATGCTTCCAGAATCTATTACGCGCACACGTGCAAGCAGGCATCCTATCTTCGTTTTGCTGCTGATCACAGCGTTAAGACAATGACCTTTGACAATGTTGACGAGCTTTATAAAATCAAAGCACTATCTCCAAACGCACAGTTGCTGTTACGCATTATAACCGATGATTCGAAAGCTCAGTGGGGAACTGGAAACAAGTTTGGCGCGTCTCTATCTGCAGTCGAATCCTTACTGAAGATTGCCAAAAAGCTTGCACTCGACGTCATTGGCGTCAGGTAAGAAACAATTGGTCACTTACCCGCAGCAATGTAGACAATTCAAAAGACTGGAACTAATACCGAACTTGCGTTTTTGTCCATTGCTATTTTTAGTTTTGATGTGGGCAGCGGATGTTCCGATACAAGTTCATATCAGGTTGCCCTGGAAAATTCTCGCAAGGTCTTTGATCAAGCCAAAAACCTGGGATTTGATTTCCATCTTCTTGATATCAACGGCGACGGCTTTCTGGGTATCGATCAACCGGGAAAACCATCCTTTAGACAGTTAGCCGCAAATATTAGTAAAACCTTGGATTCACTATTTACGCCTGATGTACAAGTAATGGCAGAAACCGGGCGCTTCTACACAGCATCGACGCTCACCGTGTGTTGCCAAATTGTCGGCCGTAAAATGCTACCAACCCAAAACGAGAACGATGTATACAGAAACTATATGTGTAAGTTGAGTACTGTAGATTAAACCAAGAGTATTATTTGATATATTGCAAGAGATATTCACTGCTTGCAAATATGGGCATTGTATAACTATCAACATACGCTACTACTAGATTTTGTAAATGATGGTTTACATGGCTCTTTTGCCCCACGCCTGTTATATCAAGATGTGCTCAACCTCAAAGGTATATTTTCGAGCTAATTGTCTTAGCCAACTACGATCGGAAAAAAATCAATATTAACGTTTCTTCGATTGCATCTTATAATGCTTAGTCTTGATGAAGGATAACGTATGCATGTATCGCAAAACGGTCAAAGAACCCACTTATCCATGTAGTGTATGGGGCCACACCTGCGAACCAGGCGATTGTCTCACAGAAAATACACGACTTCCATTATTGACAGCCGGTGATTGGATCTACGCAGAAAACATGGGCGCTTACACGATCGCAAATTCGCACTTTTGCGGCTTTCAGCGACCAAAAACTGTATATGTCGATACCTATAGAAACCTCTGATAATGGGTTATTGCATATCTATCCATTAAAGTACTTAGTTTGTCTGTATTTATAATTGGTGATACTGTAAGCTATCTATGAACTTGATAAATACATGCCTTTTCCCTACAGGGACTGTGCTTGCATGTACACTTTTCTTTATATGCATTTGAAATACCGCTTTGTAATGGTTTGGTCTGTCCGAGGAGGAGTTATGTATTGGCATTGTCGATGCTTCAAGATATGGTTGCACAACGTTCCATATCTGTCCACACAAACCATCGGATCTTTTCTGTTCTAATCAATCCTTTTGATTATTCATCACCACAAACCACAACGATTAAATGATAAAAGAGGATTTACTATATTTTCCCGAACTGGTTAAGCCAGGCGATAGCTATGCAATGTTCACAGTAACACAACTTGATCTATCAACAACGTTACACGATTTCGATCAAGGAAAATACGCGTACACCAATGGCGATTACAATGAAGCCGTAGCTTTTTACACCCAGGTCATCGATAACCTGCGCACTAATTTGGCTGCTGCACTTTGCCATCGTGCTGCAGCATACGAAATGCAAAATCAGTATGAATTGGCGTTCGAGGACAGCAAGCTGGACAATGCAATCGATGATTACGCCTGCCCTGACGCATACTTGATTGCTGCAAGTGCTCAATATCTACAAGGCGATGTTTGTAGGGCAGCAAGGATATATAAACATGGGTCCGCCGCAGTAGCATCATTGATACCTTCAACATCAGCACACCCTGCTATTTGTGACGAAATGCTTGCGAAACACGATCAAATTATGGCAGCTGTCGACAAACGCAATGGATGGATGACGCGCCTTTTACCGTCCGAAGTGATTTCCAATATTTTGAACCAATTATCGATAGACGATCGATTTCGACTAGCATGGACCTCTCATTTCTGGCTCAACTACATTATCAACTGGCCTTATTTGCTACGAGTAATCAGCAAGAACCAAAAAGTCTTTGGTGCACTTGAACGAACGAAAAAGTTGCTTCAGAGCATCCCGGATCGTCGTAACCAGGGAAAGGAAATTGAACTATGTTTCGCGGGAGGAAATGGAGAGAACATATTCCACGCCTTGGTTGCAGAAAAATGGAGTGGAATTGAAACTTTAGGTAAGCAAGAGTGTATGTGGGCTTGGCGTGATAGTTCAAGTAGTAGCGTCTCGCTAATGAATTGTAAATGTCCGCGCTTCAAGAATTGGAAAGACACAACATGAATTGTTTTGTTGAAACCAATGTGCGACTATGGGACTTGGATTTGAGGGACTTAACCACTTTAAAACTTTTCAGCGAACCCGAGAACAAATTCAACAATGCAATCTTCCCATCTATCGTCAGTTTTTGTCCCAAACTGAAAAACGTTATCCATCAATTCTTTACGGATTGTACTGTTATCAACCTTGACAAGATCCCCTCAGCGTTGCCCGACTCATCCCTTCAACTCACATCCTTGCATTGGAACGACTTCGTGCGTATCACTGACTTTCGCAACTTGTTGAATCGTTTTACTGCGCTAAAGGTGTTAGTTATCACTCGGGAATTTTTGGAAGAGCGGGCAAAAGCACTCATGGTGGTCAACGCGACTTGTCCTGTGCTCGAGTCATTTGTATACAAGGACAAGATCAAAAAATATGTCGAGGATTTTTGCACGGTGTATACTGAACCATCCGCATCCCCACATCAAGGCCTAACAAAACTCGTTCTGACAAACGAGCAGCGTGACGACTACGAAAAGGATATAAATATTGACGAACAATTGCTCGTGTTTCTAGAGAAGCATAACGAAACATTAGAAATATTGGAAGTGGCTCAAGAGCTGCTGGAACCCGGCGTTTATACCTCACTGGAACGACTTGCGCAAATCGGCGTCCCTAATTTACGCATCCTCAGGCTTACGTCGATTAATGGGTGCTCTCTTAGTTCGCAAATACTGTCAAACCTTATACGTGCTTGTCCGTCGCTTCAAGTTGCAAGCATAACTGGCGTAGGCGTCTTGGACGACCGCGTTCTACGTGCACTCGGGACAGCAGCAACGAGGCAGTTACAACAGCTCAATATTTACATTCGTCACTATGTTCCTAGCGCTGACGAAGAAGAAAATATAGAAGAAGACGATGATGGCGTTATTGCGACATCGGAAATACCAGCACAAGGAGCAGGAGTAGTCTCCAGCATGTATAATCAGGAAAGGTTGCGATATACTACTGACGGAATAAAAGCCCTGTTCAACCGCAATACCCGGATACACGAGTTCACTATCGGCTACGACTCTACCAGCAGCGAAGCTCGTAACGATGTACTTTTATTGGATATAGTGAAGTATATCAACAGCACCAACGTACGCAGTCTCAATCTGCGCCGGTTTCCCTTGAATGAAGGTCTTTTGTATACCGTTCTGAAGGGATTGTTAAATTCTCAAGTACGGACGCTCCAAATAGGCGTGGACTGTATGATTCAAGACCATCATATCGACGTGCTTGCTTCTATGAAGCATTTGACGCATTTAATTGTTTACAATCCATCGCGCTCTATTACTAAGGATACGCTGTGCAAGTTGTTTAATAAGTGGCATAAAAGGCGGTTATTGGTTGTCAGGGTCGACTATGAAGGAAAAGAGTCTATAAGTGGCTGTAAACGGGATTCAGCCACGATTCCAAAAGATAGTGACGATCATCCACATGTTCAATACTTGATCCAATCAGTAAAGCATCATTAAAATACAAAGAGGTATCTATGCTTATTTTACCAAACGTCCAAAGATAAATCATTATGCGCAATGAGCCGGATGCAGTATGCTTTGTACATTTAGCAGCCAGTTCTTGACGCAATAAAAGTATCCCAAGTAGTAGCATGGCTGGTTAATAACGGACGAAACCATTCTTCAGCGTTACCTTGATCATATAAGGGCGATTACACAGTAAGGGCGCGATCCGGATCTACGGCTTTAACAACTCCTGCAAGAGCAGCTTTTTGGCCAGACACTCACGCAACGCACAATTCTTGAGCTCAAAGTCTACTGGACATGACCTGGATTCCGAATATCTGCTTACGGTGTGGTTTTTTGAGGTAGGCTATTTCCACTGCTATTGCAACTAAACCGTTTTAGAAGCTTTCGCATCCGCGAGTATGTTTACCAATCCAAACTGGAAAAATGTATGCCACAAAGTATCTCCACCCTCACCGGGACCAAGTAGCTTGAGCCGTATCCGCTCCCTCTTTCGACAATTACCAGCAATTAGATATGCAGTGGTTCTATGATTATAGCTTGTGAATGTCATTTCCAGGATACTATTGACGAAATGTATTGGATGTTGCAATGCATATATTTTGTTGTCGTTGAATTTTACGGTTGTAGAAGAGGTGGTTGTTGCAATGGACCTAAATAAGGGAAAGTAGTTCTAGCTTCATGGATATCCGTGGAAAGGGAGTTGTTGAATTTTTTATATGCGGTTTATTTGGCAGCAGCGGCTTGCTGTTGTTGCTGTTGGATCTTGTCCTGCATCACGCTGACGATAGCTATTCCGTTTCACAAGCAGTTAGCTACATAAGTTCCGTATTTCGTCTCTGTTCATCAACATCAATTCATTATCTAAACGTACCCCGTAGACTGCTTTGCTTTCCGTTAATTGCTTCCTGAAGCTTCTCCAAATTCTGCGTGACATACTCGCCCTTGCCCTGATAAAAGTTCTCAGCGCCTTCCAAGGTCTATCACATACCAACAATAGATAAGCATATAACATGTCGACATAGCAGAGCATTTAATTGCACAAAAAAATATGCGTCCGTTTACCTTTTCAACATAGTAACCAGTGCCAATATCCACAATTACTTTTTCGACATCGCTCAGTTTACCGGGAACATAGAGGTAATTTGATCCCATAAACAAAAACCTTGTGAGTTAAAGGTTGATGACACGACATAGAAGCATATTCCATCTTTTTAGCGCAGTTAGTAGTATTTTTCTCTCGGTGATAAAAAGGATATAGATGATGTAAGTGGCACTAGAATCGTCTTGTCTACATAATACAAATCAAATCATACAACAGCGAGTTAGTCGTGTTTTCCAACTAATATAAAGAGCATGCAGTTTTTTTTTACTTGAAAGAAAACACCAAAGTACAATTACCATTTGCTTTTTCTCCTTTTAGAGAAACAACACTCTCTGCACAGTCCGCAAACCGAACTTGAGCATTTTTAAGTTTACCGTACGATTGTGTCAGATGGGAGAGTTCCTTGAATTAAAAAAATAAACGCGTGTCTCGATTCAATACCAATCTTGGTGTACTTTCAATTGTAGCGTGCCTTGGATAATAACTCACCTCTTCCAGCTGAGTTTTGACCTGTTGTAGCGAAGGAAGGTCGAGATCGGCCAAATTGACAGTCTGTGGTTGAGATGACATTGTGCAGGAACGTGTGTGGAATATAGTCCACTTGAATTTGGGGAAGGAGCGAAAACTTAATTGGTGTGGCTGTTGGGCTGAGATTAATTTGGATGCTTGGTCAACTACTGCTACACACAAGAACGCTCGGGTTATCTGGTCGACCGTGTAACCGCAAATAATCGTAAAAAAACAAGTGACATCCATTGTTTTATAAAGAGACGCAATGTTCTCATGCATATGCCAGCAGCAATGGTGTGTATATTTTACAAATCTCAAAAGAACAAGAAAGGAATCGAGATTTTTAAAGAGATTAAAAAAACATAGTCTAGGTTGGTTGTTCTAGTCTAGTATGATGCTTTATGGGAGATGGAGGAGAAAGAAAAAGGCGGAAGAGGGTACACGACGCGAACGAGCTGCTTTAGTTGCCAACGTAGCCAGTGCCCTTGTAGCCCTCGGAGGAAATACCAGAGATGGGGTTGGAGTTCTGGCTCTTGAGGTACTCGTTGGTAGCCTCTTGCCATTCCTTGTTGAAGGTGTGAGGCTTCTCTTGACCTACAGATGATAAACAAGAAATGCCGCGTTTAGCATAAACGCATTCGCTTAACCAAACATTTACTCCTCCCTCTTCTCATTGTTGTCAATTTAAGAGAAGTCAGTCTTACCGTTGCTACGGATCACGTAGAACAAGGCACCGGAGGCTGCCAAGAGGGCAACGACACCACCAACGACCTTGCCATTGTGGCCAGGCTTGGTAATGGGCTCACGGGGACCGTGGGGACCGAAAGCAACGTAGTCTTATATTATAATCTGAAGAGTTAATTCGAGATCCTTCAACACCAATGCCGAGTAAAATAAAGAATCAAGCAAATTAAGCTCAATTGAACAGAGGAAAAAAAAAACTTACAGGCAGCCTTCTTCTCGTCAGTAGACAAGACCTTCCAGTCGGCCTTTTGGGCTTCTTCGAGCTGCTTAGCGATGGTGTTTTGTTCAGCAGTCGAAAGAGTCTTCCAGCGAGTCTCCAAATTTTGGACAGCAACATTGGTCGAGGCATTGCGGCGGCCGAGGACGCGACCGACTTGAGCACGGGTAGCAACAGCACGGAACATGGCAGTAAACGGATTAAGAGAAAACAAGAGGAAGAGTAAAACACTTGACTGGGCCTGAATGTGGATTTTTGCAAGCCTCCAATCTCAGTTTCCAGAGTGACGTCGTCAAATATTTATCGTCTGATTCTTATTGCTCTTTACTCACCCGCACTTCATTTGCTCATTCGCACACATTGCAAATGTTGAAGAAGTAGTTGATAAGAATTCTTCTTATCATCTCGTTGCATTTAGGCTTACAGACATATGTCTCGTAAGGCTTGCTACGATGACTTTCTCTCTATGCTCCGTAAATTTCTCGTAATATATAGCGCCTGTGAGTGAAAGTGAGGTTATTCACATCCTTGCAAGGGCCAATTCAGGCACACTAGTATATGATAAGGAAACGTTTTAAACAGGGTGGAGGTCTAAAGTATCTAAAAGCGAAGGCTATCTCTCTCTTACCACCCAGTACAATTTGCATCTTACTGTTGGGATGTTCAAAGATACGATCAACCATATTGATAGAAGAAGCCGCTGTTTTCTAGTGGCATCATATTGATATGTATTAAATTGAATTACATTAAAAACTTAATACAACTATTGAAAGTTTGAAATCTCTCAAAACGTATTTGATAATTGCAGAGATGACAGAAAATATATATCGAGTGGTTGATATATAACGCATAATTTATGGACAGAAGAAGGTACATCAAGATCTGCATTGGCTTTGTGAACAGCCAACAAAAAAGGAAGCTGCTTTTGCGTAGTTCTTAATTTAGACAAAGTAGCTACTAAAAGACGTTAATGTACTCTGCTTTTCAAGATACAGCAACTTGTCGTTGATGCTGATTACAAGGCATTCAATAACGGTCTATTTCCCAAACCAGTATCTCGAAGAAAGCTTGTTTATTTACGTAAGATGGAATTTACCTCTAAACCGCACGCATTAGGTCGCTGATGGCAGTGATGGTCTGTTATCGTATGCACTTCGGGTACCTGTTTCGGTTGCCTAGCGCTCCATTGCTTTACATTAGATTTATTAGAGGATACAATTCGGGTGTGATGATTATATCTTTATGTTACCAAAGCAAATCAACTTCGTCGTTTATACCAAGTAAAAGTACATCAAGGATGAAAATAGTCGCGTGTAAATGGCTGCAGATCGTTCTAAAAACTTACGCTGCTCAGGGTCTCGCAGGCTATCGATAAGATCAATACCGGGAGATAAAAGGTTTAGCAAAAGGGAAGAAACTTGATAGGCGTTCTTCTAAGTATAAACTTACAAGTAGCGTATGAAACTCTGCATGAATGTGAGATAAGAACGGCGTCCACACATGGACCAAATATTTCACCTTCCAAAAAATCTTTGAGATTAAGATCCGCAATTTGAAAAACAGACTCAGGGCAGTCTTGAGCTTTTTAATTGAGGTTGGCGAATGGTCCTCAGAGCACATAATTACATAGAATAACGATCAAAGGATAATTGTCCTCAAGAGCGCCCGGCTTGATCAGGGCTGTCAACGCATCATCATCCATGTCAAAGTTGTCGGCATCGCAGTACTATAATAGCAGTCAGTATATTGATCGCCAATTGGCCCTTTTTGGTATGTTTATTCTTCTTACGGCTGGTTGCAAAGGTTTTCGTCAGAGCTTTGCTATAATGACAAGTATAGATCACCGCCGAGTCCTCCTTCGTCGCCTGGCAGTTGTCATCATTTGTGTACATGCAACATTTATAGATGTTAAGTCCTCAATAAGCAAGTACTCTTTTATTTCGAGAAGGTACAGAGTTCCAAAAGAGCTTATTAGCATGATTACATAAATCAAATGATCCCAAGTTATTACCTTTTTCGAAAAACGCTCCAAATCGTGGCAGATAAACTATCATCCGAACTTTCAATAATTTCATGAATGGTGCTTGCGAACAAGAGTTTCACGCCCTTGGCGATGACGACATTCACAGAGATCGCTATATGGCTTTTCAAAATCAAGTTCTTTGTATCTTAGCGTCCTTAATCAATAAAATGAGTATTTTACAGTAATATAGAAAAACAATGACTCTTTTATATAAATCACAACTTAAAGATTTGCGTGCACGCATATATTTTCTCACTGACATATCTCTGCGTTGTTATGAATATAAACATGATTGAAAAAATTATGTATCATAGTGAGAATTTGTTTTGGTTTCTAAGAGAAAGCGCTGCACAGCAAAACTTGGTAGCCGAGCGCAGCTGCTGTAGGTGTCCTTAGAGATTTGCGGTTTGATCAGCGATGTTACTAGACCATCGTTTAGGGATACAGACATTTGCAGCTTATTACAGTATCTCAGTTAGTATATAGATTCACTGTGCTTCACCTCAGGGCTACCAATCGAGCTTCAGTCATAACATCACCAAGTCCGGTAATGATAGCATATGTGAGACAACCCATGGTGATGCTCATAAATGTCTAGCAAAAGGTGAGTATGCGAAAAAGGAGGCTCAGTAATGCTAGTCTCATGATGATAACATTTTGAAGCATAGCCTTACCCGGGTCTTATCAGTAATGCTTAGTTATCTTTTAAAACTAAGGCTGATGTAGGCTAATATCTAAAGGTGTGAATAAGTCAAAATGACAAAGCTAGTATATATGTCATTACGACACCAAACGTATATACCCACAAAGGTTGATCTAAAAGGCCATGCATCACGCCCAAACTGCACAGGAAGCTGCATGACACATTTGTATTTGGGGCTGATCTTAAATGATTTGATTTCATTGTTTTATTGATCGAGAAAATAATTCGTGTGCTGCTGTGCTATACACAGAAACAATGACAGACGTACAATATAGTTCAAGGATAGAATTACATGTATGGAAAGAAGAGTTTGATGGTTTAAAAACCGGTGTCAAGCAAGGGCAGTGCTCAAGGAGTAAAAGGTGACATAGCAGCCGCCTGCAAAGCAGAAAAGATGGATCCTGCTGCTACGGCACCGACATACGATTGCGTCCCGGCGGCCAGACTTCCAGCGACGGGTCCAACAGCGGAAAACCCCATATAAGCAGCGATCGGGGCACCGACTCCAGTTGCAGTGATTGCGGCACCAACACCAGTGACAACAACGTAAGAAAGTAAACCCATGGTGATGTGGAAAAGAGAGTATCAGTAGAAAGAGGAGAGAACAGAAAGTGTGTGCAAAAGAAACGTACTGATACTCAAGAAGCTACCCATTTATATAGATTGATAGACAGCATGAACCAACATCGATCAAAAGCCCGCGATGAGAAGTTAGGTTCTCACAAGTTTGTACGCAAATTTCTTGTGTATGCCATGATTTACCAGCGGATCATGGTGAGTAATTTTTGAAAAAGAAAATTTATTGTATCGGTGTGAGAAACCAATACAAAGTTAGATACACAGTGTTCTATTAAGCATTTCTTGGTGCAGGCGGGTGAGCATGCTCACTGCCTGTTGACCAACGTGATAGGAGACGAAGTCGGCGCCCTCAAAGATACGTTTCCAGTGCGCCTGCCAGATAACGAGGGCAGTGCAAGCAATAAACAGGTCGACAGAGAGCTTCTTGTATTCGTTGTTAATTTGGGGCGAAGTAGTGTGCGTAAGATGGAGGTGTTGGTAGTCGAGAAGATGAGTGTGGCAAGAAAGACGGTGGCAACTTGGTCCCAGACTGAGCGTTTCTTTGGACAGTTCCAAATAAAGTGTTGATCAGTATCACGTTGGTCGCAGAAAATGCATGAGTCGGAGGGGTAGCTGTCCGAGATAAATTGGTGAAGACGAGCGCGACAAGGGAGCTTGTTGTGGTAAAAACGCCATAGAACAGTATGTGCTCGGTGGGGGAATGTTGCCTTCCGAAAGTGTTCCATGCTGCTCGGGTTGCCCGCGGTTAGGTGACAGATAATGTTGACAGGGGCGTGAGATGTGTAATGTTGGCACAGAGTAGTTAGTCGTCGCAGGATCTGCAAAAAGAAACCCTGCCATGTGAGCCAAGACGAAAGAGAAATAACAATCAAGAAAATAACCTACCTGAGTGATGAATCGAAAAGGGGCAACCACCAAAACACCACAAACAGCGAAAAATATAACAATTAAAAAGAATATGCTCTAAATACAAATCGATGAAAGGGCAGATAGAGGGGAGTACAATCAAGGGTTATTACAAGGCAAATCACAGAAAATACGAGCAAATAGCTCCATACATCGGGTACAAGACCACTCACAGGCAAGGTCCTTTTTGAAATCCACGAGAAAAGAGTCCTCCTGTTTATTTTTCAATTTGGTTTTCTTTTTATACAAAAATATGGGTACTACAGTAAGAAAGGGAAATATGGACACAATGACGTTGATTTGGGAGATTGAAGGTTTCACAACGGCGTTGGCGTCTTGTTATGCGGTTTGGCTTGTTGTGTGGGTGTGGTAGATTATATGTGGTTGTCCGGCCTCACAACAAATGGGTTTGGCAATACAATTGGTTGGCCAACTCGTCGATGGCAATTCCTGTCAGAAGGGTAGGGCGGACGAGATTCCTGGGGTCGCAGGTCGCACGAGAGGCAAAGTAGTGAGCGTCGAGAGAGCACTGACCCCGTTGGTATAATTCGAAAAAAAAAACGGAGGAGTCAATTACGATGTTGCCGGTATGAGGATCCAATGTGAAGCCGTGTATAACCCGCAAACCAGTCCAATTGATCGGCGGTTGGTGACCGGGTGGTTGGTCGGAATGTCCGCAAAAACTAGCTGGAGCGGCAAGTCTGCAACGACGTCAGCGGTGATCGCCTTAAAGTTGATATCCAAGGCTAATGAATCACAGGCATTGAGAATATTGTGTAGAGTTTTGATCGTTTTTAAATCGGGTGTGCGGCAGCCAGCAAAGACCATAGGAATTAAAGGATCTCGGGCGTCAGCGAGCGCGGCTAAGCAGAAACGGATGATTGGCAGTGCGGATCATGGTGAGCCTCACAAGCTGTTGTTTTATGTGCGCAAGTAGAAATGGTATTTTGACGCTTTTGCCGGCCTTTGTCCCTTTGCTAGACGCTCGTGAGTACTATTCTTTCATGTGGCATAGAACTGATAAGAAAATGAAGCTATATAATAACTGGCAGCATGACTGTACCCATCTATTACTGTATTTAATGTCTGAGTAGCCATCTTTCTGTTACCAAGATTTAGCTGCAAGCATTGTATGTACGTGGCGCTATTTCTTGATTAGCATGATCGAACTTTGTTGTCACTACCGTTGTAGCAGAATCACGGCTAAACAGGTCTCCTTTATACTGGACTACTGCTATAAACTGAAATCACACTAGTTTATGAATGATATTGCTATGATAAGAGCTGTAAGCTCATGTATTACAGTAAAGACTCCTGATAAAATTTGCTACGGATTGGGCTTGTTGGATCTAAACTACCGTAGCATTGTAATTAAAGCAGTTACAACACTAATTCATTCTTGTTTGCAATGGGAAAAATGCTATCAAAGAATTTTATGTTGTTCTACGGGAGCTCTTTCTCTTATAGCGATTATCTGATGAGTAGTTGCTGGCTTTACAACACAAGGCATGTCCTTTTCTCCCTTTTAAAAAAAATAAAGTCATGCAATATCACAATTGCACTGTGGCCGCCATTCTCAGCTCCTCGGTGTAGCAAAAGCAAGTTTAGGTAAATCAAATACAGCGAGTAGCAAGGGGAAACGACTTTCGGCGCACTATCCGTACATGCACGCCAACATATGCTGAGAAAGCCTACGGCCCTGGTCGTATCCCCCCTTACCTTTGAATATGCTTATAATAGAACGTGCTTGCTTTGCAAATATTGGTTATACTGTACTTTCGTTCTTTTTGCATAAATGGTCTTCTACGACATGTATATATAAGTTTGTACTGTTCAACGAAGTGGTTCTGTGGCAAATTCATTATACTCCAAGAGACCGTGATACATCTCAAAAGCAATAGAAGATTGCATCAGTAATATACGATGACTACACACTCCTGCTTTTTTATTTGTAATATGAATGCAGCCTTGCTACACCTTTGTTTTCGGCACTAATGTGTAGCCGTTTTTGCGGGCCGGATACTCCGGTAGTAACTTGTATTACATTAGTGCGCCGCTCCCTACACTTCACCCCTTGCATGAATGAAGGATATTAAATACTAAGAAAAGTTAAAGAAAAAGACATAGCATACATCTCTTCATCACAATCACCTCTCAAACAAATGCGAAGCACGTCTCAGCGTTCCCTTGAGAAGCTTACCCTCTTTTTCTACGCCATAATTGTCACCATCCTTGTATCTTATCTGTTTCCAGTATCGGCCGTTGACGAGCTCGAAATACCTTCACCAAATAGTAATGTGCTTGTAGCACATCTGTACCGCAGAGAAAACAGGACTCAAGAAATCAGCCCAGCCGTAAGGAGACTACAGCGAGCAACAACAACTGCTGGTAGGAGCAGGGAAGACCGACAAATAGAAAAGGATCTACTCAGAGACCTGGCGATGGAACTTGCCGCCTACGAGATGGACTGTACAATAGGACCGAATGGCTACAATATTCACTAGGGAAATACAATTAGGTATTATCTGTTAAAGACAAAGATTTTTACATGCTGACGGTTTTCTTTTGATTTAAACGCCATTTTTCATGTACGTGACTTGGATCGAGTTGTAGCATCGATCTAAGCCTCTTCTTATTCAATATCTACTTAACTTCTTTCAATCTAACATTACCCCTGCCAAATTTGTTCTCCCATCCAAGTTGTAAACTATCATCAATAAAAGTATTAGCTTCTACAGCTACTGCATGTCACTCATTAATGGTGTTTGCTTACATGTATGGTTACAATATTACTAGGTGAGAACCGAATTTACGCAGCGCGAACAACCTCTTTTGAAGAAACGAGAGCTAAACAAGCAGGTTACACTTTCCCTTTTCTTTATACTTTCTTGCTTGTCATTTCGGTATATATAAAAGTACATATCATAAAAGGAAGTGAGCGCTAAATGTTTTCAAAAAAGCAAATATTATAAGTAGAAGATAATATATGATGAAGAACGGTTCTTCACATTCATATTTTTTCCTTTGGTTACAGCTGCCTTAATTCTCGTTATCTGCTAGTCGTATATATTATCACACGTTTTGTTTTCTTCTCCTTTATCAAATCTTCATTCTTAACCTTGAGTTTGTTGCCCGATGCTAACCCGAGCCAGCAAATACAAATCGATCAGCTGCCTTCAAACCGCTCGCATAGTTGATCCCATTCTGAATTTGCCACATTTTCCCGAGACCGTCACCGCCTAATAAATGGCGTATAAACAGATTCCCCTCACATTCATTTAAAAATTGTCGGTCGCTGAAGGAATTAAACTAACAATATGTAGAACGTTCTCTAGCTGCCCCTTGCTACGTCCGAAACTTAAGGAGCCCATGGACATTTGGCCAGGCACCGGACCTACCACCCAACAATCAGACAGTTGACGACATCATGAACTATTTCCCGCGCTCTGATACCGGCTATTCCTGTGGCAAATGGCAAAGGGCTTGGCCAGCGCTAATACGCGTCCTCAGGGAAATAGACCGCTTAAGTCACGCTGTTGGTAGCTATACGGCGACGACGACGAAACAGCTCCAGAGAAAGCCTTACATCTACCACCATCATCATCTACTGTAATCCAACACAGCACTGCCATTGATTCTACTCTGTTTTCTTCCAACTATATCGTACCTTGCATATACATTCCTGTACTATTCTTTCGCCACGATATTTGTAGTATTATTTTTACGCTAGCATAACCTTTTCCTCTACAGGGGTTTTTCAGTTATTGCATCACATCCTCATATGTCCCTCGTCCACAACTGTATCCTAAGAAAGAGACAACATGCACATAAGCGCCGGTCTAATTACTGTAGTCTTTTACAAAAAAACGGAAATTCTAACTTAATTACTGTATCGACCGTAGAATTACTGCTGCGGAGGCGGAAGCAGTACGTTCTTTCATCTTTGACGATCGTATCACATATTTTATCTAGTACTAAGAGCTGCGCCACACTTGTGCTCCCATTTTCAATGAAGAACATAATAAAAACGGGGCAAACCTTACACTCTTTACATTTGTATTTTCTTCTATCTATATATTTCATCTTTTTTTTTTCAGATTTGCAAACAATAAAATTAAGATGTCGAGCGCTACCCTTGTCTTTGCGGAAACTCTCCATCCTGATAATGATACTCCTGCTTCATGTCTTTCTGCGCGGTCAACAGCACCATCACTTCATGACTTACAACAGTTTCCTCCGCTATCTTGCAATTTATCACTTTCGGGCAAACTAACAAGCCGTGACGATGGCTGGGAGCTATTGACCGATCAAGATGAATTGCTCTCCTGTGACAGCACTAACAGCGCCGTATGGATTAAACACCGTACATATGCAGAAATGGCGACACAGGCCGGCGTGGAGCACTACCCTATCAAGCTTCCAGCCAGCCAGCATATAAAGACAGCAATAAGACACCTTAGCCACGGTGATAGCGATCGAATATCAGCATTACAAAATGATTTATTGCAGAAACGGAGACCGGAATATATGGCTCCTTCTACAATGCAGATGACACACAAATCCCGATTTATGGAGACTTTGCCGCCAAATGGAGCTCACGACGACAACAGACAAGAGCAGCTGCGGCAACTAGATCCATGGTATCAATCCAAATGCCTGAGAAGAAGCAAGTACGAAATCAACCCTATAGTTCACCACCGCAAGCAGAAAACACTTGAAATCGCCTTTCGTCGTGCAGCAGAAAACTTCACGGCTATGTCCAAGAAGCGACGACGGGCTCCAAAGCAAGAGCTCAGCAAAGCACAACAATGTCTAGCCACGGTTAAATCGCTCCAGATTAACTTACCACCTCGCTATTACGTCCAGGGTGATAGAAGAATAGGAAGAGTGAAGTTTTCTTGCAGACTAGACAAACACTATTCCGGGCGTTTATCGTTGAACCGCTTTGAAGAAGCGTTCAAGGATCCACTTGTTCGCGAAATTGTGCTCGGTCTAATAGACAAGAGACTTAAGAATCCTTGTGGCTGGAGACCCATTCCCGAGTATAACAAGAAGCAATGGTCCACGTTGGTCGAATACTATGCTCACTGCTATCAAACCCACATCTACCACGATCTTTTTTCCGTCTCGCGCGAGTACGAATACACAATCATTCCGCAGTTGCGAATAGTGTATTTAAGAGCAAAACGGAGATGGATCAGTGCTTTGACACACACGCTTCCTTCAATCAAGGACAAGTCTGTTTGTCGAAGGAGCCGCATGGAATATGCTCGACACGTTTTACGCGATTGATTTAGGAATTTGCAGAAATGATATATACAATAAAATTTAGCATAGTTGCTTTGAAGATGGATTCACGAAAAGTAGCGGACACGTGTACATATAGCGAATGAAATAAAAGGTTGCAGATTTTGAAGCTTTCTCTAGTTATTAATCCACAGTACCTTGCTACAGCAAAAATAGATAACATTGCAGAACAGCTTTGAAGCATTATGCATATTTGAACCCTGTAGTAAGGCTCCAGGTATCAAGACATTGCCAAGCCGTCTTTCGTCCTCTTTTGAAACATTTGATACAATGACACATTTTATCACGTCCCAATAGCATCGAACAAATAGATTTCGACAAAGAAGATATCCACAGGATTACAACATCATCTAAGTCATGTGTCATTGACGGGCTGACAGTCAATCACTCCGCTGTCGCTTAAACGACGGCAGAAGACACCGATACTGTAGTCTCCAAGGTGAGTATAACAAAAGAAATCACTGATAGTACTGTCATTTGTTTTTTCTTTATAAATAGCAAAGTACCAAGGTTGCTTATGACAGGAGTCTCAAAGAGTATGTGGCGACAGCTGTACATACATTTCTTGCTACGTACTGTATTACTATTGCGTGGTTTATCAACAACTGCTCTTCGACATGTTTTTAGTCACAGTAATCAGGAATGCATTGCACTTCCCCACTTACTGACAAGCCGTTCAAAACAGCAGTTTTCGCTCACTACGTATTTTTCAGCCAACTAACGATTTACGCATGTGACGAGTGTTCAAGCCGATCTCTGTAGCCTCATAATGCAAATTCACAATTGTTGTGCTTGTAATTTTTCAGAAAACGACTGCATACAGTACTGTAAGCTCTGAGCGCTCTACTGTCAGCATAATCGTGTGCTTTATGAACAATTAGTAATATTCTGATCCCTCTCTCTACGTGATGAGCTGTCATAGAGTGGTTCCTAAAGTATCACTGTCGATAGCAGCATTCCTACTACAATCCTGCAGATGTCGGATCGGATCCCCAAATTCGGGTTACGATAAAGGGGGTAGAGGAGATGTTAAGCAGCTTCCTAACAATGAAGAGGCCCTGAGGAAAAATAGCGAAATGACCCTCGATCAACCACGTATAAGGATGAATATAGATAGTTTGTGCATGGTTTTAATGTTTTTTATGGTTTCCGGACTGTTTCCGTTTCATGTCATAATAGAGAAACGGGTTATCTGTTCGATGGCACAACAATGATCAACAGGGCTTATCCTTATTATTGAATTGCTGTCGGGAGACGACTTAATGGTACTTAGCACCACTTTTCTTGTATGCAAGTACCACGTTCAAAAAGCACGAGATATATTCTCAGGACTAGTTATGATGTTGTGGTGTACAATTGAAGAAAGGAGGAGGTATTAGAGCTGCAATAAGTTACCCTGAGCTCCATTGTCCGGCAAGGGATCCGACAGACAGTGTGTACAAGCACAATAACTGCTATATTTACTACATGATACCAAGGCCCACTTTTGGGGGTGAAAAATAGAGTCCGCTGCATAACGACACCTTCTTCTAATTTTGTCGCGCAAAAAAAGAGAAAGAAATAAAGCTAACGAGGCTTTGGGTACGTCAGAATCTTTAATACTGTATACTTATTGCACAAACACCCTTTTATCATTCTCTTCTCTCCCGCTCTCCCATCTTTCACATCACGTATGACTACCTCACAATTACAACGTACCGAAGAAGAGACACAAGAAAAATTAAAACGTAAAGAATTCTTCCACACATCCCCCCACCCGCACACTTTGCGAACGCTCTCATCCGTCGTGGCAGTGTTTAAGCCTTTCTACAACTCGCATTTTAAGTACAAGACATAGTTAGAGGGAAACTAATCATAGAATTCAATCATTTCTTTGCTACCCTAACTTTTACTAGCAATGTTACAGTCCACATCCACGGGCGTCGTTACCGTGATCTTGCAACCTCGGCATGCGATGTTTCAAACGAAAACACTCGAACTTCGAGATAAATTACATATACGAATAGGGAGACAAACTTCTTCTAAAACTATACCAGGACCATTGAATGGTTATTTTGATTCCAAAGTCTTGTCGAGAACGCATGCCGAGATTTGGAGTGAAAAGAGCAAAGTAAGTATGGTGCTAATTGATTATTTTATATAAAACAAAAAAGAGAGTTATGTTATCCATGAGGTATTAAAGAGTATACGTATACGTCTGGCTATGGCTACTTAGGTGTATATCAAGGATGTAAAATCAAGTAATGGCACATTTTTGAACGGACGGCGGCTTTCCAACGAAAATGAAGAAAGTTCACCAATGGAAATAAAGTCAACGGACGAACTCGAGTTTGGAATAGACATATCACAAGATGATGGATCGAGTAAGTTTTTGTTTTGCGTGGAACCCAGACGCTGATCAAGGGAGGTTGGGGTGGATGCTAGTGATTATAATGTCAGGGAGGGAATTAAGTGGGTGATGATGGTACTGATTATCCAATATAATACATGATGAAGTCCTTTACCATAAAGTAGCATGCCAAGTTCATATTATACCGACATCGCTATCCCAGGTGGATAACAATATGCTCAAGGAACTCAACATTGGCTTATCAAATGGCAGTAGTGGAAATGATCATCACCAATACTACCCACATAGCACTGTAAGTTTGTTGTATAAAGCGAATTATGGAGGGTTTACGATGGAGGCAATTTGCCACGACAAATAATAAAAAGAGAACGTGGATGTGCTAACAGAGTAAGAACATGAAATCAAGTTACAACGAAAATCATCTGCTTCATCTATATCGACAATCTCCTCGGCAACAGCATCTACCGCGGTAGACTACGCATCCTCATCACCTGTATCAGCAACAAATAATAATAAACGATCAGGAAGGAACTGGGAACTTTTGTTGGCTAAATTACAGGTAGCAAGGCCGCCACACGTGCACATCATAAACCATGTTCTTTATTACAACAATTCTTCTTTATAATCTGATCTCATATTCTAACTCAAATGATACTAGGCCGAGGTCCAGCGATCCAAACAGCTGGAAAATCAGCTGAGAGCGGTTAAAGATGTGATAGCAGATGTGGACAAGACCTTAAACAACAATCGATTGGAAAAAGCGGTAAGTCTTTTTTTTATTATTCCCGATGGCGTCATATGTTGTTGATTTGACTATCCTTACCCTCGTTATTATTCAATTTGCTACTAGGATACCCGAATCGTGCTGTTACAACAAAAACTGCATGAAGCACAACAACAGGTAGCATCGTATGCGGAAAAATGTCGACACCAAGATCAGGCAATAACAGCTGCATCCAAAGAATTACTTCGGCTTCAAAATACATTACGGCAATTGCAGCAAGGAAAGGAACCAGTAGCATCTGTTGACAAAGATAACGGTGATGATCGTGAAAGGAAGAATGGTCCTCATTCGCTCGGTGCTACTGCTAGTATCACCAGTAGTAGTAATGATGGTGGTACGCAACGACAGGTGGAAGAGCTAAAGTTGGTACTGGATGAGCAAAAGCTACGGTTAAACAAAGACCTGGCAGCTGAGAAGGCACGGTGTATCGAGTACGAAAACAAATGTCTGTTGCTAGAACGACGGATCAAGAAGCTAGAGCAGGAACGGAAACCAACCACAAGCCTAGCAGATGTGCTACAGGTAAGGAAGATTGGGATAGTGGTACAAATAAAAAAAAAGGATCGAGAGAGAGGGTGTGTTGTGATCCAATAAGAATATTCTAATTACTGACTACGAATATGTTTTCATTAGATGCGTGCTGTACAAGTATCGTTGGCAATACTCATGGGCATCATATCAGCTTTATTATATGTACTTGTTGCCATTTAGAAAAAGGAAAAGAAATGTTTCTTTAACTCGTTTTCTATCCGTGTCTCTCTCCATCTGACTCAAAAGAAGAATAGAAATGGAAAGAGTAGTTTGTAATATGTAAAAGAGAAAGCAGCCTTTTCTTTATTCCAAGTATACCCCACTCATTATTTACACTTTATGTATCTATATTATAATTTTATTATATACAAAACAAAACGAGTGAGAGAACCCTTTAATCTGGGTGCGTTTGTGTTATGGGAAACGGGCCAAGTGCTTGCTTGCCTGATCTGGCTGCATACATCTTGTACGTCTCATTTGACTTATTGACCGGAGCAAGCGACCCGTTTCTCGGGTATCACAAAGTTCGTCATGCATGCATCCACCATTCCCCAAACACTTTTGCAAATATGAAAAGTCGATCCTTTGCTTCATCGGCATTGTTTGTATAGCCTGCTGTATATGACAGCTTACCAAACGTATAGAATAATAGGAAGTTGGCTATTTATAATATAGAACAAAAGAGACAGTAAAGACAATGACAACAAAAGAATAAGTAATGTATGCGTAATACTTGCGGGACTTTACATTGGACAATGAGAAAAATAGAGGAAGAGAGGGTACAAATGAGTGTGGCAAATTTTCGTGTGCATATTTTTGCTGCAATATGTGAGTGTGAATATGTGTGGTGATATGTACAAACAGGTGGTGATGGTGGTGAGAGGGAAAATAAGGAGGTTTTGCGTTTTACATTATTTTTTGAGGGCTTATTTTTACTCTTTAATAAACGTCGTTGCTCTTCCATAAATCTTTGACGGAGCTCACTACGTTTGCTTCACCGGGATAGTAGCGTCGTCCATGCGAATCATACATGCCGCCAGTCATAGGTGAGTATGCATTACCGTAGTATGAGCCGTATCGAATTCGATTCAAAAGACCACGGAACAGTCCTGGGCCTCCTCGTCCGTATCGTCCACCATAGTACCCGCCACCATACGAAGGGTAGTAGCCACCGTATCCGCTGTATCCGCTGTATCCGCCGTATCCGCCGTATCCACCGTATCCACCGTATCCACCACTGCCGTACATGTATGACGATGGTCCGTACATCCCACTGCCACCGTACGTGCTGTATGGATTATAGCCCATTCCACCGCCGTATCCGCCATACGGGTTATACACTAATGTTCGGGTAATATGGCGTTAGGGATGTTGTCAGTAAGCGAAGATCAGCAAAATAGGGCCATAAACGTTGATAAGCTTACTTGAATGGTAGTATGACATGTTTTATTATTTGTTGCGTGTGATGTGTAGTAAGAGGGAAGCGGATGAGTAAGAGTGTCTGAGAAAGAGAGAAAAGTCAGGGCGAGGAAAGTACAAAAGATTCCAGTATTTATACAAACTGGGTTACATGAATGAGTGGCTGCGCTGCCTACTTGATGGCATGTGTGTTTTGAATGTGCTGCTTGCCTTGCCTGAATCTGGTGCTGTTTGATTTGCTCTACGGTGATGATCACCTGAGGTGGCACGAAGCGGTTTTTGAAGGGAGAGGAAGGAAAGGGGCCCTTCCTCACATTGACGATATAACATGAAGAAAAAACCAGGCTCGGGTCAGGTGCCCGCATGTTTCCCGGAGTACAATTCCGGGCACAGCGGAAGTCCGTGTTCGTGCACGCGTGTACGCTACTCTCTTGCCTCCTTGAACCAGAAAGATTACACAAATGATGTGTATTTACGCTATAATCTTACGTTGATGTGTTATTGGATCGCTTAGCAACGTCGCACCGTATTGCCATCGTGATTTGTTGACGGTTGCCCGCGCTTTTTGTTTCCCTATGTGTTACTAATTCCTTTTCCGATCCGGTCTAAAATTCTTGTCATCCGCATATTTCCATATAAAAGTTATGTCCACAGCCCGCAAGAGGATATTCTTTTGCATTTGTAAAGAAGAGCAGCTGTGTTGTAAAGAATAAGAAAAAAGAATATAGCAGTGATTTATACAAATGTATGTAAATGCGTATTGAGTATATTACGGGAAACAAGGGCGTGGAGAAAAGCTATTACAATGTTTAGTGCTGTTATTTTTGATAGCGTTTTAGCGTGTGTTTGTGTAGGTGTGTGTTGGTTTGCAAAGAAACTACAGCGGGGAACGACGTCTACTGTATAAATGTGCGCATGTCGTGTGTGTGCGTGTGTGGTGTGTGTGTGTGTGTGTGTATATATATATATCAGTGTACGTGAAAGAAAACGCAAACGTGTAGTAGAAAGGAGGCGTGGATTTGAAATTTTTTGGATGGATGAGAAGGAAGAAGGGTAAAGAGTTTAGCCAATGATCTGAACCTTGATAGCACCGTCACGACCTTCCTTGACGTGCTTGAAAGCTTCGACAGAATCTGACAAAGGATACGAGTGGGTGATCAGAGGCTTAACATCAATGATACCTGATGCCAGCATCTTGACGGCAGTAGCATATGTCTATATATTCAAACACGAGTTAAATATACTGTACTATTCCCACGCACACCCTTCATCTTCAACACAACTATCCGTTGCTTATTATCGCAAAATAACTTACGTTGCAGTAACGGAAGATACCCTTGATGTCGACCTCACGCGAAGAGATTTCAGAAATAGGCAGCGCCTGAACAGAGCCACCCATACCGACCAATACGACAGAGCCACCGTTCTTGGACAAGAGGACGGACATTTGTACACACGTCTCTGCACCTGTACAATCAATGACAGCATCAGCCAGTTCTTCGGTCTTTAGGATTTCTTGAGTCATACGACGTGAGTATTCCATGTTGGGCTCGCCAGCATTGGGACGTTGCAACAAGACTTGGGAATCGGTATAGTAGGTCTTGGCGAACTCCAAGCGCGAAGGGACCAAATCAGCAATGGTGACGTGGCCGGCACCAGCGGCCTTGGCAGCAGCAGCACACAAAAGACCAACAGGACCCGCACCAAACACAATGACACGGTCGCCAGACTTGATGTTGGCGCGACGGGCAGAGTGAATGCCCACGGACAATGGCTCGATCAATGCGCCCTCTTCAAGAGACACGTGGTCGGGAAGCCTAAATAATACCAAAGTTGGCGTCAGTCATGGAATATTTGTATTGCGCCACTTTGCAAACAACACGCAACACACACACACACTCTCTCTCTCTCTCTCTCTCGCTCTTATTCACTCCGATACGTTACTTGAAACAAAAATCGGCAGCGTGCTTGTAGTAGTTGCACAAGGTGCCATCAATTGGAGGTGTAGCAGCACTAGATGAAACAATAGAGGCCCACAAGTCAGCGATCCGTCTTTCCTCTCACTCACTCGCACCCCCATCTTTCTCTTCGTCAGTTCCAACTTTCAAACGAAAACGTACAAAGACATCTCAGGGCACAGGTTGTAACGGCCAGACTTGCATTGATCACACAATCGACAGGCGACACCGGGCTCAAGAGCAACGCGATCGCCAACCTTCAAGTGCTTCACGCCGGGACCAACGTCAGCAACAATACCAGCGGATTCGTGACCCAGAATCATGGGTGCCTTAAGTTGGAAATCACCAATACCACCATGGAGCCAGTAGTGGATATCCGAGCCACAGATGCCGGTGGCCTTGACATTGATCAAAACATCTAATAGCACGGCACATATCAAATCAGAACTACTTGCTCTCTCTCCCTTTACACGACGTGATGTGAAACACACAGCATTAGACATTAATTTCCTTACCACCAAGACCGAGTTCAGGAATAGGTCGGTTTTCCTGGAAAAAGAAAAAAGAAGATTTCACACATTGTAATAAGTGAGTAATTAGGTATAACACGTATCACTTTTTGCGGGGGGCCAGTGTTGTGTCGCGGTGGGTGTTACAAAAAGAAATGAGCTGTGTGGTCTTTTGGCACATACCAGAACAATGTTGTGCTTTTCGCGCAGGACAACGCACTGGTTGATTTCGTCTTGTGGAAGGGTCATGCTGTTTATGTGTATCCAAGTGGAGGAGGTGTTGGAAGAGGTGTGGCCAGTGACGACAGATAGATGGGAGAGCAAGAATGCGGAAAGAGAAGAAAAGAAACTCAAGTCTGAAAAGAGAAACAAGATGGAGTCTTATATAAGAGCCAGTTGAAAAACTTTTAGCTTCAGATTCAATGTGAGTGTGTGTAGGTAAAGGGCGTCCGTCTAAACTTATGTTCTCCGGACTCCACCCACGGAACTTGAACCAACCGGAAAGTTTTCTAAAAGCCTAAAGGCCTGAGGACCCTCATTGTCCAGTCGGGCATATTTCCATATTTGTCAACAATTATGATGCAGAACTGAAAGGTCCGCAAACGTTTTAAATAAAAAAAAGGCTGTTAAAGGGTTTTATTTTTTCAAGGAACGCTGACCTCCACCCCGCACTATATATTCGATTGTGATATTCTCCTTCCCAACCAGCTCTGTGCGCCTCTTTTCTTTGATCTCGTCGTGCTTGAATGCATCTTTTGCCTTCGGAGACGTACTGCAATGGCAATGTTCGACAATGGAGAAAAACTTGCAACAATTCAAGAGACAGTCTCACTATAGGATTGACAGCTGGTTCTGGTCCTTAGGCGAGGTGATTGTTGGAAGGAAGATATCCCTTTCCAATATCAGTATTTAAATTGGGTGTTACAAAGGTGGAAAAGGGCTGCAATGAAAGTATATCTATATGCAAAACAACTTGGACCATCCTGCGCCCCCCAACTAAAGAAAGTTTGGCTCTAACAAAGATTGGATTTCTTGATCACAGCAGCCATTGAGCTTTGGCATCTTGCATGCTCATCGGAATAGGATGCAAGGCGAGGATCATCGGGTACAAGAAGGTATGGTGATGGGGATTAGAGTTTAACCTGCAGCCGGTTGAGATGCAGTCAAGTAAGACTACTTGAAACAAAAGAGGGCTCTGAAGGGAAGAGGAAGGAAGGCGTTATGGATTGGTATTGTGATAAACGATAGTGATCACGTTATATGGTAATCCTGTGCACGAGAACTTTTCTTTACGTGATCGTTTGTGTCATCACTATCTACATAGCTTAATAAACGACAAGAACCAAACAAAACAAAACAAAACGAAAGACTTGCCTGTTGGGTGTGTATTATTTGAACGAATCTAACGATTGGAGACTCCCGGCCTCATCAACAAGCCCATTACAGAATGGATGATGTTTTCTTTAACGGGTCTTCCTTCCTGGTAGTATATATAGCAGTATCGGGTGCATAACCATATCAAGGGCTAGGAGGACTTGGTTGAAGGGTAATATGGACAGAGACGGAACGACCTTGTTATGGGTGTTCCTTACATGACAAAATGTATGTAAGACGAATATATACAACACGTTTGCTTGTGCGCCCAGAGTAGTTTTGTGGGTAAGTCTCCCATTGGCTGCTTTAAACCTTGTCATATCCAAATTAAACATGCGTTTATCAACGTGTTCCTCGACATACATATGCTCAAGAGGCCCCGATCCTCGGATTCCTCTCAGATCGCCAGTCACGTCAAAAGTAGCATGTCCACAACACCATATCTCTTAACGTACCTATCATTCGTCTTTCGTCTGTCTACAGAAAAACCATTTTGCTGCTGTTTCTTTATTAATCTCTAAGGCAAGCTATCTGCCTTATTCCTGATGTGGATGATGTTTAAAGTAACGACTGCATCGTATTTCCCACCAACTTTGGCTGTTTCAAATTTCAAAAACGCGGGTGTTTCACACGGTACACACCTGCTCTTGACCTAGATCAAGAGCTGCGTCATACCCAGTGGACCTTGTGGCAGTCAGTATATACTACATCATTAGTAACAGCTTCGCGAGGAAGGTTTCTCGTAACATATACGTATAGAGTAGACATGTCATAAACGGTCACTTTCTTTATATCCACTGTACTGTAGTAGAGCGAAGAAGCGAACCTTCTTATCCAATATCTGCTGCTGGTGACCAGCTATGCATTTCCATTGCTTTGTTCATTAGACGAACAAGTTATGCCTATTTCATTAGTGCATCTGTAAACAGATGTCAAGTGTGGATAAGGATGGGTAAATGCTGGAAAGTTTAAAGTGAGAGAAGAGCATGATTTTTACAGTTTCAGGAAACCGCTATTTTTATGATCGTCGGGTGACACACGGCCCCAAACACGTAGTAGATACACTCTTTTTTCGTTGTTTAATCATCTTCCCATTTCAAAATGCATCTACTGCGCGTATTTGCTCTACTACTAAGCTTTGTTGCAGCACTGAGCGTTGCTCAAGTAACTCAAGTCACCGATGAAAATGTTGGATCGCTCATCGGCAAATCTGACGAGTGGCTCCTCGAATTGTAAGTTTTGGACATTGTATAATTCTTTATGTTGAATCTCGTAAAACAATATAAAAGTAGAAGAATTTATAAACGTGAATGCAAATCCGAATATATAGCTACTAACAGAACTACGGAAATAACACTTGCAAAAAAATTGTTTAGTTATGCTGATTGGTGTAATTTCTGTCGTAATTATGCACCTAAATATGAAGCAGTACAGCGCGTTCTTGCCAGTAGCCCTACTAGTCACGATGTCGGTGTCGGTAAGGTCAATGTCGAAACAAGTCCCGGACTGGCTGCCCGATTCTTTGTTCAGCGATTACCTACGATTGTACATATCAAGGACCATCAAGTACGTGTTATCCCTGCCGACCGTATGAACGATTTAGTGTCGCTTATTGAGGACCAGTCATGGAAGGATCTTCAAACTGTGAATGGTATGACCTCGCCATTCAGCGTAATGTAAGTTTTTCGGGATGGGTTTTTGAAACCGAGCATATAACAGGGTAGTACAGTAGTATGCGGTCTGTACGATCAAAGATACTGACCTAAAGAATTCTTTATATAGTGGAACCTTGGTTTCTTACACTGGCAAGATGGTAAAGTGGGCATCAAGCATGTCATCGCTGACGATCGTGCTCTTGATGTTTGTGTTGCTCGCTTTCGTGGTGATTGTTCCTGCATATCTCCCGGGTACTGAAGAATTGAAGCAAGAGGCTGAAGAGGCTAAAAGGTTGGAACAGGAGAAGACAAAGGAAATTGAAGGGCAAGGCAAATCCACGGCTAAGCCCGAGTCTTCTGAATCCACAAAACAACGCAAATCTAAGCGCATCGATTAGTCGAAAAATAAACAATGAGAAAGGAAACAACAAGTGTCACACTCGTGCACAAACTATATTGGCAGAATAGCTAATAAGACAAGTATACATATACTCTCATAGTAATAATACCGAAAATGCAGTTATTGGGTCGAGGCATATGTCTCTATATCGGTATGCGTTTCTTCCAATTCCTTACAATTATTTGACGACGACATTACGTATTGTTGACAGTAATAGCACGAAATGGAGCCTCATCACACAGTAGATGTTGCCAATATATTTCACGTAATGATGCCTTCTGTGTTATTTGTTTTGCGTCATATGCGGTGTACCGTAGAGGAAGTCCCTAGCTCATGAACGGTTAGAGTTGGTTGCTACGTATAACTAATGAAGTCAAGGATTTGGTTTTTCATTTTTAGAAACCATGTAAATTGTATTTCCGACTCATTACCATTTGTGGTGTCCTTCAAAGAAACGTATATGGGATTTCAATGAAAGCTAAAATTATCAGCCACGGTGAGCATTAGCTTCCGTTAGCTCAGACTATTAAAGCATCATTTCTCGACGAAGAAAGCGAGTGTTGTGTTCTAGTGATATACATTGAGAAGAAAATAATGACTGCATTCAACAACTTTTCAAGAAGACAACGAAGCCTGAAGTCATCCGCATGTTTGTTGCTGTGGTGGCTGCTGGCTGGTATTTGACGCGACTTGCTCGGCAAGTTATCGCTACAATTAGTGGTATCACGTAATACCGTGCCATAATCATATCTCTTCTATTCGCTACTCTCATGCTTTTATATGCTTAATTTACACAAAAAGAAAAGAGTTTAAGATTATTGCTACTGCAATGTATGACATTTGCTTGCGTGCGGTTTCTTATTCATAATGTATTAAGCACAAAAAACCGATGTTGTTTGGAATAACCGCAGCAATACATACAGTATCCTTTGGCAAAGCATTAACTAGAAGTTTAGAGTCAACTTCATGCCGAACAGCGATATTCTTGACAAGACGTAAACCTGTGAACGTCTGTGATAAGCGTTTACTAGAAAACTACATTAACGCCAAACATTATTATTTATACCAGTCAGTGAATAGCGTTTGAATATAATTGTAACTGTAACAGCACATAGCATCGAGGAAAAATGTAATGCCTTCTTGCTTAGAGATATGCTTTGTTATTCCCCTTCTTCTTTCTTTGTAATTTATACCATACGATGATCAAGTAATAAAATATATATTAAATGGCTGCAGGATTACATTTAAGTAAGTTTTGGGATGAAATTCGATGACGAACTTTTGTTTAGGGCAGTACATTTCGTACAGAGAGGAGAATGGAGAGATGTGCCCTAATCATGATGACGTTCTGCCCAATACTGTAAACAGGACGCGTATGATTATTTCTGTACCGGCAAATTAAGTGTTATCCATTATCTTTAGTATCATTTTCAGAGAAAATTTGATTGACTCACCCACATCTAGCTCAATCAAAGCAGAAGTGCATCCTCGGTTTTCACCGATGTATATGTATTTATGTATAAACTTATCTCGTTTTCCATAGATATATATCGGTTTTTGTTTTTTCGCCACTTCTATAAACACAGATGACCCAATATACATCGTATTTATCTACACACGAAGCTGGAGATCTATACCGGCCTGCAGCAGTAACATTAGTACGTATCCTTACATGAGTAATTGGTCGTCTATCCTTCCGACATAAGTTTACATTCATCTTCAGAAACTTCTCTACTAAACGAATCTTGTGAGGCAAGGTCTCCTCTGGCACGGTTGCATAACAAGCACTGAGCACATTAAGTCGATGATTGGTTTATCGAACGGCTATGATAAAAACATATACTGCATAGCTTTGTTGTCTGAGAGAGTACCAACATTCAGAAATACTATGTACCAATCGAATTATTTATTGTCTTTAGAGAAGCAGATTACCGTCATACTGAGTACGTCAAATTACGAGAAAGTGAAAAAGAGAGTGTGAATTACAGGAAAAAAATATAAAGATTTGCAAAAGAGGGAAAGACGAGAGATTCTTTTTTTAGCCTTTCACTCGTAAAGATCCTGAAGAGCGTTCAACAAGGTATGTTGCTCATCATCCATTTCCAAAGACCAAAGCATCATGCCTCCCAAGTTGTACTGTTTGACATAATCGATCTTGGCTTTCAACGACTGTGGATTGTCAAAGCTCAAGTACTGTTTCTGTTGTGCATTATATGCATAAGGTGTCATTGTGATATCGTCGAAATAGACGTCCCACGCGGTGCTGTTGTCGCCCAACACAGTTTTGTCGATAGATCGCCATTGCATTTCACCTGAGAAAGATTTGGTATCTGTGTCGGGACAAGGTTCGGCTTCTTCCGAGTCGTATTGATCGGCTTGAATTTGTGGCTGGCTGTGGTCAATGGTGACATATTGGACACGCTGACTGGCAGCTCGAGAGACACGGGTAGTGTAACCGAAAAATGGTACGCCCACAACGATACGATCATGTGGAATTCCAGCTTTGGCCCATGCGCGCACAGCTCGATCAATGCTAGGCTCGTGGTTGACGCCGCCATAGTAAAGTGGCGAGTTGGGTCCAGTGTGATTGTTCCAAAATCCGTTCAAGTCATAGCCCTACATGATGATCACATTTTCTGATTATCAGTTTCGCTATTTTATGAAAGAGAAAGAAGGGTCTTATACCATGATTTGAACAGCATCCAAAGCTGTTGCCCATCCAGGACTAAGATGCGAAAATGGCTCTTGCTTGGCATCATTAAAAACCAGTGTGCTGACTGCAGCCGTCAAAAGCTTTTTCTTATCGAATTTGGAATCCAGCTTGACTCGAAGCAGTTGTAGGAGCTGAAGGAAATTGGGAGTATCTGCAGGGTCACTATACAGGCGTGGAAATAAAGCAAACGTTAGTACATACCCCGAAAAATAGACAGAAGAAAGTATTACTTTTGGTTACATGAAACGCCATTCGCACTGTTTGGATACTCTATTATTGTAGTAAGTCGTATTTGTCACTCATATTCGTGGACAGGTCAAAATTTCCTCATTACTTCTTGCTCGGGAACTTACCCCAGTCAATGTCAATACCGTCTAGGTCATAGTCCTGGCATGCTTGAGCAAGAATATCGGCAAACGATCGACGGGACTGGTCCGTGCGAACCAAGGAGCTAAAATACAAGGACCCGGTCCATCTAGGTTGTGTCATGTAATATGTATTTTAAATATTGTATAGTTGTCAGTATAAACAAAGAGGCCCTTCACACGTGGAAATCCCAAAACAAACGTAGGGGTTTTTAATTTACTCACCCACCAACGCTCAGACTGATAGTCTTGTTATTATCATGAGCCTCTTTCACCACTGATTATGTGTTCAACGATGGTAGAACGAATAAATGACAGGAAAAAAGAAGTATATGGTATAGTAACAGTTAGACAGGAAGCATATATATAGAGGGGGAGATTAAATAATGGAGGGGTGGCAAAGGGGAGAATTTTACCGGATTTTAGTTGATCCTCGTTGAACTGGCCCAAATTGCCCGAGTTGTCAGGTACGCCAAAGGCATAATTAACATGATCGAACTTGTCCCAAGGAATCGAGTCAGGCATGGCCTATATATACATAACGTATCAATTCAAAAATCCATGTTTGCTCGATTATAACAGATTCGATAGTAACAAAAAGAGAAGGACATTTTGTATAGGCTCGTGTGAAGCTGCGAAAAAAAAGGCATCCGCTATATTACGTACCCAATCAGTGATATACGCTGTCAGTGTCTTCTTCTTCGTCGTGTTGTCTGCAGAGTCGTCACCATTTACAGGTGCTGCATGAGCTGACGACACCACACCGAGTAGGAAAATCAGCACGAATGATAAAAGTGTCAGAGAACAGTAGTGGCTGTTGCGATACATTTTTTTTTATTCCTGGCAATGATGATCCAGAAAGGTAAGGAAGAGGGTGGACGTGGGAACTATAAGTGTGGAGAAAGAAAGGATGAAAGAAAAGACAGAATTCAATGGATTCTCAATTTTATAAGCAAATTTATTTACCTTGTGTTGTCAAAGAACAACAGGGAGAAAAAGAACAATGTACACATACTGCTCAAACGAGGTTTCATTATGCTATTAGTAGCACTAGCACTAGCATCTTATTCATATTAGCGTATTATACATACCCCACAATTTCTAGGGGGTCATACAACTATAAGTTGACATCGATACAATCAACAATTGATCAGTCAGCGACGACAGCTGTTGCTGGTGCGCCCCTGAATAATGATCCTGTTGTTAATGGACGCTCGGATATGATGCCCCTTAAAAACGCATCGCGTTTCGCTAATATGATCAAATGGTACAGAAAATAAAGAGAGCCATGTAAAACAAAGCAATGTCAGCGAGGCAGTTGCAAAATAGATGACGAGGTTTGTAAGAGGACCAGCCTCATCACGGTCGCCATTATTATTTTTGTCGATAATGATGCAGCCATGTTTATCAAACGATAGAATCAAGGTTTTAAAGTGCTCTCTTACGCACTAAGTTACTGCTTGCATCTAAGAATCCTCTCGGGTCAGGTCAGGACGGTTCTCTGCTAGAAGCCAGCCGAATAGTGCTCACACGAGAACCGTCCCGAACCGTCTCAAGAACCGACCTGAGAGCCGAACTAAGACCGAGTTTTCTATATTGCAAAATCAACAGGGTTGGGTTGTATTCATGATTGTAGTTATAAGCGTGCGGAATCAAAGGGAAGACGTACTTATCGTAGTATTTAACGAAAACTGTTAATAAAAGACGTGCTTTATTACATTGTAGATAGCAGTATGATCGTGCATGACGTTAAGTATAAATTGCGTTCTAACTGCTGGTCTACATACTAAAGGGAACAAAGAGCTTGCCCGGATAAAAGTCGTGGCATGCCTTTGGTTCGCAACAGTTAATGCTGCGTGCTCAGCAGCAATCGTTTGTGTGAGGAAACCATTAAGAAGCTAATGCTTCTAGGCTCCCGGTGCTTATAATTTTTTTTTCTTCTTTGTTCTTCCCTTTGCTCTTGTCTTTCCACTTCTTTACTTCTCTCCTCCCGTCACCCACCCTTCTCTTTTAATCTTAATAGCTTTTTCACATAACAAATAAAGCTGTGGTTAACAAGTGACAATTTAACTCACAGTTTTTCTTTTACAGTTAAAGCTCTCGATTGAAATGACCTTGTAATCCTGAATTCGGTTCCTTGATTCTCATAAGGATCCTTACTTGCATCGTCCATACTTCTGTTAAATTGCATTAAAAACAGAAAGAGCTAAATGCATTTGGACGCGTGTAACATGTTTTTAAAGCACGCCCGAGGTGGCTGCATATATGCTTGTTTGTAAGAGAACCCCATCATGTGGCATTGAAGGACGACGGCGCAGGCTGAGTCAACATGAAACATGTACATAAAAAGCAACTACCCCTTTGCAGTTTTGACACCACGCTCTTTCTTAGTTTGACGAAGGCGTGATGAGCCTTTCCAAATTACTGCGGTTACCTCCATTAGCAAGCCAAGGCGAATCGCATTCATTGTTGACGGTGACGGAACTCGATCTAACTGCCACTCAACATGCCTTTGAACAGGGCAAACAAGCTTATGCTGCTCAAAACTACGACCAGGCAGTCGAATTGTACACGCGTGCGCTCAAGTCATTGCAAACGGATCTCGAGTCAGTCATCTTGCTCCATCGCGCCACTGCCTGGGAGAAGCAAAACAACTACCAACGCACTGTCGAGGACGCTGAGCTTGCCAACCCTAACGAAAGTTTGACACGACCGGATCCATATTTCGTCCGCGCCAACGCCCTGTTTTTCCAGACAAAACTTATTGAGGCGACGAGGGCGTACGAAAAAGGTTTAGAGATGGTGCTTGACAAGTACTCCAGCGAGCGAGCCATACTTACTGACAAGTTTCAACAGCTGACGGCACTCATACCACAGCGAAACCAATGGATGATCCAGCTGTTGCCATTTGAGGTGCTATCTCGCATATTTATGTACATGGATATAAGCGGTCGCGTCCGTTTCGCATTGACGTGTAGATTCTGGCATAATCTCAATCTACATCAACGGCCAGCTTTGTGCCATACCCTCAATATCAAGGAAATAGCGAAGGCCAGCCCATTTCTGGCCGCCATCCCTCCTAATGTACCCAAGAGAATCAACTCGGAGCTGACGGGCTTTGGCTCAAGTAGAGCTATAAAAACAGTCTATGAACAAGGATGGAATGCGCTCGAATCGATTGGTAAGTATGAGACAGGACCAGGGATGTGTGGGCCATATCAGCTCAATAATATGGAAGTGAATTTTAGCTCACAAGAAGGTACATTGTGTTAGAAATCGAAGAAGGTATCCCTAAGTTATTGGAGGTGCTGGAGCGCAATAAGAACACTTTAAGAAGCATCAAGCTACACTGCTGGTTGAACGAAAGAAGGGACACCGACTCGCTAGTGGATGTCATAAACGCTTGTCCCAACTTACAGTTTGCGTCGCTATCGTTTGATCGGCCCTCCGACCGAAGATCGGGGCCTTTTCCGCATGTCCTCGCTGATAGTGTTCTTTCAAATCTACACCTTACTGCTCTTTCGATATCAGAGTGGACTTGCAGCGATAAATCCCTTGATTCACTGCTGAAACAGGCTCCTCACCTGATGTCCTTAAAGCTACGCAATCGCTGTGGTCATGTCGATATTAGAAAAATATTACAAGCAGTTAACGAGATATGTCCATCGCTTCAAGAGTTCAGTTACACCAACGAGCCTGCCGTCCATGAAGATCAACACAAAACCACTGTAATTTACACCCATCAACAGTCATCTTCGAGATCTTATTTCCGACTACAAGAAACACAACAAACCCGTGGTATCAAGAAGATTACGATAAAGAATTCAGTAGTTCATCCACCGCACAAACCTCTTTATTATGATGACGAAGAACTCCGCTTAATGTTTATAGATTGTTACCAATCGTTGGAGGTACTCGAATTGGATCATGTTATACCACAAGACGCTGAACAGAATTGGCAACCAGGAAGACTTGGACGGCCTGGTGGTGCCTATCAACTGCAACATGATGTTGAGTATTGGTCATTGCGGGAACTTGGACGACTCGGAGCTCCTCAATTACAAACGCTTGTCCTCAACTTTGAAAAAGGCGTGTTGATGAACTCGGAAACAATCTCCAGCCTTATAGCCGCTTGTCCTTCCCTGCAGGTCGTGAGAATCGAGGGCACTGGATTCTGGCATCGTCGAATATTTAATGTGCTCGCGGATACAGTTTATCTGCGGAAACTGTCTATCGTTGATACGCATTACCACCAAGTTTCGGATCACTTACAGCAGATCGAGGAATTAAGCATCGGAGGAAAGGGAGGAGAAGTAGAGGAGGACGGATTTCTTCGATCCGGACTTTGGCTATTGCCGGTTTTCCAAAAAGCACATCGCCTGGTTGGCTGTACATTCGGCGTTTTTGGCGATCACTCTGCAACTGCTCTTGTATCCCAGCTCGCGCCGTATATCGCACGCTCAAGTATTCGAAGCCTAGACTTACTGACGACTCCAATCCGGACCACCGCCGAGCTAGAAACCATCCTGAGCTCCTTGTCAAGCAGTGACGCGCTTCGTAGCATGTACATGTCGCTGAGTTGCTACGTCACAGAGACAGACATTGCGACCTTTGCTGCAATTCGAAATTTGGCGTTTCTACGTATTCGAAACTTTACCAGTGAGGTGATCAATAGAGATATGCTTTATACCTTGTTTCAACACTTGCAGAAACGTGACCATTTTGCCCTGGTTCACGTCAGCAATCATTGTCCTCCGAGCAAAGATTATCCCGTTATTGTAAAGTGCCACACACATGGAACAGCAGCATCAGTGGTGGACCGTGGTGACGACGTACGTGGACATAAGTTTAAAGTTGAAGAATGCTATGTTTACCAACATCAAAGATGGATCGGGAAGTGATGACAATTTATGTGTACTATTTCTATTAAAACAATGGATACTTTTCTATGCATTGAAGTGAAACAAAGAGCTTGTTTAGAGTGACATTTCGTTGGGAAACAGCCACTACAACATGGAAGATGTGATGAAGATCACAATTACTGTGAAAATGTCTCCTTCTTCTAGACGACTCGTCTTGATTGCAGCAGCAACAAAAGCGATAAACCACCTCAATTATACATGAAACATTAGTTTGTACGACATAAAACCAGATACACAGTTCACGGGGAGCATAATAGACTGTTGCAAAATCATACCAAATGTGCCAGCTCTTATGATGTTTTACTTTAAGACAGCAGCACAATGTTTTCATCAGATTCTGTTTCCCACCGCTAATCCTACAAGAGTTCATACATCTGCTATATCTCCACTTTGAAATAATCAGGAGAAATGTATATCATACGTGACACGGAAATATGTCCATGAGGAAGGGCATGTTTATTTGCTCTGTGAATAGTTTCGTGTACTATGTATGCGTTTATCTTCAACACAAGGTTGATGAATTAGGCCAGCAGGATCGAGCTGTACTGTTCTCTCTATAGCGTTCATCAGTTCTCTTAACAAAACGAAGATGATGGTCATAGGGTTCAACGGCAACTCCAACGTCGTGATAAGCGTTTAGGTTTGGATAAAGCGGCTGGCCTTGGTTGTCTAAGGGTGACTCAATTGTTGCAGTTGCCAAGATGCGAGTCCAAAAGTAAAACATTTCTACGTCGCTCTAAATAACAGTAGCAATAATAGCGTACACTTGCTGATTATAGTTTTTCTCAATAGAGGGAAAGCGAAAGTAGAAAAAGAAGGCCAGGGAAAATTTACCATATGTACTCCAGGGCATATACGCCTGGTTTATAGAGAATGAAAAAATTGTGAGCGAGTCTATATGGGTTAACTTCCGCGCGGGCTATTTTTCGTTTGGTTCCTCTTGTTGTTGCATACCTTCCCCATCCAAAGACAAACTGATCGCGGTTCTCTGCATTTCCATTCACAGAAGCGTTCAACGACCGAGAATCCTCTAGGTACCTTTTTGGGTTAAACTCCTTTGGGTTGCTGAATTTATCCTCATTCAAGTTCAAGGAATAGGTGTTGTATATGATCGTCGTTTTTTCCGGTATGAAGTGTCCCCTGTACTCGACTATAATAGTATATAGAGAGCGAGGTTATAAAATTATAGCTCAAGCTGCGCATGGAGAGATGAGTTTATCAAAGCTAGATATTGAGCGACTTACAGTCTTTTGTACACTCATGCGGAACACCGAGATGACTAATAGGTCGAAAGCGTATGCATTCTTTTTGTACTGAAATTAATAACGGGAAAGCTTCTCTTTCATCATATGTTGGTAGCCGGCCCTTTTTGGTGATAAACGAATCGATTTCGTCATGAAGTTGCTTTTGTAAATCTGGATGGTGGGACAGAATGAGAAAGCTCCAAGCTAATGAGATGGCTATCGTATCTCCTCCGGCTGTTACGAGGTCAACTTTAGCAAAAAAAACGAGAGTAGCAGTATTTTAGTCAATTAATATCAGTAAAAAAGCAGAAGCAGACAGAACACATGATATCGTTAACTCGAAATTGTTAAAAGACATTATCAAACTGTATCCTACCCATAAAGACAATCATATCGTCATCATCCAGCTCGTTCTCATCCTTGACTTTGTATATCTCTTTGAGAAAACATTCCTTGTCACTCTCGAGGGCTTCCTGGATTAAACGTTGATACAGAGGATTCCGTTTTTCGTATATAAATTTGCGCATGTACTCCTCGTTATAATTCATGTTGTCGTTGTATGTAAAAGTACGTAATATCGTTCCCAAAATTGGTAAGAATGTTTGTATATCGGCTTCGGGAGCGCTCAATTTGTTCGACGTGGTAATGCATTCGATAATATCATCGGCCAAAGGATCTTCCAATGATCCAACACATTTACCAAAACATGTTTGCATGATGATATTGAGCCCACCGAGTTGCATGGCTTTTACAACATTGATCTTGCCATTTCTGACCGTCTCACTGATCAGAAGCTCAGCGATACGAGCAGCTTCTTCTTGCATGACTTGGGACTTACTCGCCACACCTTTTGGTGCAAGAATGGCTTGTGCTATATTTATTTTTTTGGTGTGTGAGGGCGTAATATATGGGTAGGTGATATCCCGATTGTTATATTTGTTATTGGATTGATTAGTTATTATGTACTGTTGAAGCTACCTCCCGTTTACATACATACCTATTGCGCGTTTTCGTTTCCATCGCTTATCGGGATTGGTGAAGCCAAGGCCCCTATCATTGAAAGCTTGTCAATATGAACACATATAACCTCGAATAAATGGAAGATAAATATTTGTATATACTTCTCCCCAAGGGCATAATATTTAAACATGAAAAGATTGTATGGACGTCCTGCCGTAACTGCCCCTTTGGTTTTGAGAATATCATGGGCTACATCAGGATCCGCAATAATAACCCATGATTTGCCACCCATGTTTATCCGGAATACAGGTCCTGTGTACGCAGTAATTTCGTCGGTCTCATTGTTTAGTATTTAGAGTAGAGCTTATCATCAGCATCCTGAAATAAAAGAAGAAGATTTGAACGCACCATACTGTTTGTGCCATTCGTCAAACTTGAGCGCTGCTAATTCCGGAACCTGGAAAAGGTGACCTTTTTGTGTGTAAATAGATGGATATGAACTTTGCATAACTGTTTAACGTGCTTACCGAAAAAAGGAAGACCGCCCGGCACAAGAGGGAACTCTTTCAATCCAGCTGGTATCGTTCTCCTTGAATTTCTCGTGGCAATAGAGTATGTGCCATAGAGAGTCAAAGCCGTAGCGATGGCGATAGAGATAATCCGAGGTGTTTGATCCTTTATTTTGAATAGGTTACTAGTTACAATGTTGCTTAGAAAGGTCATGATGATCCCAAAAAAATTAAGTGGAAAAAGGATGTACACGAAGACCCGATGGTAAACAAAAAAGGGGGAACCGCTGGTGTTTTTAATGAATCATCATTTCTACTGCGCCACTGCACACTTCTACGCAATACGGAGCATGCAGTTTGAATGCAGATGGATACGTCAGCCTATATAATAAACTTTGCAGCTACTATTACAAGTATTTAATGTATACCTACTACACAGTGGCCGCAGCACAGACGGATTCTTCTTCACATCTACCTTCAAAAAGCCAGTAGTCAGTGCATGCAACGAGAGGACTTCTGCGTATGCTTATTGACCAATCCAGCATCCCTATGACAGTGTCCCTTGTACATATCACAAATACTCGTCATCCCCATTATTGACCGGCATGACGTTAATTTAGAATGAACGAATCAAAACAACACGCTTTTTAAACCCTTGAAAAGAAGGAATATAGATAAATCCAATATACAAAATGAAATATAGCAGCAAATCACTGCGTGTCTATATACTTATCGAGAGGGAGATTATGTGTATGCATGTATATACGAAAGGGAGAGAGAGAGAAAGAGCTAGCATTTACTGTTCCTTTTTGGACTCTTCTTGGTTGATGATAGGCTTGTCGGATGTAGGCATTATACCAAGAGCCGACAATCGTTCCGTGAGACTAGGATGCGATCGGTTCCACGCAGAAAACCAAGGATCAACATTAAATCCACCCAGATTCTTGACACTCAGCTTGATCAATGCACTACGCAAGGTCGAGGCATAACCGAGCTTCAATGCAAATGCATCTATGATGGATATTTTTCACATATTAAATCACGATCTTCATCGCACAACACTCATCGTACATAAAAATAGATCATCATTCCCAATTCATCCACCTAGAAACATTTTTAAAAATCTTACCTGCTTCGTACTCGTTCTTTCGCTGATAGACATGCATCAAGAAACCAATCACACTATCGACGGGTGCATAAATGTACTGGAACAACAAGAACCCAATCAATGTTGGCATGGTGCTAAATCCGAAATCTTGATACAGGCGTGTATTGTTGATGAAATGCGAAAAGAGCCAGAACATGGTAAACATATAAACTTGCGTGACAGCAAGGATTTTGAGTGTGTGGCTCATGGCCCAATGGCCCAATTCATGTGCTACGTAAATGTGATTCAGAGTTATGATCCGTCCAATGGTCAAGAAAGAATAAAATGTGCTTCCTTTTCACGTTTTCCCATGTTATATCGTATCATCCACCATACACCACTAATCAGCAACCCGCTCCTTTCCATCCTTCAAAAAGCCACTTACCAAGAACAGCACAAATTTCATCAGTAGTTGAGTGATCAATCAAGGTATCAAACAAGACAATATGCTTGTTTTTGCCGAAACCGTAAAAGTACGCATTCGAATGACTGGATCGCTTGCTACCATCAATGACATAGAGCTTCTTGAGAGGAAAATTGATGCGGCTGGAAAGCTCTTCGATTCGCGTACGAAGCTCACCAGATTCCATAGGGGTTAATTTGTTGAAGAGAGGCTGAATGACGGTAGGATAGATGGTAATAAAGAACATTTGGAACACCACACTGAATACAGAAATCAAAATGGATGGATACAGGAAATGAGTGAGCATTCAACAACTTTTTTTTTCCTTTATACATATCGACTCCCTCATGTATTTAGAAAGAAAAAAAAGAGAAAGACTTACACAGTAACCCATACGTAGAAGTAGAAGCGTTCACCAGTCGACTTGATGATCCACAAAAAGGCGGCAAGGAACGGCATCATGATACCACCAAATACCAACTGCGACTTTAATAAATCCATAAAAAACAAACCAATCGTCTGCTTGTTGAAACCGTGTTTTTGCTCAATAACGAACGTCAAATACAACGAGAATGGCAACGAAGTGATAGTAGAGACGAGCGAGAAAACAATAGTAAAGAGAAGCGATTGCAGAATCTAAAAAAAAGGCACACAAATTAGTATTCCCCTTTTTTTTTTTACTTTTAAACGTCAAACAAACCTCATATTCAGAATCATATCCCGTGTATTCCAACATTAAACGACCAGAAAGATGCCAAAGGTAGGGCAACACGTCATAGTGAATCATGAACAAAGCTTCCACCTGCCTGAATGCGTTTTCGATGAATCCAAAGCGCGATTTATCCAGATTGTAGCTTTGGGAATTGGAAAAGTCGGTTTCGCCTACAATATCGGCTAGATCTTTGGGACGTTCGCGCATCAAGTACCTGCGATGCTGTCGAAAGCTAAATTACATAGAGTGCAGGGGGGAGAGGACACGTCCTTTTGTTAAAGAGAAAACAATAACAATAAAGGAAAATAAAGGAAGTAGCGTACTTTAAGTATTGTTCAAAGACATAGACAGTGCAGCTAAATCCTATCACATAGTCCTTGTAGTTGACACTGTCCAAATAGGACAGTACCTGATCGAAGGTCGTCATTTGAGAAAAGGGTGAAGAGAGAGAAAGAGAAAGAGAGACGTGGACCTTCCTCCTTTCTGCATACACTTTTGCAGCAAATATATTGGGTCGTAGCACTTAATTGCCACGAAACTCCGGCGTGCTCGCGTGTTCTATTTTAGATGAGCAGGAAGGGGTTAAGAAGCATTGACAACCCTCCACACTTTTTTGTCAAATAACCTCATGGCAGATAACTCGTGGGTCTATGGCATTCGTCATCAGGTACAACACGAAAACGCGCGCGATTCACATATATTGCATTCAAACCCTCAATTCTATCACTATCCATACTCCTCCTTCATTCACTCATTCCGAAATTCTGTGATTAGTATACATAGTTAATATATACATATATGCATATATAACAGGCACGGTGTTTGACGAGCGTCAGTGCCAGTACAGAAAAAAGCAAGTTTCTAGTGGGCACAGTAGGTGTCAAGAACAATGTCGTGTGTTTGCTTGAGTTTGACGAAGACAAGTCCGAGATTACCCCAACATTATTGGACCACCCTAACGAAATCTGGGATATTGTGTCATGTCCATCGGATGAATCACTTTTCTTTACGTGCCACAGTCCAGGTAAAAATATTTGAGGCCGAAGAATGTTTTATATATCTGCTGTGTGTGGCTCTGATAGAAAGGTGCTGGTGTTGTTATAACTGACAAACCCTCTTCTTTTTCTTTTATATTGTGATAGTTGGCGCGGACCCGGCAGAGAAGAAAGCAACGCTATGGAAACAGACGAGCACGGCACTAGAGGAAGTAACGACGCTCGATTCATCCGGTGTTTTCAAGTAAGCATGACACCGTATAGCACATGCATAGAACTTTTAGAGATATACTTACATTAAGCGAACGTAGAGTACTATGGGATCCAGCTGAAGGCGCTTCACGTATCATTGCACTCGGACATTCGAATGTTTACCTGTCCAACATGAAGGATGGTAAACAACAATCAGCAATCAACGTAGTACAAAAAGACCAGGATAATGGTGGATGTTTACAAAATGCTTCTTGGAATCCGCATAACCGTGAGTCGATTGTAACTACAGCAGGACGTGATCTTGCCGGCTGGGATTTAAGGTCGGGCAAAAACGAGTTTATCCGGAAAGGCGCGCATCAAAGCACAATCCGTGCGGTCGACTGCAATGCCAACAAACCGTATCACGTGGCAACAGGTGGTGATGATGCACAAGTGCGGATATGGGACGTACGACAATTGGCCGAGCCGCTCATGGTTGTTGAAGGACATACCCATTGGTAGCGTACACACACAGAAACAGAGGATGCGGTGAGACATAAAGTTATGGAATTGAAAAAAAAAACTAAGAGAATTTATAATAGGGTATGGTCTGTTGCGTTTAACAAGTTCCACGATCAACTCTTATTGACGTCGGGATCGGATACTGTTGTCAATTTACATAACGTTGTTTCTGTCTCATCGGCATCGTATCTTGGTAATCTAAGCAGCAGTAGCACCAGCAGCAGTAGTACCACTAGCAGTAGTAATGGCGGCAGTAGTAATAATAGCAACAAAAGCGGAAGCAACAGCAAAAGTAACCATGACAATGACTCTGATCAGCAGCAAGAAGAGGACAATTATTGGAATAGGTAAAACTGCCTATTAATTTCATGTTGTCTCCGAAAGATTATAAGGAAGCTGAAGATTTCCCATCGCATTTATAGCCATAAGCCGACAGATGGATTGATATGTACATACGATCAACACGAAGATAGCGTGTACTCTGTTGCATGGAGCCCTGCCGATACCTGGACATTTGCGTCATTATCGTATGCTGGTCGTGTCGTAATCAGCCAAGTGCCTGTGACTGAAAAGTTCAAGATCCTTGGCGTTTGATTAGACAAAACAACGTGATACCATACTCTCCCCTATCCCACGCCCATTGTATATAGATTTAATAGCAAATATTAAAATTCATCCAAGTGATGACAGTATAGTAGCAGTTACTACTAATACATTAGTGTTAAGTATGTAGTAATAATTAGAGGTTTAAAAAGTGGATATGTACATCGAGTATTTGTCTGTAATCTTTCGTAACAATCACAATAATATAATACTCTCGTTAGATTCTGGTTGCAACTATTAATGTATCATTTTTCATCCAATATGTCGATGACGATGGGTGAAAAGGGCTCTATCTGCGGTAGTTGTAGCCGCGGTAGCGCATTGTTGGTGGGAGCCTTTGTAGTCGTTGTAGATGTCACGGGCACGGTTGTATCATTAGTATTTTGAGGAACGTGTAGAGCAGGATGTGGCTGTGCTGTTGCTTTTGGTGGTTCTTTCTCTGATTCTCGTTTTGGTTCTGGTTCTGGTTTTGGAGCTGGAGCTGATTTGGGTTCTGGGACAGATGGTGGTGGGAGAGTAACGGATGATATTGGCACCGGGGTTGGCGGTGGCTGCTTCTCTATTTGTCGTCCCGCTTCAATTGGCTGCGATGAAGGCGATAGCTCTTCATTAAAGGTGCGACTACCCCAACTCGTCACATGCAGAGTGCATAAGGCATACAATTTCATGATAGCAAAGTAATAATTGAACAACAGCCACGCGGGCAAGTAAATGACGTCAAATGGTCTTTTTAAAAAATGCGGCACGAGTTTCAGCCCACGCGTGAGCAGCAACCAGCAAACATAGGAAAGAAGGATATTCCAAGCAGGCAATGGCGTCTTTGTCGGTGTCTTTTCGGTCGCCTGATTGATCAAATAGACACATACGAGCACGGGGCCGGACAGAAGAGTGATGGGATTGAATATCTTGTCGACCATGGTGAATGCCACGTACGGATGACGGCGCCAGATATACCGCTCGGTAAACAACGATCTAAAATCCGAGCGCCACGTGTTTCGCGTCCAACGAAGTACTTGGCGCAGGAACCGCCAGTTGTTTTTAAAAGTAGAATAGAGCTCTGCTTCTGGACAAACTTGAACGTACGTGTTCCAGCCATGCGAGACCATCCAACGCGTGAGAAACTTGTCGTCACCTGAATTCAGAGGATACTTGTTGAGCCACAAGTCATTTTGGAATCCGTATTGAAACGCTGGATCTTTTAATATCAGGGTGCGGTAAGCGGCCGTACGACCAGATAAGCAACAGACACCACCATCAATATGAGTCGACGCAGCGACCTCGACATTTCTAATACTCAATCTGAACCCAGCCAGTACTTCCCACACAGTTTGATGGCCTGCAGGATCGATCGCATGCACCGTTTGGGACGTCCCCACACCGCCCATCTTGAGGTCTTCAAAACACGCCAAAATAGAGTCAAGCATGGTAGGTTTCCAAATCGCGTCGTCGTCTGCAAACACCAGGATTTCTGTCTGAGTTGCATTGATGCCTGTCACCATCTGGCTGCGTTTGTTTGCTTTGGGAAGCGTCAGGACCAAAATTTTGGATGGATTGATTTCGTTGGCGAGTTCTTGTATAGGTTCGCGCATCTTGTCTTCTGTGATAATTATGATTTGCTTCGGGTTGCACGCGAGCCAGCTTCGTGCGGCAATTTTGAACTCTTCGCCCGCGTCAATGGTAGGTACGATGATGGTTACGTCTTGGTCAGAGCGGTAGGTTGGTCGTTGTTTGGGGCGCACAGGTTTGTAGACAAGCCAGGCACAGACTTTGATCGCGTACCATAGGTATCGATAGAAGCCTATGATCCCCAATGGCAGGAAGAAGGGTAATAAGCCGGTGTCGTCTGTCAAATATAGCATATCAATGCTATTATCTATATGACTATCTCAAGGTAATGTATATCGCTGGAGAGAAAATTAAAAAAAAAAAAGTAACAAAGCAGTAATAACAGTAGTACTTTAGAATAAATAGTAAAAGCTGAGAGAGTTTATGATCCACAAAAGAAAGATGAGTGGTGGGTAAAAAGCAAAAGGATCTTGATATCAGAAAGAACTGTTCGTGTATATGCACATGCACGGAATTGGGCTGGTACTGTTCTACCGCGTGAGAAGAGAGATAGAGAGAGTAATAGCATGGCCATCAAGCAATATGTTAGTGCAAGGAAAAGGAAAATCTAGGGGTTCGATGCAGCAAAAAGAATACGTATATTTATGTAATGCACCCTGTCGTTGGATGGTTTCTTCAGGATGATGATAAAGAAAATGTGGATGGGCGCAGATCTTATGCATAACAATGATGCTACTTGGCTACATCTTTCTTGGACTAGCTACTGTTTTTTTATTCATTCAAACCGTTCCGAAGAACAAGAGCAACAGCAGCTTTACCTTGTGCATGAATGCGTACAGACTCTAGCCAATCCTTCAATACAAGCACTTATTACTATGTGGCTATGTACTTTTTCTTCTCAAAGTCTCTCAATAGAATATACACGCCCTTTGTCAATCATACCATCATCCCGTAAAATAAGCATCACCACTCATTTTGTGTTGTTTATCCGCTCTCTAAATTGACTGTATGATTTGAGGAAGGAAGGGTGGGGAGAGGGAGACGGAAGAATTTATTTGACACCTATTCGAAGGAAGGAAAGAGAAGAGAAGAGGGGAATATTTACCAAACCACACACAAGGAAGAAAGGAAATAGGGATATTCTGACACCGTTTACAAAGAACAAATTCACAGAACCAGGCTATGTGTGTGATATGTCCTTATGTTATAGGAAAAAGTGAGAATGGACGACAGCTGAGTCGGAAAGGAAAGTAACCGGAGTGAAAGAAAGTGTCGTTGTTGGTGGCGATGGAAGTGGGTTACGAATAGAATTAATAGGGTATATCCTGCATAATAATGAATGTTAAACACGGTACATTTAGTTTATCCTATGGAAGGACGACACGACCCCATCCCCCAATCAACAAGTACACTCACATTTTTGTCACAGTGCTGCTTGATCTGCTCGAATACTTTGAGCATCTTTCGTCGCGCACCTAGTGCAGCCACACCCTTGGCGCTTAATGCGTCATCATCCAATTTGACCATGTCCTGCCATTTCATCGTTTCGAATATCGTATTATACTTGTGTAACCTCAACATCCTCAGCCAACTAGGGATATCTGTGCATTTTGAAGTTTCCAAGTTAGCGATGACAACGAAGCCTAAGGTCACAGCCTCAAACACATAGCAGTAGTTTTGACAATCTTTACCTTCTAGCAGTTGCATATCCACCACATCCGTGTACTTTTTCTCCTTGGCACCTTGATTATTGCCACTACCGCCACCACTACCGCCACCGCCGCGTTGACCAAATTTCTTTCTATTGTTGTTATTGAATCGTGGATGATAGTTGTTTCTGCCACTGACATTGGATGACTCGCTATGGTCGCTTAAATAATCGTAATCTCCTTCAACAAGATCGTTTGGATTCAAGAACCGGCCAAAGTTGCCCTGCTGCTGCTGCTGCTGCTGCTGTTGTTGTTGTTGTTGCTGTTGCTGTTGCTGCTGCCCTCGCGAATGAGAATGATGATGCTGATTATGCTGTTGACGGGGACTACGAGGGTGATTACTGTCCCAGTAAGGAGACAAGCTCGCCGAATTTGATGCTGTTGGGACAGGGGATGTTGGACGAGACATGCGTTTTGTTGCTGTTGTTGTGCTTGTAGCAGCTGCGCCACCAAAACTATTCGTGCTCGTACTCTTTTGCGGCACAGGACCATTATTATCATACATGGACAAGACGATATCTGCCACCTGGTTTTGCTGTTGCTGTGACCGCTCATCCGATTCAGGTACGGTTCCTGGAATACTGGTTGCCTTGCCAGCAGCACTAGTGGTTGCAGGGTTTCGTCTCCGCGGGAACCGTTTCGTGTCATCATTCAAAATCACGTTCCTTGCTCCTGCTTGTACCTTCCAATTATTCGTAAGCATTGCCAGCTGGTCAATGTCCGAAGCCGAGCTCGGTCGTTCAATGGTTTTGGCATGTTCGCTGAAAGTGCTCATGGTAGGCGACAAGCTTCCCCATGGCGACGATGATGACGCATTCACGCCACCACCACCGCCGTTTCCTCCAGCTGGATGATGATCACCGGATAAACCACCAAACGACCAATTGGAAATATCAGCTGATTTAGGGCGACCGGTGCTTGTCCTGTGAGGGTCTTGCACACCCACCATGCCACCACCACCTGCAGTAGTGGGTTTGCGTGTTCCATTTCCACCATTGTTATTGCTGTTGCTGTTTCCACCAGCAAAGCCTGACCAGCCGCCACCACCATTGCTACTAAAGATGGACGACAGATCGCCCTCGATCACCGATCTGGGTCTTGCACTGGATACATTGTTGTACATGGCCCGCGTTGGCTTCAATCGTGCGGAGGAGGAGGAAGACGATGACGACTGTGTAGCAGCAGCAGCTGCTGCTGCTCGGCTGAACGGATCTGGTTCCATCATGCTGCCAAAACTTGTCGACGCTGGCCGAGACGACGCTAAAAAGTCTGGGCCAAGACTGCTGAGCAACCGGTGTTCATCTGCTTCGCCAAGAGCAAACGAGTGTCTATCCACGTTGCGTGCTGCTGCTGCTGCTGCTGCGATGGCTGCGGAGGAATGACCGGTTCGATAGGGCAACACAGAGAGGAGCTTCTGACTTGCCTCGAGTTCTGCTTTTGCCATGGCACCGGCCAGCTGAGCTTGCATATCCGCTATATGTCATTATCACGGGTAAAGAAAAGGGGGAAAATGCATCATTAGTAATGATATTATCATTATTATTAGCTTGAGTCCGGTTTTTCTTTTTTAAGAGAAAACGCAATTTCCGAAAGTGATAGTAGAAATAAGACTAACACTTTTCAGGATGGGCAGGAGACAAAAGGGAACCGACAGGATCCTTTTTGCCCATCTGCTGCAGGACAGTGATGAAAAACCGGATTTGCACCTGGTTGGAATGCTGCAGCAGGCTATACACCGTGGCTGTCCGTTCTGCTTCGTTCAGGTAGCTGAACCACTGGTCAACATGCTGCAGCTCGTCCTTGAACCGCGTGTCGAGACTCGCTGACGCCATGCTCTCTAGATTTTGCTCGTATTCCTGCAGATCCTCGAACCATTTGTCGAGTGCCTCGGCTAATATCATCAGCATCATTGTCAGTGTTGGCAAGAAGCGAAATAGAAAGAAACTTTTAAATTTAGGGGTTTCTCTGCAACTCGTTACACACAAGCGTCGAGAATAGCAAAAGTAACCAAGGAGAAGTGTATGGAGTGTGTGTGTGTGTGTGTGTGTGTGTGTGACAAGAACAAAGAAAGAGTGCGCATGTGTAGTAAAGGGTTCAAGAAAGAGAGAAAGCGCTTACTTTCGGGAGAAATATAGCTTTCTGGCCGGATCACCTCGGAGAGTGGTCGTGGATTGCGCTGTTGAAATGTCCTTGTCGAAGAAGGAGCCGTCGTTGCTTCGGATGAAGGCGGACGAAGTGTCGATGAGGACGATTTCACGGGGTATTGTTGTTGTTGCTCGGGCGACGACGAAGATGCTGCGGCTGCGGCTGCTGCCGCTGCTGCTGCCGCTGCCGACATGCCAAGACTGTCGACCTTACCACGCGCAGAGGAGTTGTTTAGCAATGACGAGAAAGCATCGGTAAGCGGGGATCGAGGATAACTTGTTTGTGTTGAAGACATATAAGAAGCTCTGTTTCTCTTTTTTTTTCCTTTTCTATTCTTGAATATACGGGGCGTGCGTGCGTGTGCAAAAAAAAAAAAAAAGTGAGAGAAAAGAGAAAGGAAGAAGGGGAGCCACAAAGGACCAAGAAAAATAGGGTTTGAGTTCCTTATATAGCAGAGACACGCACACACACACGCACACAGCGAGAGCAAGAGAGCAAGCCCCTCTCTTACCAGCTAGTAGGGCTAAACAGAGAAACTGTCAAAACATATAGCAGACGGGCTATTACAAGTCCAGACAACCATACACAGAGCAACACGCACTATCGCGACTATCACTGCTATTGCTACTACTTTTATTCATTCTTTCTTTCTTTCTTTCTCATTTTCTTATTGTTTATGAAACGTGGAGTGATGGGGAGAGGAGGGCTCCGGCTTAGAGCGAAGCCATAGCGACACCCCCCATTTTGGTTCAAAAATTATGCGCTCGATATGTCTTGATTGCCATACCGCAAGAGCCAAAATAGCTCTTGTCACATTGGCTTATGGAAAGCCGTGACGCGCCCTTTTTTTTGAGGAAAAAAATCTGTTTTCGCCCAGCCATGCTTCCCACCCCCACATTTTCCGTCTTTGCTCCATCAACTTGTGGTTTCTTTCGCTTGGACGATGGATCCCAACCACTGGGTTTATGCTGCTGAAGGCAACCAGAATATCGTACTGCGGTACACGGGCCAGGACCAGTCATACGTAAAACCCATTGTCTTTTCTTTGTCGTTAAACAATTGTTTGTCTCGTCTCTCCTTAACATTGCGAAAAATAAATAAATAGGTAGGACATGTACTACGCCTTCAAAAGGATAAGGCCGTCGATGCTCGTTTCCAACCAGCATTTGTCCATGATGTAATAGGTGCTTTGCTAGGCCATGACTATATTGTTCCCTTGGTAAAGTGAAAGCGATAGTTACATCCTGGGATACACCGACACCAACAAACTATTTCAAATAGACCTGTGTTCCTGTCACGTTGACGTTCCTGAAATCCATTGAAACCAAGATCACCCATGATCGCCCTGACCATCGACGTGCACGGACCATTGACCTGAATCAATCATGGGCATGTCTTGCTCCCGATCTCACTTTTCAATCCGCCCTTACTGTCGAAATCAAGGTAACAACCATGCTCTCACACGGGTGACTCAAAGTAATCAAAAGAAAAGAGTGTTAACAAAATAAATCGCAATAATAGCCTAAATGGGGATACAAGCCCACATGGTCGTCATTAACAAAGCCGTGGATGAGTGAAAAATACAAGCATGTCAAGGCCACAACGTGTCGATTTTGCATGCACAGCTGGTACAAGCACAGTCGGAGTGATCTCGAGTATTGTCCACTCGATTTGTATTCGATGGAACCAGCACGCATGAACCGGGCTCTGAAAGCATTAGAACGCGAATCTGCGCTGCATGATAAGATGCAGATAAAACAACAAGAAGTTCAGAACTTGGAGGAGAACCAAGTCATTGAAATGATTATTGCCATTCTGTGTCAAGAACCGCTATTGCCTCGACTGAAAACCTTACAACGGGATCTTGATCAGCTGACTATTGAAGGCATTCATTCCATTTATGCCACCAAATCGTCCTCCCTGTTGCCAATGTATGATATAGATGTGTGGCGTAAAGTTGTGCAATGTTTCAAGAGACGAGACATGTCGATGATTTTGTCAGGTAAATTTGGTTTTTAAGGAGTGACTTGGGAGCACAAGTTAAAAGGAAAATCTCTCAATGCTGTATTCTTCGTGAATCTATATAAGATGCAATAGACCCTGCTTTAGAATGCCAGTATCTCTATGAGCATGTGTTATCTGCCGTGCTCAAGGATTGTTCAATATTTATATCCATCATCAGAGACACTGTGGACAGGTTAGCTTTCTATTTCTTGTGCGTGCATCACACACACAATTATCCGATTTTGCCCAAAGTGCCCAAAGTAAAAAATGGGGGGTAGATCCAAAAGATTCTCACACATATAACATTCCGCTAAAGGTGCGACGACAACTTTCAAGGTTGTAAGATCCAGCTTGACAATGGCGAGGCTTACCATTACACCGTTAAAGTCGTTGATACGGATTTAAAAAACATGTCCAAGATTCCGTACTGGTATGACCTTGACCAACGCATTGTGGAACATGCAACTCGACATCATACCACTAAAGTCTGTCATGAATAGGATATCCCTCTCCTCTGTGTATTATCAACTATCTTTACTACCCGTTCTCCCCGCATCTGCTCTTATAGAGCTTTTCCCCATTGAAAGCAAAGTAAAGAGGAACAATTACGTGCCAAACAACAGAAAGATGTAATGAAATAGTAGATGATGGAGGGTTCAAAGAGAGGGCACAGAAAGAGGCGGAGAGAGAGGGAGAGAGAGAGAAATCAAATAGAGATGATAGCGCAAATCGAAAAGAGAGAGAGTGAGAAAAGAGTTGGGTTAATAGAGAGATAATAGAGTAGGTATTATGACTCGAAGATATTGTATCGTTTTTTTTTGTGGTGTACAAAGAGCGAAGAGGAGGTGACATAGTAACGGTAGCGTATAGGTGTAATAGGTGTGAGACGTGCGTTCCTCTCGTGTATAGAAAGAACTTTGATAGGTAGGTTGTATAATGTAGATGTCGTTCTTGTTTTCTTTTTGGTAAGCGAGGTGTGGTAGTGAAAAAGGGTGCTATGTCTCTACATGGCTTTGTTTAAACCCTTTTTACCCCTTCCACCACGACCACCCACACCATTGTACGCGTTCTTTGGTCTCTTTTCGGCAGGCTTCAAAATCTATCATGCAACATGATCACAGTTAACCAAACGGATCTTTGAAAAAGTGTATATATGTGTTTTCCTTTTACCTGGAACGAGCACAGCAATGACTCGTCTACACTCATCATGGCGCCGGCATTATCAAATTCGCCGCAGTAATTTGGGGCTGAGAACAAGGTGACAAGCTGCCGTTTTGCGAAAAATTCGTAGCCATCTTCCACCACCTGATGTGCTCGACAGATCAGATCCAAATCATGTTTTTGTAAGAACTTGCCTACGATATCCGGGCCAAATGTAAATGACACACCGCGATCATTTTCGTTCCATCCTTGAATGTCTTTATCCGGATCTGCCCATAGCAGGTCGCACAGCAACCCTACATTCATCGAGGGTTAGCATAACGATCCAACCAGCCTTGGGCAGCAACAGAAACCACACCCCCACCCTTTTATGTCCATATATCTATCCCGATCTAACCTGTGTCAGGCACATCTGTTGGTCTCATCACCCGTCTGATCTGCTCCATGCTCTGCAAATCTGGCGATAAGCCGCCATGCATCGTAAAAATCTTCTCGTCAATAATCGCAGCTATAGGCAGACAGTTGAAACAATCGGTAAATGTCTTCCACAGCTTAATGTTGTATCGTCGCTTGCCTAATACATAAAAACCTATATTAGCATATCCTAACTCTCTCCCTCTCTCTCTCTCTCCCGTCTCAAAGTCCATATAACCCTACATTCATCGTAAAAGCCGTAGATCCGGTTGATGCTGGCACATTCGTGGTTGCCGCGCAAAATGAAAAAGTTCTCTGGATATTTGATCTTGTATGCCAACAACAAACATATTGTTTCCAATGACTGTTTTCCTCGATCCACATAGTCGCCCAGGAACAAATAGTTTGACTCGGGTGGGAATCCGCCATACTCGAACAATCGCAGCAAGTCGTAATATTGACCGTGGATATCACCTAAAGGCGTTATGCATTGGCTTGCATTCAATGATGCATGGTGTTAATAATAGCAAAAGATATTTATCTTACCGCAAATCTTGATGGGTGCTTCGAGATCCAATAGGATGGGTTGACCTTTTTTTTTGTTTTTGTATTTGTTTTATGCCATTAACACAACCATGTTTTGCTATATGAACATCCAAAATCTTTGTTGTTGCTGCTGTAGTTGTGTGTACCCGCACCATCACCTACTCATAAAGATATCGCGACCCCTCTGGCATAGGAACCGTATTTCGTTCTCGGATAGCTGTACTTGTTTACCGGGTCGACTGCCGCGCACTAAAAAACCGTGTTTTTCCAAGTGTAAGTCCACCGTGCATAAAAGAAATTACACACAGACCTTGTTCTTTCTCTCTATCTCTCTCTGTCCGTCTTGTCCGAATGTATGACCCCTTTCTCTCAACCCCTCACACTTCTCTCCTTCTCCATACATCCCCTCTCTCTCTCTCTCTCATTCTTGTTGCTTTTGTCGTTTGTTTTTACCTTCCAACAGACGTTCAATGATGGTGTCGATGTCTATGTTTTCAGTAATATCGTTCATGACTATAATTAAACAATAATAAATCTGTCAATAATCGCGTAACGAGCATATGAAACCCCTTGCGCAAGAAGGATACTTCTCCCCTGTCACCTGTTCACTGTTACCCCTTCAATTAAACTTAAAAAAAGAGGACTCTTTATTTTCCAGTATCATGGATTCGAGATACACGCACGCACACACATACACCGGGTAACTTAAGAAACCCCCAAGTCAAGATAACAAGATACTTTACTTTCTGCTTCTTTTTATAAACGTGGTGGTGACGATGTGTGTGTTGTGTTTGTAAAAGTTAGGGTCGAGGATCCGCTTTCTTGAAATCTCACGAATGATGAAGTGTTTTTGTTGTACTTAAAAAATGTAAAAAGGAAAGAAGGTACAAGATACACAAAGAGAAGTATGTAACTCCCAGAAATAAGCTATATACAGTTTCAGATGAAGAAGAACGATTCGATGAGTTATCTTTCTGTACTTCGTCCACTACTTGAATAGATGAAAGAAAAAGATGATGGCCCAGATAAAGGTTTGGATTTCGGTTCTTACGTTCGAAAATAGGAGGGGAGGTGAGGCTCTACTTGAGAAAGGGCAGACGGAAAAGAATGATTGAGAGAAAGAGAGAGAGGAAATGCCCGCCTTGCCTTACTGGTTGCTGTAATAATAACACGGCTCAGCATGCAATATAATTGGATAGTGAGCTCACAGAGTGCTCCTGCAAATAATCTCTCACAGTTAAGTAACAGACAAAGGTTTTTTCTTTCTTTCGATAGGGTGCTTCTTTTTGTTACCTCTCCCTTTCTTGCCCTAAGAACGTATGTAAATGTCATAGTAGTAGCCGGTGGTGCGCAGAAAGCAACAGCTTTCTTTGTCTGCAAGAGGATTTTCTGTCATCTCACAGCGGAACGTGGTTTTCAAGTAGTAACAGAACAGACTTGTGGAACGATCTGAGCTCATATTTCTATATGCACTGTTTATTTACTGCTAATACATATATTGAAAACTTATATTGCTGGCAACAAAAGCATGTTGAAAGATCTAGTAGCTTTCTTTTACTGCAATAGCACATTACTACTGATAATAGTCTCTTCCTTGAACACAAACTCTGTGTTGTTTTCACGAAGCACCTCGAATATTCTCCCTTCTTTCTTCTTTCCGTTCTTTTATTTTACACCCTGGACTTATTTCATCTTTGAGTCTATAAAGATACTACTAAGTGAGTTCCTGACCTCCCTTTTTTCTGGCATAGTGTGTAAACACATCCAAAAAAAACCTTTCATAGAAAGTAAAGTCCTATGATTATGGACCACTTTTCTGAAGCAGCAATGTATATTACATACATAGCCAATGGAAGATAGTATATCCACGAGGATACGTCCGGCATAAACCTGCTCGGCCAGAGCTCACAGCATGGGAAGAAGATAATCACGAGCCACCAGAAGCCTTATTCAGACCTAACAGATCGATTCGTTTATTCGATATGCAAGTAATTCCTAGTTCTGAAGTCCTTGAGACATACGACGCGATATCATATAATACTGGGATTATCGAGAGTGTCTTCAAGTAAGGCCGGACCGCTCGTCCAAGAGCATTGATAACAGTCTACTTAGAGTAGTCACATCAACTGCATTAGAAGCGAAAAAACCACAGGCCGTAGAGAACACGACTGGCTAACATTTTTCCAAAAAGAGTCATGAACGAGATCCAACCGACTACAAGCAGTTCTTTTTGGGCCTCATAATCCAGCTTTGCTGTACAGTAGCAAGACTGAATTTATATATCCTTGCTTTTGGTGGTAAATATTTCAATCACACATATTCAATGCGGTATTATGCTCCTCCACCGTGGACCGGTTGCCTATGACTCTCACTTGCTGCAAGTATTAGATTACGATGCTACGTATTCTCGTTCTCTCGAACTTAGAGGTAATAGTACATCAGTTTTTTTTTTTTGCGTCAGCTGTGCATCCATCTCAGTCACTATCAACAGTTCCGATAGCATCACAGTGACTACCTCTCCTGACATCGAGCAGCATCACAACCACGATCTGCAAGCTACCATGTCCCCTCCTATATGGCAACAAAGCTCTCCATGTTCGCTACAATATCGAGATAAGGCATCAACAGAGGCATCATAAGCGTCCTTTTTGTCATGACAGACGAGCAAGCTAGAAAAAAGTATCAAGGGGGCCATGGTAACTCAGCATATGGAAGCAACCCATATTCTCTCAATTAAAAATGGATCGCCAAACATGTACCAGCAAACATAGGCCGAATACTGTCCTTGACGGAACCAGACTGTGCAGAATGTATTATCTATCTTTCTGGCATTCAGTTCGAGGTTAATTATTTTGCTAGAGCAAGTCGTCAGAAAAAGTAGTAGTGGCGATCATTACCGATCCATCGGCACGTCCTTCATGCGTTCTGTGTGGTACCATTGACTCGACCATGGCCAAAGAGCGAGAATGTCGAATAAATGAATACTATGATATACTATAGCAATATAATATAATCAATGCAATGTTTTGAGGCGTAATATATTAGCACATCCGATACAAAAAATATAAGATTTTTTAGGTCTTGTGTTTACTGATGATGGCGATCATAAGAGATGAAGAAGCACTCTCTCTTTTTATGCCTGTAATCGCATCTGATAACTCTAAAAAACTTGTAAATCTGCAGCACTGATGCCGTACCTGCCACTACCCTTACTACTACAATCTCTCTCTATCGTCGGATACACCCCTTCTCTCTTTTGCCTCTGCGCCTTCCTTGCTCGATTTACACTTCGTTTTTTATATAAAAAAGCTACAATAAACTAATGAGAGATTCCAATGAGCTTCAGTAAGTGGCCACGTAATAATACGCACATGTTCACGTTTTTGTATTTCATGTGTGTGAGTGCAAGAAAAAGGTTACATAATGATGTTGTCCCCGTAGTAGTAACTCGTCGTCGTCGTAAAACGTTTACGTGATCTTTTTTTCTACTTGAATGACGACGATGGCTGAGCAACTCACTAAACTTACACTATTACATATTAGAAAAAGTAGTATTATGATGCAGGGTATCATGTTCCCATATATATAATATTTTGTTACTTTAAAGGTTAGAAGCGATCTATGCCTCGATATAAAAGGTTTTTAATGATAGCCAACATTTTTTGATCATGGTCATCATCTCTCACCCTCTTTATCTTCCTCTTGATCAGTCGATTATCGCGTCATCATAAAAAAATCCCGAAATTGGGTAACAAAATTCTGTAACAACATGCACAAACACTCAGTGTTATCGATATTCCATCTGTGTGCCTCGTTGCATAAGGGTAACAATGTTCGTTCATAGCGTATTGACCTTTGTTTCTGGTACCTGCGGTGGTACGATGTGGCTATGACAACAAAAATACAGTGCTTGTGTTGTTGGGACTCAGTGGAAAAAAGAGGGGTTATCGCTGTTCCCGTAATGTAAATAAGAATGTATGTATACTTCCCCTCTATTTGAACTGCTGCTACTACTACTACTACTATTATTATTATTATCATCCTCATTACTACTACTTCTTTTTTTCTTTCTTAAACCATAAATGAGAGGGACATAATCGATTTCCCACACAAAAAAGCTATTAACTGAGCCACGTTTTTCTGATGACAGCGGCAGGGGCGGTAAAAAAAAGTTACTGCCGGGTCCCCCGCCCGCCCTGCCCAGCAAGAGAACACACATCATACCAAAAAGAGAAAAGGCGATCCACCATCGAGATTTTTCTTTGAATTTATGAAGATATGCGTAGATCAAACTAATAAGGTCATATCACTCGGTGAGACCTTCTTGCTCGCTTGTATAGTATGTACCGTAGCATAATATTGTGTAAGCATCCCACTGTGTGAGAGTGGCATTAAGTGCGTGTGAAACGTGGGGAAATTGATTCAAGGGAAAATAATCCGGGACACGGATCCCGCAGAGTTTTAAGCATATCGTGGGCGTTTTTTTCTGATTTCGACGGGATCATTGATATCTGCGGGTTTCTTTGTATAGAAAAAAAAAGTGCACAGTGAGACCAGTATTAGTAGTGGTAGTACCCATCATCACAGTCATCTACGACGGTGAAGCCGGGGGATACCAGCTAGACACGTAAACGGAATAGCTCAAATAGCACATTACACAAACTTGCTATTTGCTACTTTTAAGAATAATAAATAGAAGAGGGCAACGATGGTCTTATATTCTGTATACAGATGCAAAGGTGAATGTTTACATTGCGCGATATACAAATTCCATTGAATTATAGTTTGCTGCACGTTGGCGTAACAAGATCAGTTTTGCATTGTACAAACAACAACGGCAGTAGCAATAAACATTCACGAGTAACATTACATAATGCGCGCGAGCAAAAATATACCAGAAAAGTAAGACAACCCGAAAGAGGCGAGCCAAGAAGAAACGAGAAGAATATGAGTGGACGGAATGAAAAAGTTTAAAGCGGGAAGTTTACCTTGTGGGGCAGTCTGTGTGGTAAATTAGCAGTGGAGAGACTAAAGTAGTACCTCCTCCACAAATTTAGGAACTTTTTTTTTCTTGGTGTTTTTCGCGTACAAGGCAGATATGTCCTGATTAATGAAAAGGTAATCTTTCTAAGAAGGCAAAATCTCCCGACATCATTAAGCTGTTGTTGTGTTCCTCTCCCTTCCCTTCACACAAAAAAAAACGTAATCATTTGCCACGGGAAAAAAGAAGAGAAATAGTCTTTTTCGTCTTGTTTTTCAAAAAGCTTCCTTGCATGATGATGGTATGTTGTTTGCGGATAACAAAGCAGGTTATAGTATCGGGCATAAGATTAATGAAGATGCGTTGATGCTGTGCGATCGGAATGCCGAACCCTTTGTTTATTTGTTTGCGGTAATAAAATAGCATGATATGTAGGTGGGCAATATAGAGTGAGAAGGGCGCTTAAGATTGATAAAGATCAAAGAGTAACACAATGTGGGAAATCGAGGCACTTGACTGTAGTACCCGGCGCGTGAGCACAGCACACTCACTCACACTTGCCCCTTCTTCTTCCATTCCGCGCTGGTACACATTATCCTTTCTTCTTGGTTTTGGGATCGTTGATATAAATTGTTTGAGAGTTTATTTACGCCGGTCCCCCTTTCTTCTTCCAAGTTTCTTCTATCTCTGCGTTTTATTCCTTATCTCTTTTTTCTCCCCTCCTTTGACACTTTCGCGTTTTTTAATTTTAAAAAAAAACAGCCGCGACAGGCACAACCCGCAACACCAACGAACAGAAAAATGCACACCAACCGTAAAAGCAGCAGCAGCAGCAGTAGCGAAGAACGGTTACCACGGCGATCCAACTCATTTGGCGGCCATAACAAACGATCGCTGGTAGCTTCCCTGACACACGTAATTCCAACCAACAAACAAAGCTCACTCGACCTCAGTTCGTCATCAGCCCCAGCATCCGAAATACCCTATATTGCACAAGATAGCAACGCTGAAATCCATGATCTCGCATTATTCCGACCGTCCTATGGCGGTGTCAACATCTCCGCCGTGTGGGAAAACTGTACGATGCGTGGCTGGATGACCAAGCACATTCCACCGTCGTACTCGTTCACAAAGACGAAAAAGCAGCGTTATGTCATTCTAGCAGACCGGATGCTTTATACGTTCAAGACAGAAACACCGACATCACATTATCGCGAATTTTTCGAGTTGACCAAGGACACGAGTGTGTTTGTCACGGATTATATAACAGGGGTCATGTATTGCATTGAAGTGACGAAATTGGCCGGAGAGAAAAAGAGCTGGTATTTGCAGTGCGAAACTGCCGAGCATATGAAAATGTGGCTGGATCGGTTAAAGAAAACGGTTGCTTGGTTACGCGATGACAAACTGCGCAAACGAGTCGTGACGAGTCGGGACCTTGCTAGAATTCAGTCAGAACATGATGCTTTGGTCAATAACGTCGTAGTCATCACCACTACTGCAGCAGCAGCAACAACAATCCATGGAGAAGGAACAGCAGCAGCAGCGGCTCTGTCACCATCAGCCTCTTCATTTTCAGTGCCACCTATATCACCTATATCAACAACAGCACCGAGGATATCAACCGCCATGACAATGACGACGAATGGTACGCTAGCAGGAAGCTCGTCCTCATCGGAAAGTATCGTATCCTCGTCCTCATCGCCGCTACGGACGAGCTCATATTATGATGGATCGATGACGGATCGGTGTTCTATGCCAGATCATCAGGATCTGTATTATGCAGATCAGTACGAGTGGGACAATGCTTCAGTCAATAGTCGCATGAGTGTGCCGCCGTCTCATCATCACCCGCACCAGACATCATCATCTGCTCCGCTCCATCCTTCTTCTATACCACCACAACAGCCGCCACCGCGATCCGCGCCGCCACCACCTCCTATTTCTTCTTCTTCTACTACAGCCATGCACTTTCAAAAGTTTGAATTCTAAAGATATTACCATCATCGCACATACACATGCACACACACACGCACAACTTGCCATTCCCATTCCATATTAATATCACCATTTTTCTTCCTTTATAAAAGAAACGGACAAACCCAAGAAAGCCTATATTTTTTCTTCACTCTTTCCTTTTCAACCCTTAAATTGGCCTTGTATATGTTTTGTAATTTAAGATAAATATATTGTAATACTAAATTTCATGAAATCGCCGCACTGCTCCCCCTCCTTTCTCCCCTTCTCCCTCCATCGCTCCGGGCTAACTTGTACAGTTATACAAAAATCATATATATAATATACATATGAAAATCACAAAGCAGCAACATTTAGTGGTAAGTGTTATACATTTTTCCATGCCGGATTGAGTATTATATTTGGTCTGCTCATTTTCTTGAAACATTAAGCCGGAAGGGATCACTGCACAGTTGCAAATTATAATGTATGGTACAACAAAACATAAAAGTAAAACCTTAAGATGATAAAGTTATATTTTTTAAAGAGATACTAGCCAATCGGGTAGCAAACTTTTAGAAAAAGATGAGCCATAGCAACAAAGTGACATGGTAACAAATATACCATAGCAACCGACAGTATCATGTTAAAATAAAATAACATGGTGACAAAATGGCATGGCAACAAATTTAGCATAGCAACAAAACATCATAGCAATGATTGATTTAGCGACGAACGACCTACAATATGATTAGCTCTTCCTTGTGGAAAAGTACGCAAGCCAACCTCTTTATGTGCCAAGGCGAATCAGGGAGTGTTCTGCGCGCGCAATGTTGGCGGGAGCACGGGCCACTTACAAACCCAGCATTCGTAGAAAAGGAAGACGAAGGAATTTTAGTGGGAGAGAAAGAAAAGCGGGGATGAAGACTCGCCTACCTTTTTTCTTACACGGCTCGAATTTTTCCCGAGGACAAAGCTGTATTACGTGAGAAAGACAGGGCGCGCTCCAAGAGAACTTTAAATATTTGAGAATAAAAGTTCTCGCGGCTGAACGATTAACAATATGTGCATATGCTTAGAAGCTGTAGTTATATTTATGTAGGCACCCCGACTGGAGGCAATTTGATGATGCGTTGTTGTGCATATGCATGTACTTTCACATCCGTCGCATTCCCCAAGAACTTTCTTAACTATATAACTATTCAACCTGTAGGCTCCACATTTCATCCAGATTAAAAGAAAAGAGAAAGATAACCCCTCACCCTCTTCGTTTATGTATCATATGCAGAGAATATTTGTGCCCGATGTCGATCACTTTTTGTATACATAAGCTCTTAAAAAAATTCTATTTTTATTCTCCATCCCGCACCAACCTGTGTTTCTCCCAAAACATTAATGTATTATGTCTCCTTCAATGCGTTCCCTCAAACAACAGTGAAAAGGAATTCCGGCACTCTAATACACATGTAAGACAGCATCGACCACCAACTCTAACATGATTCAGAAACCGAAATGCAAATGCGGCTACCCGCGTGATCTAGTAGTAACGTAACGTCGTCATCAAGCAAAACACAAGACACGAGCTGCATTGACCGTTTAAAGTAATTATCTGATCAAAATAAGGGAATAACGCAAGCTCAGAAAAAGACAGAGCAAATCTGTAATGGTTTTTTTGTTCGATATGGTTCCCCTCATACTAAGTAAGCCTAGTAATTATCTCAAGCTTTCTCCATCCCATCATTCCACCCCCTCCCCCAGGGAGCAGAAACATCCAACCCTTTCCTCCTCTACCTCTCCCGCGTTTCCCTTCATACCCTGGTTTCATCAGTTTGAAGCACAGACCGGTCCGATCCGGTTTATATCTCTATCTCAAAAATATATGTTGACCTTCCACGATAGACGATTCTATGGAAATTTTTTAGTGCCAAAAAAAAAGGCGGAGCTGCTGTAGGGAAAAAAGAAGAAGCAGTAGCAGCCTTCTCTTTGAAAGATTTTTTTTTGACTGTGCGTGTGCGTCGCTGTGCGGGTAAAAAGTGCACGTGCTTCTTTTTGAACGAGGAAAAAGCGAAAAAAAAACGGCCGATCTGGTTTACACTAAATGGTTGCACCGCGCACCTTCCATTCCACAAGAAAAAGCAATGGCGAAGAAGAACAGACACTGTTTTTTTTCGACCTAGGAAGCTCGAGGATACACACGCCGCAGATATCTTAGCAAGTCATCGTTTCTGCTGATGATCTCAAAACTCTCTTCAAAGGTGTGATATAACCCTTGCCTGTTCCTCCTTGTTTTATTTTTTGGCCCAATTTTCTCCGTTTTGCTTGATATGTAGTGTGCTTTAGATGAGCGTTTTTACGCCAACGTAACAAAAGCTTCCCTTGACTGACAAAGATGAAAGATCGAGGGAAATTCACGCGCGCAATGGGTCAAAAGTCCGTGTTTTCTTGTGTGTGGGTCCAAGTCATGTGCTGCGTCTGGTTTCTTGATTTTTGTGGATGTTGCACACAGGACAAGCAAAGGAAAATGTTACCCAGAAAAATGGGTTGACAATAGACAAGGTTAGAGTTGGTTTTTTGAATAGCGTGGGTTGTTTATCGCAAACATTCCGATAATATCTCTCTCTTTGAGTTCGCGTGTGCGTGTGTGTGTCATACCACTTTTGTTTACTGAACAAGACATGAAAGACGAATGTTGGCAAAGGATCGTGTGGTTGAAAGTGTGGGCTGTATCGAATGTTTTGGTGGAGCGGGCGGATAGCAGGCGGTTTCAGGCTGGGATAAAAAAAAAGAGGGGAGATAGAAATGATCTTCATACTGTTTATAGTAACTGGATCAAGGAGTTTGAAAAGAGACAACGTGTCGTGTTTCCCAACAGAGCAAGTAGTGGGAAGCATTAACGTGAGAAGAAGGACCTTGTTCAGTCGGAACGCATGCTCCTTTCTCGTATTATACATACACAACCAGCTCTAGGCTGACTTGGGGGGGGGCTGAGGCTGGGACTGGCTATCCAAGGAATTTGCAGGTATGATGATGGATGGTGAACAATTGACAGCAGACTTGGAGAAAAACCTACAATATACGACCCCTGGGGGCCAGATTATAGCAAAGGGAAGGGAGGCTTCTCTTCTTGTTATTGTTTGCTACGCGACGGTTGGGTGGCAACCCCGTATCTAGCCATTGTTTACGGTATAAACACCAGCAACTTGACTTGGCAATCTCTTCACCTTTGTGCCTCGGTGCCTATGTACTGTGTGCTGGTAACTGTCCTTGACCGGTCTGCGTTACATGGTGTCGCGGTATAAAATCGTCAAAGCGGCTTTGTGCTGCTGCTGGAAAAGAAAAAAAAGAGTATGTACCACACAAGCTATACTTTATCTGGAGCAACTATTTGGGGGGTGGGGTAGGGTGGAAGAAGAGATCCCAGTTGAAGTATAAGGGGGAGCAGAGTAAAGCCGTCGCGGGGATGCGACTGCGATTCTGATTTTTTTCCGGTCAAGACACCCTCATATACTATCACTTGCTGCATCAGCAGCGACTACGACCCACACCACTTGCCCTCCCTTCTCTCTCTGAGAAAAAAAAAAGACTAAATAAGGCTACACGTTTTGCGAGCCAATTTTTATTCTTTTTTATCCCTCCCCTCCTCGCTTGTTCTTCTTTCTTTTACCGTTCTCTTCTTCCACTTTTCTTTCTTTCGTTTTGCGCAGAACTCCAGCTCGTGCTGCCTTCTCGCTCCCCTCATTCCTACACTTCTCCCTTTCTTTCTTTCCACTTGGGTTCGCGTCCCGATCATACTATTCCAATCCCTAACCCCGCTTACCATCGTTTTTATTTACCAATCTAACCTACATCACTTTATCCATCGTATCCACCATCATCTTCATCTTCATCTCCACCACCATTACAACCCTCGTCTATCTCCAAACCAACATCTGAACCATCTGAACCAACCCCCTTTTCTTTCTCTTGCTCTCTCTACCACCGCCCTTATAAACAACGCCATTTTTTTTTCGGTTTCTTCCCCATCTTTTGAGAATTATACCTTGTAAAAAATGTCAACCGATTCATCACAAGTCTCGCAATCTGCGGCAAGTGAGGCTACTAGTAATGCTATTAGCAGCAGCAGCAGCAGCGAAGCTTCTTCGAGTTCATCGCTAGCGACGGCAAAGTCTATTGAGCAACAACACAATAACAACCCTACTACTACTAGCAAGACCTCAACAACAACGCCCACGCCAACAAAGAAGCGCACTCGGGCCACTGCAGAGCAGCTGGCTGTGCTTGAAGATACATTCGCTGTCAATGTCAGTCCAAACAGCAAACTTCGCAAGCAGCTTGCAGAACGACTACAAATGAGCGAACGATCGATTCAAATTTGGTTCCAAAACAGACGAGCCAAAGTCAAACACATGCAGAAGCGCGCGCAAATGCAGATGCAACAGGCTTCTATTCGTGCTCAGCTGTACCATTACCATCAACAGCAGTATGGTGCTCATCCATATGGTAGTCCTCATCATCAACAGCACCAGCACCATCAGCATGGCCCACCGTTGATGCCTCTTCAGCCTCATCATCATCATCATCAGCAGCAGCAGCAACAACAGTACTACTGTCCACAACCTTATCCTACTACTTCTCCATCTACACGAGTGCCGCTTCCTCGTGCCCAAAGCGTTGATACCATCCAGCAACATCATCCTGTGCAACAACAACCCACATCGACCACCACCACCACCACTACTCCGCCACCTTCCCACCTCTATTATCCTCCGACGCATCCTCATCACCAGCAGCAATGGCCCGACACCACCACTGTATCATCACCTACATCTTCCGCCACTCCAACTCATCCTTATAACAACTCGACCATACCCACTTTGGTGCCTGTCCCGGATGCTGGCCCAACTGCCATGTTAACCACCTCAGATTTTGGTTATGCGCCTACCACACCAGCTGCAACACCTCCCGCACCAACGACCATGGCCAATGACCTTTGGTGTACACCTGGTAAGTCTACTTCTCTATGGCCCACCCTTATACATATATATACTCTATGGTAAATACATATAAGCTAAACAGCAACTGATAACTACTAGATGCATTTGATCGCACTCAATCTGTCGGTTTAGCAGTCTCTGATCCGACTACTGGTGAACTCGTCAGCCCTGTGAGGGCACTTAGCGACCCCATAGTGACCACCATTGACCCATCGAGTCTCATGATGACACCCCCTGCAACAAGCACTACCAGCAGCAGCGGTGGCAGTGAGAGTAGCCAAACATCATCGCAAGAACACCAACACGTAGACGAAATTAATAATAACAATAATAACAACAACACATCATTGAACGCAACCACATTGACCATTGGTTCTTGGCATCGACTCAAGCTACGCTCAAACGATCTATTATGCGTATATCAGCCCGACCGACGCATGTTTGCGTGGCACATTGCCGATAATGGCAGTCTGTTCCGTATGGAGATTTCCTTGGAAGCCGTTGCAAGTATCGAATACATTGCTGGCGATTGTGATGTCCTTGCCGATGTACATTTCGACATTAGTGAACCGCCCCAGTTCTACATGCAGCAACAAAAGGAGGAAGACAGCCCCATTGGAGATGATGAACAGCAACAAGAGCAACAGTGGATTCAATGCAGCGATTTCACTGAAGGAAAGCAAGCATCGAGGTTCTTTCGCCATTCGCTTAAAGGTGTGGCTCATCACATGAAACAAGAGTTCCTGAATTTGATGGATAAGCACGAGGAGACGCGTCGTCTTGTACGATTCATCGAGACGCCTATTCCAACTGCATTGACTGCGGCATATCAGCCTACTACAGCTGCTGATGCTACCTCCATCATTGAAGATCCCATGTTTCACTCACAGCCATCGTCCTCGTACATGTACTGGAATCCAATGGCGGCCACAGCCGCTACGCCGTTCATGGCGGAACCGTGTAGCTTCTTGAGCTAAAAGAAAAAAATAACAATCATATTCCTCCTTCTTCTAACATCCACCCCCATAGTATCATTCATCCCACATATATCAGTATCATCTTTCCCTTCTATACTCTCTCGCAACACACGTTCCTCCATTGAAAGCAAAAACGAAACTTTCTAAATTTCTCTTCACCAATCCCCTTTCCTCCCCAACCCTGTGTTTATATGTATCTTTTGTTCACCATTTGTTGCATTTGTTATTCCATTTTTTATTATTTTCTTCTTCGGTTTATTTTGTCTGTCACGCGTTGTGAAAATCTTTTTTCTTTGTAAAATAAAGTATGTATATTTGGCTCTCGTTAATCCTTTCTAGAGTATAACATCACTATGTACTACTAGGTGTAGATCATCTGGTTGGGCGGCCGTCTATTGCTACTACTAGCCCTTTGATAAACTGGGGCCGATCGACATTTTGTTCTGTTGTGGGCGTGGCTACTTTGTATGGCTCTCATTCAATAAGATGATCACCCTAATATGCAAGATCACCCGTTGCGCTTAATCAGTATCAAGTCTAACTAACGAGATGTGATTTGTTAAAGTTTAAGTTTATGTTTATTATCTATATACAAGCAGTTTACAATGACAAAAGCCGAACTTTACTTTTTCACTCCCTTCTTCCTTTACTGTGAATGTGATCGTTTGCCTGTTAGTATCAAGGCTCTTACTTTTTTGTGCTCCATGTTATACAATTCAAGATCTCTTCTTCTCTCCCCTCCCCGTTGGTTCCCGCTTTTTTCACAAGCAATCGCAAAAAAAAGAAAAATGCTTTTATGGGGGTTGGGTTGGTCTGGGAGAGTGCAGCTAATTTCCCATACATGTACAATAACACCACATCAATGCTTTTGCCCTTAAATCGGCCCTTTTACTCCTTCCCAATGTTTATTGTTTGTTTATGTTTTCCATACAAACATAAGCACTTCTTTTTTAAGAAATTAATTTGCCTTCGGTTTGATAATCCGACTCACTGGTTTACAAACTTAGCAGCCAAAATGCCCCACTTATCGCACTTGTCCACTTTTCTTTTGTGCTACCGAAACCGACTAAGGTTATTTTTATCTCAGTTTACGCTACACACACGTTCTTTTTGGTTTGTGTGCGCTAGTGGTTCGAGGTTTGTGCGAAAACTGGCGCGGCGCGCGTGTGTGTACTCTCTGTGATAAAAGGGTTTATGATTGAGTAATCGCCATGTGCAACCCTGTGAAAAGTCCCTACTTACCGAGAAATGCAAAGGGTTGCTGGGATAGTAAATAACGAAAAAGATCGTACTGCTTCTGGGTCTCTTTGAATCCGCCTCCAGGGAAGTCAGACTAAACCTCCTTTGATACTGCAAATTTTACAAAAGGATGCTGATCTGCAGCAACCACATGGGCCCTCATTTTTCTTTATCGCGCTATAACCAACAGTTCACACCACAAACTGGCAAATATACCTGCTATATATCATCTGGTGACTATTACTGCTTTGGGCTACAGTTGCTTTATGGGGCTACATAGGAACGTTCTTGCTGTTCGTCGGATATAGCTTATGTCCAAATTGTTACACTCAACTATCCCGCGGAGAGAATCAACCAAACTGTATCTGATAAAGTGGTACCCTTGTACGGAACAAAAAAATAGAGCGTGGTTGCGAAACAATTAAGTTTGCTGATAAACGTCAAAAGAGCGGTGAGATTAAGGGTTCATTCGTCACCCTTTGCATCTGTCTGCACGCTTAATCAAACTGATATACTGCACAGTACTTCATTACTTTAACTGAGCGAAAGATGTACATAGTAGTAGATAATCTTATGCTTATGACTAACACTGTAGCAATAAGATAGACAATAGTTAAGAGTACTAGAGATATATATGTATTTAGATGATCGCCCATGCTTGCTTTGGCTTGTCACTGTCTTTGATCTTCGCATCAGGTTTGGGATCGGCCTGCGAAAGGGAACTACAGTCAGCTAAAATGACCGACAACGATAGATGCCGTACTCTCAAATTGGCAGAAACATAATATAACACACCTTGATGCAATCCTTGACGACCTTGCTATTGGCGCTAATTCGGTTCTTTGAACCTTCAACAGTGAGATTCTCACTATGATGTACACAAAAGTGTACTTAGTATATGCTACTTCTTATATTTTTAAAGATGACATAACGGATTAAACGTACATTTTGATATCGTCAGCCTTTGCAGTACAGTTGATCAACAATTCCCAATACCCGTGAGTTTCTTGGATCAAGTGCTCGATTGCTTTCTGTGTTACCGAGTTGAGAAAGGGGTCAGGTCTGGATTTATAAAGATGAGGTGACAGAATTATAGGTACAAGTGCAGAATAACTTACACTATCTTGGAAGTCGCCATTGTAGCCAAATTTGTTCTCATCATCACCTTGCGGGACTTTGTAAACCTTGTACCAATGTTGAATATCCTTGCAGATATTCTCTTCGACATCAGAAATATCTAATACAATTGGAACAGCAGTTTTTCGTGATAAGCAAAAAATAATATACACACGCAATCGACCGCAATGTAGTAAGCTGCTTTTATTTTAACCGTTGTAACGAGAGGCCCGCTCATCGTTAATGTCGATCGCGATCAGTTTCCAGTCAGTAAAGTCATCGTCGATCATCAAGAGTCCACCCAAAAGCTTAACTTGCTTGACCTGACCAGGATAACCCGAGTCCATACCAATGTCAATGACATCGACCGGATCATTATCGCCACCTTTGGTTCCAGCTTTTTTGTAAGGAACGTGTGGGTTTTCCCAAGTCTGAGGGATTGAGCCGTAGTTACCGGGATAACCATGGTGTGGATAAATATTGGCAATGTACTTCAACTCGTCGTGCTTGTTGGTGTCATGATAAAGTGGGTTCAACGGTGTTTCCTTGTCAATCTGTTTGACGTTCCATTTAATTAGATTATTTCATACAACAGCTACATCCAAAACTAGTATTAATGACAACAGCGTTTAACTCTACCTCGACCTTGGCGTTCTTGCCCCTGGGAATCTCAACGACCATGTTGTAGACAGTATTGTTGCTGGGGTCAGGACGAAGTGGAACATCATGGAAAGGGGAGATCGGGGTGCCATCGTCCTTTTCTTTATAAGTATAAAACAATCGATTGTTCAGTTTCATGTATAGGGAAACTCGTTGCCATAATGTATATAAAACGAGATAATGGTTACACACCAAGATAAACGCGATACTTTTTGGTGTTCAAGGCATCGATTTGGCGCATATTGTAACCGGAGACGGTAGAGATGGCAGCGGCAGCAAGAGCAAAGACAATAGCAGAGAGTTTCATGATGTGTATCACAACAAGAAGAAGGAGCCTGCAGGTTTATGAGATGGTGATGATGTGAGGAGAGGAACGACGAGTTTTGGCGCCATCATCTTTTATACACTCAAGCTACTCAATACATTTGACATTATTTCCTTTTCTGGTATTCTAAAGAAGCTTGTTTGAGTTTCTATACACTCATGGAGACGAATCGAAGAGGGGCACCTTCTTTTGTTGACCAATAGGTGAAGTGATGTCATTCTTTATCGAACCAATTACCCGCGATTTTTTCAGTTTCAAATCCAAAACATCTTGTCTGCAGGTCACCATTCAAAAGAAAAAAGCATAGATTCAATGAAAGTATTAATGATAATGCAGAAAATCATTGGTCGTCGGTGTTTTTTCTTCACCCCATTACAATAGAGAAAGTATAACCATTAATGTTTCAGGCCAAAGCAGAGAAATACAGCATTCGTTGTCGTCTGGTGATGGCAGCAGGGAAAACACATAAACACATCACGGGCAATTGCTTATTATGTATGTTCCCGGTCATTTATAGTATGTACAATAAGAAAGAAGGAGGAAAAGTGTTACGAAATTGAAGTGCCGTGTAATTAAGAGCAAAATGTCGTCTTGGGACCGTTCTATGTACTTGTAAAAAAATGCAGGCGCTTGTCCTACTGGAAAATATTTGAATGGTGCTCTCAAGTAAATATGCTTTGTTCAATGTGGCACAACTGCAACATAGGCTCTATGTCAAAAGACACCCGAGTGCTTTGTCTGGAAAAGATTAGGTCCGTTGATGACTTATTATATCACGTAATATAATCCCTTTCTTTCTTACGTAACAACACCTTTTGTGCAGCTAGCCTCTGGTGTTCTTTTCTGTACGGGAATAATATATCTTACTTCTCCTGAAGCGCATATTGTTCTTCCATTTCTTACTGATAATTTTAGTCATTAAGGATGAGTACTGATATACAGACGATGGAAAAAAAGATAAACTTGTTTCATAAGGGAGTCGGGGAAACTCTTTCTGTCCGAGGTACTAAAAGGTAGCCTCCGTCCACCAAAACTTGCTCGGAAATTATAAGCTTTCTTCTGAGAAATTACTCGAACTGTTCCTACTTGAGAAAGTATGATACACTGTATCATGTTTCCGGAGTTCTCACAGGTAGAAACCATCTCATCATATTCAGCTTCCTTTCGCTCCCACGGAAAGTTTTCCGAAAATTAGCGAACGAATAAGAACATCGCGGTATCGTACTATATAAAATAAATATATATGTGAAAGTGATATTTTTACGGGTTGTTTCAAATTGGGATGCCGGAATTTTAGTGCAGGAGCACTATCGAGATTGGTCGTGTAATACAAACACGCAGGGACTCACTCGCATAAGTTTGTCTGTACTGAGCCATATATAGACGACCAACATATTAGCGACTCTACATGTTTTGATATCAAAACAGCCCCTTTCAAGTATGGTGAAGAAAGCAATATCACATAGCCAGCTATACCAAGATTATTACAACACGCAACACAAAGGCTGATAAACAGCTTAAAGTATGTAGATCAGTGAAAAGCATCCTTGTTCTTCTGAGAGCCAAGAAAGTCTGTTTATATTGATTGTTACTACTGTCACGGCATATGTCAATATTCTATGATATCAACTATAGCTGGTTAACATACGATATAGTGACTGGTGTAAATTGGAATACCATCACATTGATGAGGAAAAAGAGATACAAAGAAAAGCAAGAAGAATTCACGGCAAGAAAGATAGAACTTGCCACTTATAATAGGCTACCACGAACAGCTTTTACTTGGAGTATTGACCGAAGACGAGATAGAGAAAACGGATTATCATGCCACACCTCTCTATACGCGAATCCATCTATGAAATACGGTAACGTCAAATGAAGATACCGACCCAACCAAATATGAGGAATAATGTGTTAAACAAAAACTACTCGCGCATTATAAGTGGAGTAAATTTTTTGGCGAGTCTCTTGATCACGAATTGCTCCAATGTCATAGCAACCCCTAATCCCCTGGGTGGAAAAATTATTAATAATTGCTGGCCAGCAACGAATCGACAGTAAGTGGGCCATTGACATTGGTATAAACCAATGTACTCATGTGCTATTCCGGAAACGAGAACCGCGGTAATTGTGCCCACGAGCAAGGCAATTGGTTATGGATTCTTGACGACTTTAGCAAGCATCTGCTGAGTGTTATGTCGGGCCGGACGAAAATCAAAAGCAACCCATGACGTACGGAAAAGCTAATGCCAACGGATATTCCAGAACCCGTCAAGCGATGTTGATTGAACTGGATTATCGATCATATTGTGTCATTGTTCTAGTAGATAAAAGAACATATTCAGTTGTCCTGTACATCGACACGGTCTGTCTAAAAAGCCATTTCCAAATATGAAAACAAGAGTAAACGGGTTGCTTTCTCATCCTCAGGTAAGACTCATAGACATAGAATAAACGGCGGAGCAAGTGATGTGCATAACCAACCAAAGTAAATGCGTTGCTGATGGTACAGTATATATAGCGAGAAAAGTAAATAGTGTATACAAGCCAGGACCATCATGGGAATCAACTTCTTTTACAGTTAACGTCGTAAACTAGGAGCCAAACACATCACAGTTCAAGGCATGGTAGGTGAAATAGAAAACCGTATGATGCCATCTCTATCTCCCCAACAACCGAAACCATAAAAAATACTTTATAGGTGTAATCTTCGCTTGATCATGCAAGTGGTTTGCGACTCATGACCTGGGTTCCAGAGGCACTTACATACCAGCAAAGCGCATGCAACTATTTGTACTATGCTATGATCAAAGATCTACGCGGTATCACAGGAGCGTACTATATCAGCGGCAAAAGGGAAGAGATCTCCAAGCGATCCAGAAATTTGGAGGAAGCTACTAGGTTCTGGAACCTGTGTTGCGAGATTTGCAAAAGCCAGAGCATGCTTTAACGCAGCAATAACTGATCACCAAATATGAATAACGACCCTTTTCTCTGTCTATTTCATACAAATATCTTTATATTTTTATTAACATTTGCAGCAATAAAATGAGAAGCTTAACGTCAATGTACCGTCTGTGCTCGTCAGATATCACACAATTTAAGTAAGGAGGAGGTAGAGTCATTTTTTGTAACAAAAGGCACTGCATCATCCGGATTATCCTTGTCTGACACACTTTACATAGACAGTTTTATCTAATTTATAGCCTTCCCACATAGCGAAACTGTCAATGCGCTCAATTCGGACAAAAAGGGACCGTTGCGTTTGCCATTCTTCAAAGAGGGAGTGTATCGTGCTCTCACCCAAACCTTCTTGGCATGATTTTAATTCTAAATGTGCTAACGTTTTAACAGCCGCCAATGCCTCGAATTCCTCCTTGGTAAGTTCGAACTCGACACGCAGTCGTACTTTATGGATTGGTGCCCTCGTAAATTGTTCCAGAATAGACACCAGTGTTTCACTGCTCCTAATTATTACTTTTCCATAGTCAATTTGGCGGATAGAGCGTGAACGATATAGATGTGATGCGATGTCCACCGCAAGCGTGCTCTCGAAGCCATGATCAAGCGCGTGGCCAAACGAGAATTCGCGCAAATAAAGGGCTTTGTCGAAAACTGTCGCTAGTAAGAATGCGGCAGGGATAACCGTATCTTCCTCTAAATCTTGATACTGTTGCTGCGGAGGTGAGGTATCGTTCACTCTGATAGACAATTTTCTTAACTCCGTGGTGTTGTTGGCAAGTGTATCAAAAATACGTTTGTGCCAGAAAAAGTTCCCGGTAATGTCGACGACTTGAAGGAATGGGCATGCGCTGATCATATCTGAAATTTGCCGAGACCGTACTCCTGGATAACAGAGTGATGCGTCGATAACTAGGCATTGCAAATTGGGAGCACCCAAATTTGCAAGAGTATCCAATAGCGTATATCCGCCGGTCGGGTCGAAGAGTCCGAAATTCAAATCAAGCGTTTCTAACGTAGTGTGCGATCTGCGAAGAATCAACTTCAGTTGCTCATCGATCGCATGGGTGCGATGATAATATATGTTTTTGCTTGTAATTGGCGGTCGGATTACAAGCTTCCTGAGACCACTGTTGGCAGTTGATGAGCTTGGTGGTGGGGTATACTCGGTAATAGCAACTTTTCTAATCGAGCTAGTGTAGAAAAACTCTCGAAGCACTGGGCAGTGTTCATAAATTGTTTCTAACATAGTTGCGTAATAAGGGTATGTCGATCCGTTTAACGTAAGCGAGATCAAATACTGCGATTTCCGTATCAATTGTTGTATGTTTTCAAGTTCGCCGGTATAGTTTGCCCAGGATAAGTCCAGTTTTGTAAGGTGTAAGCCTGAAGGTAAGTTGGATGGCAGAGTTTGATATATATTTGGGATACCGTTGTCATTGCCTTGATGAATATATTGCGATACGAAGCGAAGGTTGGGTAATCTGGATGCGGCTTTGTGCGCATATTCTTCAACATAAGCATTGTCGTTATCCCACATACAATGCAATATTAGTCTTGTCAGGGAACGCCGGTTTAAAATCATCAAGAAGTCCAATTTCTCCTTTTGAAAGCCTCCCATCTCTTAAGGAATTTTTTAGAATACATGTGAGAAAGCAGCGAAATTACTTCATATAGAGGTATATATTCCGTCAAATAAGTAACACTCTGTGACCCATCCACCAACGCCTAATAGCAACCGCGCTAAATCCCCACCCCGTCTCTGTACATACCTAATGATTCGATCCGGTTCCAATCATGAGCCAACATAGCATCCAAGACCCGAGTTTGTACCGTTGACATCGATGACGAGAGGGCAAATTTACGACTGACGACAACTTCCTTGACTTGGTTTCCCGGAATATCGTTGATATGGTTATAGATTTTATAGGACTTACGAAGAAGTCGGTGCTTATCGCATGCAAGATCCACAGTATGCCACATTTTGGGCCAATGCATCATATGATTGTGCCAGAAGCGACATGTCTTTGCCAAGGCTACTCGTTCAAATACTGAAAGCTGCAAAAGGATATTGTTGAGGACTTCGTATGGCAAGAGTTGGACCATCCACTGGTTTCGTTTATGAGCAATGGCCATTACCTGCTCCGACTTGCTGACAAGCTCCATTCGTTGCTTCGGATATGTCCCCTTATCCACGATTTCTGCCCCTATTCTGTATGCTATTTCGGACTCGTCGAGTTTCGATTGTAGTATCCGTATGTTGCCTAGCACCAAATACGGGTCAGGGCGCGTCAGCGTGTTGGATGGATTGGCGCGAATACCGTCGTCAGCTGCAAGGTCGTACTTCTTTTGACTTTCGTATGTTGCAGCGCGATGTAGCAGAATGACAGACATAATATCTTTGTGCAAGTTGTCAAGTGCATTGGTATAATGTTGAGCGGCTAGATCATATTTTTGCTGGGCATGAGCTTGTTGCCCTTGATTAAATTCATGTTGAGTGGAGGCGAGATCGAGATGCTTTATTGACAGTGACGAATACGAATCCCCGGGTTTCACCAACATTGGTAGCTGTAAGAACGCTGATTTTCTCATTTGCCCTTGATCGATACGGCACAACAGAGCAAGATCGGGCGGAAGAAATGAACGAAGTTAAAAAAGGTCGTTGCAAAACATTAAAACGCCAGGCTGTCATTTGTGTCACATCAAGTTTCCTAGGTCCACATTAAGTCTTTGCCAAAGGGTTGAGTAAGTACACTATTCCCAACAAAACGAGCGCTGGAAAGCAGTGCATAAATGCAAAACAGTAGCACTAACAAGAAGATAAATGAAATGCATGCTCCAGCAAATGGAAGTGACATGTTAACGCTTTAGTACTCTCAATCCTCAATTTTCCCAACGCAGATACTAACCTTCTGCGCGTTAACATGCCTGCCCAAACGTAAAGCTGTAACTCAACGCATAGTTATACCTTTTATATCTTGTGTGCTTATATTTAGGAGCACTGGTAAAAAAACGAATCCCCTTTGCAAGAAGATAATTCATAAATGTGTTATTATCGGTGAAAACCGAGGATGCGCTGCTGCTTTGATTGAGCTCAATGTGGTGAAATAATCAAGTTTTCTCCGGTGAATGGTAACAAAAGGTAAAAATTAAACATTTATACTGTTGGACATAAATAATGCGCTTAGTACATGCTAAATCGCTGATATATGGTGTATACATAGTACGCGTAACAGTTCACAGAGCAAATAAACATTCCATCCCGAACAGTAATACGTAAAAAGGACAGCAGATTATTTCAAAAAGGAGATTGAGCAAATGTATGACCTCTTGTAGGATTAGCGGTGGGAAACAAAATCTGATGAAACCATTGTGCTGCTGTCTAAAAGTAGTCCATCATAAGAGCTGGCACATACGGTATAATTTGCAACAGTCTATAATAATGCTCTCCGTGAAATGTGTATCTGGTTTTTATATAATAAAAGCTAATGTTTCATGTATAATATGTTTGCTATGAGGTGGTTTATCGCTTTTGTTGCTGCTGCAATCAAGACGAGTCGTATAGAAGAAGGAGATACTTCACAGTAATTGTGATCTTTATCACATCTTCCATGTTGTAGTGGCTGTTTCCCATCGAAATGTCACTCTAAACAAGCTCTTTGTTTCACTTCAACGCATTGAAAAGTATCCATTGTTTTAATAGAAATAGTACACATAAATTGTCATCACTTCCCGATCCATCTTTGATGTTGGTAAACATAGCATTCTTCAACTTTAAACTTATGTCCACGTACGTCGTCACCATGGTCCACCACTGATGCTGCTGTTCCATGTGTGTGGCACTTTACAATAACGGGATAATTTTTGTTCGGAGGACAATGATTGCTGACGTGAACCAGGGCAAAATGGTCACGTTATGCAAGTGTTGAAACAAGGTATAAAGCATATCTCTATTGATCACCTCACTGGTAAAGTTTCGAATACGTAGAAACGCCAAAGTTCGAATTGCAGCAAAGGTCGCAATGTCTGTCTCTGTGACGTAGCAACTCAGCGACATGTACATGCTACGAAGCGCGTCACTGCTTGACAAGGAGCTCAGGATGGTTTCTAGCTCGGCGGTGGTCCGGATTGGAGTCGTCAGTAAGTCTAGGCTTCGAATACTTGAGCGTGCGATATACGGCGCGAGCTGGGATACAAGAGCAGTTGCAGAGTGATCGCCATAAACGCCGAATGTACAGCCAACCAGGCGATGTGCTTTTTGGAAAACCGGCAATAGCCAAAGTCCGGATCGAAGAAATCCGTCCTCCTCTATTTCTCCTCCCCTTCCTCTTATGCTTAATTCCTCGATCTGCTGTAAGTGATCCGAAACTTGGTGGTAATGCGTATGATGGACAGTTTCCGCAGATAAACTGTATCCGCAAGCACATTAAATATCCGACGATGCCAGAATCCAGTGCCCTCGATGCCCACGACCTGCAGGGAAGGACAAGCGGCTATAAGGTTGGAGATTGTTTCCGAGTTCATCAACACGCCTTTTTCAAAGTTGAGGACAAGCGTTTGTAATTGAGGAGCTCCGAGTCGTCCAAGTTCCCGCAATGACCAATACTCAACATCATGTTGCATTTGATAGGCACCACCAGGCCGTCCAAGTCTTCCTGTTTGCCAATTCTGTTCAGCGTCTTATGGTATAACATGATCCAATTCGAGTACTTTCAACGATTGGTAACAATCTATAAACATTAAGCGGAGTTCTTCGTCATCATAATAAAGAGGTTTGTGCGGTGGATGGACTACTGAATTCTTATCGTAATCTTTTTGATACCACGGGTTTGTTGTGTTTCTTGTAGTCGGAAATACGATCTCGAAGATGGCTGTTGATGGGAATAAATTACAGTGGTCTTGTGTTGATCTTCATGGACGGCAGGCTCGTTGGTGTAACTGAACTCTTGAAGCGATGGACGTATCTCGTTAACTGCTTGTAATATTTTTTTAATATCGACATGACCACAGCGGTTGCGCAGCTAATGTTTCATGTCAACTTAGCACGTGCCGGCGTCCTTCAATGCCACATGATGGGGTTTTCTTACGAACAAGCATATATGTAGCCACCTCGGGCGTGCTTTAACATGTTACACGCGCCTACCTGCAATTTGGTGGAAGTGTAATGATGCAAGCAGTAACTTAGTGCATAAGAGAGCATTTCGATACCTTGTTTCTAGTGTTTCTCAAATTGTGTAGTTATACAAACATGGCTGTATCATTTATCATTATCGACAAGAAAATAATCATGGTGGCAGCCGTGATGAGGCTGCTTTCCTCATCATATACCTGCTCAACTTTCTATATACTTCTTTTCATTGTCATTGGCCCACTGATATTGACTTCTTTTACATGGCTTCTATTTTTATTTGTACCATCTCATTATCTAAGCAAAACGCGATGCGTTTCCGAATAATAAATCGTCATATCCTTGATCATTCTTAAGCCACAGCATTTCTATTCAGGGGTGCAACAGCTACAGCTGTCGTTGCTGGCTGATCAATTGTTGATTGTATCAATGTTGTGTTGTAGTTGTATGAACCCCTAAAAGATCGTGCGGTATGTAGAATACGCTACTATGGATAAGATGCTTCTAGTAGTGCTACTTATAGCCTAATGAAATCTCCTTTGAGCAGTATGTACACATTGTTCGTCATTCTTGACAACACAAGGTAGAAAAATGTGTTTATAAGATTGAGAATCTATTGAAATCTGTCTTTTTCTTTCTACCTTTCTTTATCCATACTCACAGCTCCCACATCCGCCCTCTTCTTTTACTTTCTGGATAATTCTTTTCAGGAATAAAGAAAAAAAATGTACCGCAACAGCTACTACTGTTCACTTACACTTTTATCGTTCGTGCTGCTTTCCTTACTCGGTGTCGTGTCATCAGCTCATGCAGCACCTGTAGATGACGATGACTCTGCAGACACGACGACGAGGAAGACACTGACAGCTTATATCACTGATTGGGCACGTAATATAGCGAATAACTCTTATTCATAGCTTCACACGCGCCTGTTTAAACTGCCTTTCTCTTTTTGTTTATGTCGGATCTGTTATAATTAACCAAAGATGGGTTCTAATTTGATACGTTATGTGTGAATAGGCTATACCCGCCTCAATTCCTTGGAGCAAGCTCGATCACGTCAACTATGCCTTTGGTGTACCGGACAAGTCTGGTAATTTGAGCGATTTCGATGTGGATCAGCTTAAATCTGGTAAAATTATCCCCTTCCCACTACTCCTCCATTCTTTAATTTCCCTCCTATATATGCCCCCTGTCAAACTGTTGCTATAACATATTTCCTTTTCTCTCGTCGTTTATCGGTTCTACCACCATCGTTGACCATAATTAGTGGCGAAAGAAGCCCATGCTCATAACAAGACTATTAGCCTGAGCGTTGGTGGGTAAGTAACATGAAAATCGCCATGTTTGTTTTGGGATTTCCACGTGTGAATGGCCTCTTCCTTTATACTGACAGCTATACAATGACCAAAATGCATGATACATGACACAAACTAGATGGAGCGGGTCCTTGTATTTTAGCTCCTTGGCTCGCACGGACCATTCCCGTCGGTCGTTTGTCAATATCCTCGTTCAAGCATGCCAGGACTATGACCTGGATGGTATTGACATTGATTGGGGTAAGTTTCCTAGAAAGAAGCAAGGAGAGTGTTTCAATGTGTCTAAGAATATGGATCATTAACATGACTTACTACTATAACAGAGTATCCGAACAGTGCGAATGGCGTTTCATGTAACGAAAAGTAAGACTTTCTTCTGGCCATTTTTCGGGGTATGTACTAACGTTTGCTTTATTTCCACGCCTGTATAGTGACCCTGCAGATACTCCCAATTTCCTTCAGCTCCTACAACTGCTTCGAGTCAAACTGGATGCCAAATTCGATACGAAGAAGCTTATAACGGCTGCAGTCAGCACACTGGTTTTTAATGATGCCAAGCAAGAGCCATTTTCGCATCTTAGTCCTGGATGGGCAACAGCTTTGGATGCTGTTCAAATCATGGTATGTATAGTTGAAGTCCCTTCTTTCTCTTTCATATAATAGCGAAACTGATGATCAGAAAATGTGATCATCATGTAGGGCTATGACTTGAACGGATTTTGGAACAATCACACTGGACCCAACTCGCCACTTTACGATGGCGGCGTCAACGACGAGCCTAGCATTGATGGAGCTGTGCGTGCATGGGCCAAAGCTGGAATTCCGCATGAGCGTATCGTTGTGGGCGTACCATTTTTCGGCTACACCACCCGTGTCTCACAAGCTGCCAGTCAGCGTGCCCCATATGTCACCATTGACCACAGCCAGCCGCAAATTCAAGCCGATGAATACGACTCGGAAGACGTCGGGTTTTGTTCCGACACAGAGACCAAATCTTTCTCAGGCGAAATGCGATGGCGATCTATCCACAAATCTGTGCTGGGCGACAACAGCACCGCGTGGGACGTCTATTTCGACGATATCACAATGACACCTTATGCTTATAATGCACAACGGAAACAGTACTTGAGTTTTGACAATCCACAGTCGTTGAAAGCCAAGATCGATTATGTCAAACAGTACAACTTGGGAGGCATGATGCTTTGGTCTTTGGAAATGGATGATGAGCAACATACCTTGTTGAACGCTCTTCAGGATATTTACCAGTGAAAGGCTAGAAAAGAATTTCTCTCGTCCTTCCCTCTTTTGCAAACCCTTATTCTTTTTCCTGTGATTCACATTTTTTTACACATTCTCGTAATTCGATGTACACAATAATCACGACATTTTACCTCTCTACATGCAATAAAAAGCTCGATTACATAGTTTACTCAGCATATACACGTGCTTCTTTGTGGTGGCGATAAACATAGTTAAGACAAAACGATGTCGACCAAACTATTGCTGCTATTGTTGCTGCTTCTACATCGGTTCAGGATGTACCAATCCCATGCTGAGGCTTTGAAGCAAATCTTCTCATATTACATAAACGCATGTACTGTTGCCTAAGAACACGGGAAAACAGAAAGACAACCCCAAATAATTTCATGATCACATGGCAATATGTGTGCTCTACAACTTTAGTGATAAGTATAGTGTATACAAAACGTAACCATCTAATTCAAATACATCTACTATTAAAAGAGAAATGGTCCTTACGAAGGTACCCTTGGTCCTTACTGACAAGCCTTTATACAAGCAAACTTTTTTCTAGTCTTTATTTACAGCAGTAACTATGTGATAAAGTAGGCATGCACATTCAATAAGAACATATACCAAGTGGAGCAACAACAAACTTATTTACATGATAAAAGAAGAGATAGCTAGTTATTGTTTGCTGATCCAGTAAATTTCAGCCGGTGGCAACAATGACATTTGCCATTGCCAACCCAACTTTCCGATCTTATCGAAAAACGTCCGTTCTTCACCCTGATCTCTTGGCTTGTATCCGAGTAGAACCTTCAACTTGGGATTAGTTTCCACCAGCTTACTGAGGGTATCGATCAATGCATCATGGAACGCGGGGTTATAGAGCACATCCGTCAACAACACCAGATTCACACATTTGTTCGATATATCCGTTTGACCCCATTCTAACTCTTCGACGACGATACTTTTCTCACTCTGTGCTTTGTGTTGCTGTAAAGATACATTGTGTCGGACCGTGGGTACGGTATCGTCCAGATCAGTCAAGTAAATGATGGACGGGTTGAGCATGTGGGCAGCATAGATACCGGCAATTGCCGTGCCGCTGCCTAGTTCGAGGATACGATCGAAATGGGGTTGTTGTTGTTGATACTGTTGTTCGGCAAGATATTGACACATGAGCATCCCGCAATCCCTAATAATAATGTTCATGTATTCTTGAATTACGCGTTCTTGAAAAACGGTGAAATACTCCCACCGTCCTCTTTCCCACCAGACACCATTTTCATTAATCACGAATATCGTCATCGTCGTAGTCGTCGTCGCCAAGTAAGAAACGTACCATATATGTGACCCGATGCTCGGTGAAGCATCTTCATGAATCCGGATGATATGTTGTTGTGGTTTAGTAGAATTGGCATCATTACTATAATTCTTTATTGTCACGCGCCGTTCATAGTCGCGTACAGAAGATGATTTTCCATGCTGTTGAGAAGACGTGGCTAAGTGGACTGGTAGTGAAAACACGGGTATGACCCACGCGTCGTCATCATCATCATCGTCGTACTGGCTTTTTAAAAGACGAGCTCTAGTCCATACAGGATGCTCTATATATTGACTGCCTGCTAGTTCCAGCACAAGTTGGAATGTCACACTGTTGCTGTTGCTACCAACGGTGCGTGACCCTGCAGATGATCCGGATACAACTAACGATGTCGTCATGACGCCTCCACCTTTGACTGGATCGTACTGTAGTTCTACCATGTTGCACAAAGACTTCTTCTTTGAGGCTGGCGATGAACCATGGTGTTGTAATGTCAAGTGGGTGGCAGTCTTTGGCGATGACGAAGAAGTCGCTGCTGGTATGAGACGACAGCAGATCGTCAGAGGCTGCCAGTAAGAGATTTCGCCTAAATCATTAGCGACTGTCCATACAATATTGAATGGTTTGCCAGCAGTGACAATAGTCGGTGGTGGTTTGAGGTAGCGTGTGTAAAAAAGATTTGCCATATGACTGTTGAGGTCGTGCTTTTACAAAGAAACTGAGAGTGGGGGACGGCTTCGGGTGTGGGGGAGAGGAGGAGAGAACGTTGAGGCCACCCCCAGCAGCACCACATTTTATTATATCATCCGAAGTAACGTTACACAAGAGCATCAGGTACAGCATTTACACAGATTGCGCCTGTTGCTCTAAGATAGCTGACATACCGTCAAGTCGTTGTTAAACAGCAGTAACAGCAAATGTTCCAATTTAGTACTGGTCTGCACGGTGGTTATACTCATGGCCGTGCATGCTCTCCTGCTGCTGAACATTGCCAAGAATGAAAATGAACGGTCGCTTGAGTTGACTAATACGGCTAAACGATGTATCACTAGGTTATTTTGCTGCTGTCAAAAAGTTTTGGTTGGGGAGACATGTGAAATCGTAACGGTGTTTATAAGTAGGTATACTAAAAGGAAAAGGCAAGAGGAATAGGAGTTGGATGAACGAGGGAGGAAGGAAGGGAGAAGATTAGGATATATGCAAAAAAAACTCTATACAGTATCATAAATAAATGGATTTAAACACGTTCAGTGACATCTTGAGCCTCCCAGTTACCGCCGCCGAAATCAATGAACAAGCGAGCCTCAGGCGTCAACTTGATCAGACCCTTTTCGTGGTAAATCGTGTTGGCACGGATATCCTTCTCAGTCTTGATGCGGGTGATGCGATGCTGCTGACCACGTTCCAAACGCTTCAAAGCATCCGCATCCAGATCCTTTTCAACCGTATCCTGCTTAGCCCACTCGGCAGTCTCCTTCGAGTACTGCTTCTTTTCCTCTGCATAGGCAAGATATTCAGCTGTTGTCGGAGTCTCCAAAACACCGGCCTTGGGAGGATCGGCCTGAGCAGCTTCGTCTTTGGTCTTGACATCAGGGTTCTTGGAAATGATCACGGGTGTGGACCCAACGTCGATGTGTTGTTGGAATTCGTCCAAGTTCTTGCTGAACTTGATCTTGGCCGCAACTACAGGGTCCAACATGGGTGATACAACGCTCCAGACTGATGCACATTCGTTGTTTCCGTGTTAGCTCACCTGTGCCTTAATCTCATGTGCTACACACAAAGAAAGCAGCTGTAATTACCTGTGGAGAAGACCCAAGGAGCCTTGTGGATCAGACACAAGCCAAGAGTTTCGGGATAGTAGCGCTCCAAGCAAACAATCAAGAACTTGACAAACTCAAAGTCCTGCAAAGACCACGTATACATTAGCAAAGTTTTGCCCCATAGCACCTGTTTATCGCATGCACAGATCCCTCACCTCTTGCCAATAGCCAAGAAAAGCTTACAATTACTTACCCAGTTAGCCAAAGTAAAGTTCTCCAAGTTGAAAACAATGCAAGCGTTCACCATGGGATAACCGCAGAACACGCGGGCAGTCTCCATCAGATACAAGGAACACAACTGGATGACTTCAGCTGGCTGGTCCTCCTTACGGTGCAACTGGACGTTGATAAAGCAAATACCACGATCGCTCTTGTCAGGACCGCCCAAAGTAGCCTTACCGGAACGCATCTGTTCCAAGAACTGGTCGCCCATTCCGGGGACGGCCTTTTCCAGTTCCTGAACCAAGCCAGATTCGCCCAACTTGGTGATATCGTCGACACGCATATGCAAGCGCCATCGCAAGGTGTTGACCAGCATTTTGTAGGCAGCTTCATCGTCCCACTTGCGGGCACGGAGATAGCGCAGAATGGCAGCATCCGGGTTGTCGGTGGCCACCATTTGCCAGAACGTGTATTCCAACTTGTCGCCGGGAATCAGGGGTAATGCCTGGTCCACAGGCAACGACATCCAGCGTGGATCGGCGGTGCGGCCCAAGAATACGAATTTCTCTTCGGCCGGTTGTGCTGGCTGCTTCTTGGCACCGAATCCAAAGAAGCCGCCGCCACCGCCATTCTTGGCGGGTTTCTCTTCCTTGACTGCTTCGTCAATAGCTGGAGGCAGGTTTACCTTGTCACCGGGCTGTTGGAATAGCTCAAACAAGCGTAGCCAGAGTCGCTTGAGCGACGCGGTTTGTTCGACGGTCAGGGCACCAGCGTGGCCGGGAAGACGGCCTTCAAGCGAGAGAGTTTGGACCATTTGCGTGTATGTGTGTTTCTGTCTGTGAGAAGACTCAATGTGCAGGAGGATGGAAATGTTAGGAATGGAGGAAGGAAAAAGAAACAAGGTTGTTATATATTGGGGGTAAGGAAGAAAAGCTTGTTTTAATTCAAAGAAAGCTCCGCACAACCCTTATCCCGAGCAGACGTACGTAGCGTGCTTAGTTTCAGTAGTCTCCCCCTTTTCTTCTCCCGCGCTTCGTGTCTCCCCCAACAAAGAAAACGGGTGCGCGCGCACATAAGAACACGACAGACGCGGTAGATCATTTCTTAGAAAAGGACTTGAGAAGTTTATTTGACACCATAGGTTTTGGCTGTCTTTGCCAATGCGGTCTGATCCACCTTGTCCTTCATGCGCGCAAACAACCGTTGCAGAACTGTGCCCCATACAAGAAGGTGCGTGAGTGTTTAAGGAATACTGCAGTCCACATTCTCTGTTATAAAAACAAAGAACAAGACAGTCAAAGGTGTACGATGAGAATATCACGTTACCTTGCTTATGGTTGCTTCCTAGAAACATGACCAACATATCGATCCGACGGACTTGGCTCAAGCCTTGCAACACATTATATATTTCCTTTTCGGTCTTGTACCTGAAAAAAGTGTGCGCATTAAAAGTATGTGCGTGAGTGAGTCAGTTATGCGTATGCGTGGTAGTAGATAATAGCAGATAGCAGCAGTAGAGTGTGTTTAACGTCATACAGGAAGAAGTTGCCCAAGGTTCCACAAATTAATTAACCCATCATCACTTACTTTGTATAATGGCTTTCCAGCAGATCCAGCATCTGTTCAAACTGATCTGAGTCCAACGAGGATCGAAACAGGGTTGCATACAACGACGGCGGAATCGACTTTTTTTGTTTTGTTTTTGTTTTCGTACAGTGTGTAAGAATAAGAATTAGACGACCGTCCGTACATTTGGTGATAATTAATATAATGGAACTAGGGCCTCCTTAAAATCTCTCTTTTTCGTTTTTACCTCAAAATATTCATACAGCACGTCCGATCCACGATGACGACATGCTTTCCAATCCCGTTCGAACTCAAAGTTTGTCTTTGGCACACCAACTTTCAACGGTGGAAGCTTGGGCTTCTTTTCCTCGACCTCTTTGATTGTGACAGCTGTGGGAGTCTTTTGCTTATCCTGCTCAGCGATCTCTTGGATACCAATGTGGGATCCCTTCTCCTTCGGCTGTTCTGCTGTTTCTGTTGCTGCTGTTGCTGCTGTGGTTGCATTTGCGGATGATGTGGGTTCAGTGATGGTGGTATCAACTGTAGAATACGCTTCGTCGACGATCTTGATCGGTAATCTTTTACGTTCCACACTAGGCTTTTTGTTCTTCTCTTTATCAGCTTTTGGTGCAACTGCTGCTGGCTCGGCTTTAGGCTTTTCAGCTGTTTTTGGATCTGTCGTCTGCTTGGCTGGTTGAGGTTTGGATGACGATGACGACGACGGTTTAGATTTGGATGGCAGTGTTTTCAGTTCTTCTTGAACTACTTTGTTTCCTGGCTCGATCTCTAACGCCTTTTCGAAATCTAGCATATAGCAGTACATTTATAGCCAACCTTGTTAGTCAGTCACCCTCCTTATATGTATTTTTTAAAATGACTATTCTCCTAGCATCTGTGTCTGGTACAGACCTTGCCGTGCTTCATCTAATCGACCTTGCTCGCGTCGTGCAATACCGCGTCGCCAAGCCGCCTTTAGGCTACGTGGTTGCAGTTCGAGTGCTTTCGTACAGTCGTGTTCTGCTTCCGAATATCTAATATTATTCTTATATATCAATATCAGTCTGCACTTTTTGTGGCAATACAGATGTCAAAAAAAAACGTGGGTCTAACTTGGATATTTTGAGGTAGGCCATGGCTCGGTTGGTATGGTACACGGCCAGAGTTTCTTTCGGTCCGCCTTTGCCTAACTGGATAGCACGCTCGTAATGCGAAATTGCTAGTTCAAAGTTTTGCTTTTGGAATGCTGCATTGCCCTATAACATAGGTTGAACACTTAGATATATCAGTCAAAGAGGAAATAAAAACAGAGATTGATGAAACAATACGCTTACTCTTTCTTTTTCAGCTGTAGCTTTGCCCTCTAAATTCGTTGTTTTTTCTGGAGCAGCAGCAGCAGGAGACGCTGGTGGCGATGATAATTCGCTTCGTATCTGTTTGGTCCAATCACACAAAGAGAAGAAAAATAAGCTATTTGGCCTGTATAGTCACACCGTCCCTGCACTCATGATTGAACAGAAAAAACGTACAGTTGACTTTCTCGTTTTTGCATAGTTGTCGAGACCAATAGTTTTGGTGAGCTTGTCAATTACAAGATGAGCTGGTTTGCGCATGGGTGGTAATGCCTATATACAAAAAATTGTCGAATAAGTATACATGACATGATTTACACTTGTGCGGATATGGAACAACCGATCTCTAAAGAAGACAACCAATTCAATCTACCTCATCGTGAACTGGTTTTTTTTTCTGTAGCTGTTCGTCTTTTTTACGAATGGTCGGCGCCCACATAAGTAAATCATCCCATATTTCTTTATTTTCGACCATGCTTTTTCGTGTTTCGTGCAATGTCTATATAAGTTGACGTCCGAGCGCGTTTTGTCAGCGCGGGGGGGGGGGACCCTCGAGAACCACAGGCGGGAACTGAAAAGAGCCAAATGCTCTATGCGTGGATCTTAGCTTAAGCTTATCTCGAGCCCGCGTGTTGTCATCCGCTCAAAAGTGGGTGTTTGAGAAAACGGCGTCAAGAGACACAGATCTCAAAATGTAAGAGATCGTCTGTGCGCTTTGCGACACAGTTTGCTGTCGTGGAAAACAAGTTATTTGCTTCTTCGAATGATCAAGGAAAACTATTTGTTGCAGGCAAACAAATCTCAATTCGTCAGACTTGTTCTTCCTAATTTAAAATCACTACACAAACACTATGGTGCGAAAGCCAAATAGAGTTGTTGACACTTGACGTTATTGTTCTGGTAGTAGTGTTAGTAGTAGTTATAGCAGTTGTTTGTCATAATTGATGATGATGAACGCTTTTTTAGTTGAAAAAAAACGCTTTTTTTCTAAGAGACACAAAACATAATAATTTTTAAAGAAGTTGAGTGCACCACGATCAGTAGTAACTCGGCCATATTTGAGAGCGAACAGCTTTGTCGACACGCGCCATCATAGCTGAATAAGACTAGGAGGTCCGCTTCTTGAGGTCATCGCCTACATGACTGCGTGCACAGTTTTTCGTTACACCATCTACTAAAGACAAGTAAAGAACAAATTACTACGCGTATGTTATATAGGAAGCATGCAGATCAGTGAAAAAAAAGTTTGTGGTGGTACTGCCCATATTAAGATCCACAGTGTATATAACAGTCGAACAAAGGCGTGCCAGTATTGAAGACAAAATGTGCAGCTGCTCCTGGGGAAGCAATACCTGGTAGTATTGAGCAAATTTCACTAATATTGCGTATCATAGCATTGGTGTTACTGTGTCAACGTACAAGATATAAAAGAATGACTCATTCTTCCATCAACGTAGCAGCGGCACTACTGTGCAATGGTAAAGAGGTCGGTCTATTGGCATATTACTTTTATAACTGATTGATTGCAAGAATGCCAACTATTAAAAGATGTTTATGAGCCACAAGATGATAACTTGAAAAATTGTCTTTGCCGCAACGCTTAAACGCAATGTGAATCCCTACAGTATGCGCACTTCCAGCTAACATTACTCACAGTTAGCAAACTCATATTTTTTTTTCTTATTCGCCTCTTACCCAGCTCGCCCACTGTGGGAATATGGAATTTGAGAATGAGAAAAACCATTTGTGGAGTTGAGTAAAGGATAATTGTAGAGGATCGCTACACGCGCTGCAAATTTCATTCCATATACCGGAGTTTGTTCTCCATCGACATTGACTGCTTTGCAGACGATCACAGTGGCAACTATATTGTTCGTTGCAACTGTCTCCATTGTGCAATCTGGAACAAAATTGATGATCTCGCAGCAAATCTGAACATATATCAACTTCTTGAACGAGCCCTTGAGCTCCCTCCTCGCTTCGCATGAAGAAGTCTTACATCAATATCAAACATGTACATACAAGTTTAACGGGTGAAAAGTTAAAAGAAACAATTTTTATTTGGTACATTTAAGTACTAATTACTAATAGGGTGTCGATGTCTTAGCTTCTCTGCTCTTACGCAGATACTAACAGGAGCAACCACGGGAAGGTGCATCGACATCTGCTCCCGAACCCTCTACCACAAAGCTAGGGTCTTGTCTTGAACGCTTTGGGGTCTCGGAGGGTCCGATTGGTATTGAGATGCCCAGCGGTCTCACCAATCCACTTACCTGCAATCACCTATCTTATACAGTAAGTCACTCCGTGTCAAAACAAGCATCAGCACCCACCCCTACACTTACCTACCCTCACTCACATTCACATACACAGAAAAAAAGGAAGGGACTTACCATACGTGATCGAAAAGAGAAGAGAAAAAGCGATGAGTCTAGCCTTGAGAGTCGATGTTGAGAGTCGATTGCCGAGAGTCGATGTTGAGAGTCGATTGCCGAGAGTCGATTGCCGAGAGTCGAACGCGATCCCCAGTGTCACCCTTGGCTCTTCCCTTGGTCCTGGTGTTGCCTCCGTTGCGCCTGTCCAACCCTTATTTCCGGTAATCCTGGCTGTCTCCAACTGGTCCCTGCTTGGTTTGTCCAGTCTCGCGTTCAACGGTGTTGGTCACAACCGGTCTCCTAGTGGACCAGAGGACGGAGGAATCCTTTTCGGTTTCTCGCCATAGAAATATGGAGTGTCCTTTTGGTTGGATGCCTTGTCTCCCGGTCTGGTCTACTATGGTGGGAAAAACCTAACTTATACAGTAAGTCGCTCCGTGTCAAAACAAGCATCAGCACCCACCCCTACACTTACCTACCCTCACTCACATTCACACACACAGAAAAAAAGGAAGGGACTTACCATACGTGATCGAAAAGAGAAGAGAAAAAGCGATGAGTCTAGCCTTGAGAGTCGATGTTGAGAGTCGATTGCCGAGAGTCGATTGCCGAGAGTCGATTGCCGAGAGTCGAACGCGATCCCCAGTGTCACCTGGCGCCCCGCTGCGATCCCCACCATAGTAGACCAGACCGGGAGACAAGGCATCCAACCAAAAGGACACTACCATATTTCTATGGCGAGAAACCAAAAAGGATTCCCCGTCCTCTGGTCTCACTAGGAGACCGGTTGTGACCAACACCGTTGAACGCGAGACTGGACAAACCAAAGCAGGGACCAGTTGGAGGCAGCCAGGATTACCGGAAATAAGGGTTGGACAGGCGCAACGGAGGCAACACCAGGACCAAGGGAAGAGCCAAGGGAAGAGCCAAGAGAAAGACCAGGAGGAACCAAGGGAGTGAAGGAAAAAGAAAAATGAAGGAAAGAAAGAGTGAAGAGAAAAAACGAAATGGCCTGAAAAATGTGGGCGTATTTATATCTTTTGGTATCATCAACCCCTGCAATTCATGGAAAGCAGTGCGCAGCGCACACACGCCCACATGATTATGATAGACTGGCAACTTGCGGTCCAGGCTGTTCAAGGACTCCCTAATACCATTTCCTGAACTTGCTGTTTCATGCTGCTGCTAGCCTTGTCGCGTAAACGAGTCTCGCGTTCAGCGTGGCGTGCACTATAATATATCAGAAATGCCATTTTTTGAAAGAGGTGTGTTTCAAAATATTGTAACGACTTGACGTTTGGATGATATCAACACACCCTCTCCTTTTCTTCAACGATGCTGATGCTCGGCAGAAAAGAAAAGGGGATGTTTTGCTCGCACAAGGCACCATAAGGTCCAGCCTACGATTTTCACATGAGAGACTCCCAGCACTCCGTCTCCCAAGTAGACATCGATTCTCACGCAATTATCGGTTGCCGATCCTCCAAGCCCGCAATGATGGATGTGGACAGCTTAAACTAAACTGCCAAGGGCAGACTATAGAGCAGCATGGCTGTTTTCAGCATAGTATGCGCGTCATCCTAGAACTACTATTATCGATACAGGCTGCTTCTTCAGGTTGATAGTGCTGTTGGGTTTGCTCATTTTCTCATCCACCTCCCTTAGCAGTAGCGACACAAAACCAATCAGACGTGGTGCTTACTTCCTCGGCGTGTGTACGGGTGATGTATGATACATGTGAAAAAAAAACAAAACAAAACAAAAAACAGGTTTCGGGCTGGTACCCTCCGAATAATTTTTTTCCTTTCGATTATTTTTGCGAACGAACTACGCGAAGATAGAAACAAAAAAAAATAGGTGAGAAACGCGTACCAAAGTGTGGTAAAGCGCGTTGTAATAGTGTTACATACTGTCGCTACGATACAGAAGATCTGTCATTGTTCCCCGCGTTGTTAGCACGGACCTGTGGGTGCGGAGTGGGGTATTTTTTTTTTTTCAAAAGAAGCGGGGTCTTGAACGTGTGCATGAATAGGCACCCATTTTCCGCAGCGTGTTGCTTCCTCGCTTTTTCTCGATCACATGTGGTAAGTCCCTTCCTTTTTTTTTCAGTGTGTGTGAGTGTGAGTGAGGGTAGGTAAGCGCAAGGGTGGGTGCTGATGCTTGTTTTGTAGGCACGGGGCGACTTCTAAGTAGGTAAGTGGATTGGTGAGACCGCTGGCATCTCAATACCGATCGGACCCTCCGAGATCCATAAAGCGACCAAGACAGAACCCAGCTTTGTGGTAGAGGGTTCGGGAGCAGATGCCGATGCACCTTCCCGGAAAGCTAAGACATCGACACTCTCGTTTTTGGACGAGCCTCTTTAGGAATTTGACCAATTTAAATAAAGGCCTTGTTGTTGTTGTCCCCCGTCTATCAAACATGTGCTGTTTGTTATTGTATTAGCAATACTTATCAAGTAAAAGGAAAAACACAAGGACGAAGCTGATCTTTAAAGCAAACTTCCTTGTAAACGGATTTTCTATACTGTCCCTCGTCTTTAAAAGTATCAATAACCGAAAACCAGCTAGCATTGACAAAAAAAAACCTTGCTGGCATAGCAAGCATGAGTTTGTGGGATCGAATGACAGCCCAGCGAGTACTCGTACAACGAGGATCATAAAAACAAGGGAAGTTGTTAGCTGTGCAATGTCAATATAAGTTGTCGACGGAATTATTCATTAGCTTGATACTCCACTCTAGCTTTTCCTAGCGATATTATCCAAAAACGAGCATGAAGATCGTAGTCAAATCCAAGCATAAGTACCGTGATTATTATCCTTGAGTGCATATAGCTGACTTTGCCGGACCAACCGATGGCATAAAGCGTATGTATAGCTCAGGTGGTGCAGGTATCAGCAACATTACTACATCGTGGTATCCTAAATTTACAACACTAACAGAAAACTCCTTCACGCAAAGCGAGCTTGACGAGTGACCGTCTAAACCAACTCTACCTAACGCACGACGCGTGTAATATAATAGTCTCTCTTCTATATCTCCTATAAACTACAAAGGTATTGTTCCCGCAAACGGATAGTACCTCTAACTCAACGTCATT